GTGAACTGTCAAAGTCTAAATTAACTGATACATCAAATGGGATGACAGTGATTTTAAAATGTTACAGATTATTGAGGTAAAAAATTTTCAATTATAAAGTCTAACCCAGATTTGTAGAATAAATAAACGTTAGTTCCCTTCTCCTTATAGCCATAGGAATAAATGAATTTTAAGTTTTTTTAATTATCTAAACCATAAAAGTACTACACGTTAATTCTTAATTTTTAAAAAACAATTGTTTCCTTTGCTCTATGATCACTTCAAATTCTAAGTATAGAATTGTTTTTGTCTTTGATTTTGTTTATAACTATATTGAGATATAATTTGTTACTATAAAATTCAAACTAAGGTATACAATTTAGTGGTTTTTAGGACATACACAGAATTATGCAACCGTTACCACTATCTAATTTTAGAACATTGTCATTACTCCAACAAGAAACTTCATACCATTAGTAGTCGCTCTTCATTCTTCCCGTCCTCAAAACCCTGGACAGCCACCTATCTATTTTCTGTATGAATTGGCTCATCCTGGCCATCTTATACAAATGAAATTAAACAATATGTGACCTTTTATGTTTGGCTTCTTTCCTTTAGTGCAACATTTTTAAGGTTCATCTATGAACCTTAAGGTTGTAATGTATCAGAACTCATTCCTTTTAAAGGCTGAATAATATTCCATTGTACAGATAGATCATGTTTATAGATTCATAGATCATATTTATCCATTCATCATTTGGTAGACATTTGGGTTGCTTCTACTTTAGAGCTATTAGGAATAGAGCTGCTATGAACATTTGGTTGTTTTTGTTTAAAGATTCGTTTATTTATGCATACAAAAAGTGGAGTGTAGGCCAGAGGTGTTGGGGGGCGAGAGGATTCACCGTTGACAGAGTGGAGAACAGAACAGGCAGATTGACTGAAATACACTGCTGAAGGGAGCAGCGGGCAAGTCAGGAGAGGTCTGCTGTGCCATGTCGGTAGCTCCCGGGTCAGGGATTGAACTCATGCTGCAGTGGCTGCAGATAGCCTCGTAGGTTGCGTCTTAACCCCATGAGCCACCAGGGAGGCCCTGCTATGATCATTTCAGTACAAGTTTTTATGTAGATATGTTTTTAGTTCTTTGCCTAGGATTGGAATTAGTATAGAATCTTTAGTTAATAAAGCAGAGATTTTTTTTTTACCCACAGTATTTATTTATTTACCAAGAAAAATTATTCCTTAGCCCAAATGTTGCTTCATAACATAAAACACAAGTCACTGATGAATTTCCATGGAAATCAAGCCAAACAAATCCTTTGTTTCAAGACCACTTTGCACTCTGAAAGATTCCAGCCTTCCTCATCTCTTTAAAATCTTTCATGGAATCATCATTTCTGTAGAAATCTGAATCTGTTTTCTTTCTTGGTTCTACCACAACAAACTTACAGAAAACTGCAACTGCCAATGCTCCAACGATATGAAAATATAGATGCTTGGTCAGAAGGCCTCGCATCCAAGGTTTTAACAAAGCAGTTATTTCCCTCAACAGGACATCCTTCCACACTAAAGGAGAAATGGGGAGTGCCAGAATGATTCATTTTTAAAACAGAGTTCTTATGGTATAAGAACCAAAGGTTCTCATTCAGGAAATTTGGAGTGTTTTCTTCTATATTGTTCTCTAAGATTGAGATTCTTTGCATTGGACCTCACAGAGCACTGTGCTCCCTGAGGTGCTTGGCACATCACAGAATCCAAACAGAAAAGTGAGTCTGCAATGAGAAAGGATCAGAGACTATAAAAATGTTCCTATGCAATAAAGGGTGTTTATATTAGCATAGGGTAATAAAATAACCCCCAAATCCCAATAATCCACCCTCACCAGAGCTTTCATTTTCATTCACTTTATATATGAGATGCCCTGCAGGAATGAGAAATGGAAAATGCTTCTGCAGGGATGCAAATTAAAGAAAAGTTAGGTGAACACTTAATTTCAACTGTATCCTGTCCCTTTGCTGTCAGCATGAACCTTCAGAGTGAGGGTAAGCGTGTTTTCCTGATCCCTTCTCAACCATACCCGCCCCCTTTCCAGCCTAAACTGAATGAAAGGGGAAAAAAGAGGGGTTTGGAGCAACCTATGGGAAGATGTTCCCATTCAGCTCAGGAGCAGGCTTTAAGCATACCATTACCTTTATAGAAACCTTGGAAAGGGAAAATGTCTTTGAAGTAGAATTGGCATTGAGCATCATATGGTCATTCAGCAGAGGTCACTAATCACTCTCCTGTTTGTTTTTCAGTGAACGAGATAATTGGGAGAGACATGTCCCAGATTTCTGTTTCCCAAGGAACAGGGGCGAGCAGGCAGGCTCCCCTCCCAAATCCTGAGTCCCTGGATTTAGGAAGAGCTGATGGACTCTGACATTGCTCACTGCAGCCTTGTGCCCACCGCCATGTACTTCTCAGCGTGTTCTCTCCTTGGACCTTGGATCTCCAACTCTGCAGCCTTCAGGACTGGTGCCAGGAGTTGGGAACATTTTGTGGGGAAAGCAGCATTCCTCCACTTCAGGCCTTGGGTAGATTTTGTAAAAGAACAGGAGCAGCATAGGCTGTTTGAGCTTTGCTTTTTATATTTGAATAGGATACTTTTATATGATGGGTGCTTTGAGTGTGAATGCAGCAGACTCCATTTCAGAGGTGCTGCTTTTGCAGGTGACCTGTTGCTTAACTAGGATTGGTGATTTGTACTGCTCTATGGTCATTTGAAGGACCCTTTAGCTTTGATATTTTTTAAATAGGAACTTTTGATAAAACTTTCCAGAGGCAAACAAAAAAGAAAAAAAATTCTCCAAGCCCCACACTATGCCTCAGAAACTCAGCATGTGTCCTGAAGCCTTTCATAGATTCATAGGAAATAAAGCCAAATGTAGCTCATACCTCTTTATAAAAGTAAAACCTTTAGATAACATGAGATCATTCCAATCATTGAAGTGTTGGAATATAAAAAGACATTCCAGAGCATAGCCTTTTTGTAACTTTCTAGGTAATCTTCCTGCAATCTCTCCATACTGACTCCATGTTGAAATTGCTTTTTTCCCTCAGGGCCTTGGGTAAAATAGCTGCATGAAAGATGGCTTTGAAAGGTAGGGTTTTTAGCTTGGTAGCTATCATTTCCTGCCATCCTATAAACACGAAGGCGGTGGAGTGCGCTTCCCATATGTGTCCTCCGGCCCCGGGCCGTTTCTAGGTGCGAGCATCTACATTTGGCTGCTCTGTAACCTTTGAAGCCACAGTCTCTGATGATGGTTCAGACAGTTTTGCCAGTTCTAATTCATCTACAGAGACCAGACTGTCAGGCGCTAAGCACAAATGAGATTTGCATCAAGACAATAGAGAAAAATGGAAGGACTTCAGATGTGGCGCTTTTAAGATTCACAATGGCATGGAAGGCTTATTTTGTTTACAGCCTAAAATGATTCTGGCCTACCCTGCCCCGTCTGCATAGCTTAAAATTCAGGCAAATCCAAAAATGAGGTATCATCGTAGACCTGACTCTCCACACCAAAGATACCCTGGTGCTGCTGCTGGTGAGGCTGGCACCCAAGGCAGGGGCCAGCAAGGAACGCCAGCCTGCTGTCTACCAAAGGAGGTGCCCAAGTTGGGTGCTTTTTTCAAACACCGCCCTACCCCTCCCTCATAATGGGACAAGTTACCTGTTGGAACTTGGGCCTATTTCAGAGCCCCTGAAGTTTGCAGTATGTTTTCAAATGGGAATGATACACTTTCACTTGGTCAGGAAGCAAGTTTTTGAGTGCCTGTATGTGAGACAGTGTGCTGGGCTGGTCAAAGGCTGGATGCTGTTCCAAGGGATTGTGGGTCTTACATGCCAGACTCTACTGAGGCCAAGTGAGGTCTAGGTGGAGGGAGCTGGCTCATTGCCCACCACCTCTAGTCAGCCAGGTAGTAGCTGTTGACCCAAGATGAGGAAGTATGATCTTTAAAAAAACAAAAAAAAAGTTTTAGCTTTCTTCCCTCACACCAGAGAAAAACATGTTACTTTTCAGCAAATTACTCTGTAATATTACTCCAAACATTTGGAGCTGGGTCTTTTTGTTTTCTTTGAAAGTGAGTTTTGTGTCAGAGTGTGGATAGTGAGATTTGCTTCAGGGCCTGTGGTTGGAAGCCTGCTAGGGGGTGGGGGGCGCTTTGTGGCTGGCCTCCGAGATGAAGTTCCAGACTGCTGGCCATACTAGCCTTTAACTCTCCCCTCTGGACCGTGCTGTAGCTGCCTCACATGGGGTTCTTTGCAAGAGTTCCCCTTCAAGACCCTTTGGGGGTTGCTCTGCTGCCCTCATGAATAAAAGCCTCTATGATCCAGAGTTGCTATGCACCAAATTTTGATGCCTTTTAAATACCTTGATGCCTGTAGCACTAGAAATGCTTTCCTATTTAAAATAAAAGTTAAATTTTAAAATGGAGCTTTGTATACTATGTAAGCAGTTTTGTATCAGCTTTGTAAAAGCTTTGGTGTAAGAGTCAATATTTTTTGGCTTTGTAGATAGACTTAACTTTTGTGCAACATAGTGTTGTTGAAGCACACACCCATGGGACTATGCAAATTTTCTTCTAGTAGCAGCACTGAGCAACTGGGAATGTGCTAACATCTACCCTTACCCCTCCAGCCCATTCTAGATGTTGGGTTGAGGAATGGGATGAGCAGCCTTCTGCTTACTGGACATGACTTAGAAACACAATCAAAGACAGCTTTCAAAGTAACAGATCTTAGGGTTCACGTGTGGTACTGCTACCCCAGGGTGCAACCCACCCCTTTCCAGGGCTACCCGCTGTCACCTGAGCTTTGCTGGGTCTGGCTGTGAAGACCCATGTTTGGTATTCAGAACAGATGGTCATCTTGTTGAAAGGCTCAGAAGGGCTCAAGTTGAAACCTTGTATTTTATAAAATGGATGATGTTCAGTTAAGAAACTGGTTCTCAGTTATGTTTACAGCACTTGGGATTGTGTTTTCTTGTACATTTTGTATTTTAAAATCTTTTACAGGAGTGTAGTGCTCCTTAACACAAATACAAAGGGAAGAGCCATCAATTCAAGCTCCTCAATTACAGTGCTGAAATAATAAACAGTTGACAGGTCAATAGTGTCCTTGAAATCTGCCTGAGTTTTCCTCCGCCTGGGGCTGGTGTGGTACCCCTCACTCTGGGGGCCAAAGGTAGGCACTTCCACTTTAAAAAAATCCACTTGGTTAGGAATCTGTTTATTTTACGGAGGAAAGGGTAGAGTGCCAAACTCTTTCCGAAGCTTCAGTTCCGCACCCTCTAATGGATGCAAAGGACATTCCACAGTGTCTGCTGAGTTCAGGACAACTGGCCTGCCCAAGGTGTGCACATGAAAATTAGGCAGAAAATCCCCTTTGAAATTCAAGCCTGAGTTTTTGTGTGGGGGCCTCCTGCCCCCTAGTGTCCTCTGGAAATACTGCAGCACAGTTCATCAAAATACCCTGTGATTTTTGCCATCTGATATTCCTTGTATCAACTGCAGGTGGACGGGTATCCTTAGACGGGACCACCCCTGGCACAACGTGGCTGCTGAGGTCCAGATATCCTGGGGGCTGAGGCCAGCATTCTCTGCCTCCCTGCCCCCTACAGGAAAGGACAAAAAAGGTAGAACACCAGGATCTTTATCCAGAAGCTCCCAGGAGTCATTGAAGGTACCAGGGCTTACATTTTTAAAAAGCAGGCAAGCCTGCTGTGGAGCTGTGAACCCCACAGAATCTGTGGGCATGGGCCATAGCCAGAACAGGCCAAAGGCTCTCTGGGTGCTACTCAAGAGGCCCAGCTCAGGCCATCGGGAGGAGGGTAGCACCATTCCACCCCCAACCCTGCATGCAGGGTCTAGCCATCATCTTTGGGGTGAACAAGCAGAACAATAATTGAGTGATGGAGCTGGGGCTTGGGCTCCTCTGGGTGCCTCTCGAGAACTCTGACAAGCCAGAAAGAAGCCACTGGATTGAGGGTGCTGGTCCTCTCGATGCAGGAGAGACAAGTTAGCTCAGGACACCAGCCAGCTCTTACCTCCTGGCTCCCTGACTTACAAACACACCCATTCTTTGGGGGCTTGTAGCACAGTGCGAGGCGGGTCACCAATAGGCATCAGACTGGTGTAGTCATCAGGGGCTAGCTGTGGAAGGCATGGGGGCTTAGATCAGGGGGCTCCACGCTAAGCCAGGTCCCCAAGGTCGCTAGCCGCACCTCACCTGGTAGGCCTGGAAAACGCTGAGCAGATCCTTCATACCAGCTGTGTATGGGACACCCTGCATCCGGACCAGGGTGCCGGGCTGAGACAACACTGAGGTAGGAGCAGAGGTCAGGGCAGCAGGGGGTGTGGTGAGGTAGCCCACTGTGGTGGGGGACACGGGGGGGCTAAGAGAGGAGAGGCAAGGGTTTAGTAATGCAGTCCCACCTCTGGCCTGAACCAAGACCAGTCTCCCCTTCCTTTGCCTCTGCCTTGTGCTTAGTCCAGCTATTCCTTCTCTCCAGCGTCCTCGCTGTTCTAGTTTGTAGGTGGCATTCGTCAGCCCACACCTGTCTCTCCCTTGTCATTGCAGAGTAAAGTCCAAGCTCCAGCAGACCTCGCGTTATCTGGCCCGGAAGGGGATCGTGGCCCTCCCCCACCCCCAGAATAGGACAGGGGGCACGAATGTGGAGTCCTCTTAGCAGCAGGGTACCTGGGGTAGTAAGCTGTGTAGTTCATGTAGAGTTGCGTGGCTGGCCCCGGGTAGTAGGCAATGGGTGTGGGGGTAGCAGGCACCCTGGTAGCCGGGAGCAGTGCTGAAGAGGAATATAGAGCTGCCGTCTCAGTGGGAATGAGTGTTGGGGTGGCCTGGAAGGTGGCGTAGGCTGGCGGCGAGAGGCCTAGAGGCAGAAGCAGAGAGTGCATCTGCATGGAGCCTGGCATTGTCCTGGGCAACTAGCCAGAAAGGAGTCCCCATTAGAAAGAGGGGACTGTGACAGCCTGGCCCCCGCAGGCCTCCTTCCCCAGTCCCTGGGACACTCACAGGGCAGCTTGCAGGGCGGAGGGGACATGCCACTGCGGCCCAGGGTGCCCCCCATCAGCACACGGCTCATCTCCTCCGTGGAACAGGGGACCACCTCCACGTAGCGTTCCTTCATCATTTTCTTATGGCAACGCTGAGCAGCAGCTAGCGCCCGCTCCGCTGATGTCATCTGGATGAAGGCATCCCCCGATGGCCGACCCTGTGCACACTGTCTCGTCAGCAGTCTGGCGTGCGCAGCAGTGCCTTACTCCCAGCCACACGCGCCACCCTCACTGGGTGTCCCCCCACGGCAGCAGCCTCACCTGCTGATTGAGCACCATGTGCACACCGTGGGGCCGGATGTCAGCCGCTGCCTCCCCCAGAAAGCTCAGGATGTCTTCGATGGTGGCTGTGTAGGGCAGACCTCGAAGGCGGACACAATCTCTCCCGGTCCCAGCTGCCAGTGGGAAGGGGATGGGCAGCAGGGGAGCGGTCAGTGTGGGAAGGAGGGGGCCGGAGGCATAGCGGTTCAGCACCTAGGAAGGCAGGCAGCAGCAAGCTGGTCATGCTAAGTACTCGGGACCAGGAATGGAAAGGGGTAGGGCTGGCGGGACCTCGGGGTGCTTACCTGCTGCACCTCAGCTGCCGTACTCCGGAAGAGTTCTATGTATCGCTTACCCAGCATGCCTTTGTGCCTACGCAGTGCTGCCTGTGCCAGCTCCTCACAGGCAAAGAGGGCAAAGGCGTCACCCGTGGGCCGGCCATCAGGGTGGCGCACAAAGAGCAGCCCGTCGGCACCGCCAGTCACTGGGCACTCTGGCCCCAGGAAGCTCAGCACGTCTGCTGGGCCAGCGGAGAAGGGCAGTCCCCGCAGCCGCAGGATTACTTGGTCTTCCCGTGACAGGAAACGAGCCACCTCTAGTGATGTGCCTGGGGTGGGCGGGAGGGGCATGGGAGTTGGCACCTGCCGACCTCATTCATTCAAACACCCACTAGCCACCGGCACACAGGAGAGCAGAAAGGTGAGTGGTGGTGGGAGGTGGGACCCAGGTCAAGAAGCAGGGGGGGGCCTCCCCGGTGGCGCAGCGGTTGAGTGCTGGGTTGTGAAGCTGCCCGCGGCCTCTGCAGTGCCGGTTCGATCCCCGGCTGCTCCCCGGCCACCGGAGGAGGATCCCGCATGGCGCGCAGACCTCTCCTGCCGCCCGCTGCTCCCCTCAGCAGTGTACTTCGGTCCTTCTGCCTGCTCCGCTCCCCGCTCTGGCTCTGGTGAATTCTCTCACCCTCCCGCGCGCTTCTGACTGTACCCAGTGCTTGTATGTATAAATAAATAAAGATGGAATTTCAAAATACTTTAAAAAAAAAAAAAAAAAAGCAGGGGGAAGGCCTCCCTTGGTGGCACAGCAGTTGAGCGCTGGGCTGCGAAGCTGCCCGCAGCCTCTGCAGCGCCGGTTCGATCCCTGGCCACCGGCGAGGGTCCCACATGGCGCGGCAGACCTCTCCTGCCGCCTGCTGCTCCCCTCAGCAGTGTACTTCGGTCCTTCTGCCTGCTCTGCTCCCCGCTCTGGCTCTGGTGAATTCTCTCACCCTCCCGCGGTTCTGACTGTACCCAGTGCTTGTACAAATAAATAAATAAATAAATAAATCTTTAAAAAAAAAAAAGAACCAGGGGGAACCAGATGCCACTGGGAGCACTCACCCCCTGCGATCTTGACAAACTCCTCTCCCGTTGCCTTATATACCTGTGGGTACAGTGAGAAGAGCCCATGGGTCTCAGGCCTGCCCCATCTCTGCCCAGCTCCGCTCCCAGCCTAAAGCCCCACCTCGATATAGCGGACACCCATGTGGTGCTTGTGTCTCTGCAGGGCTAGGTCCCGCTGCTCGCTGTCCACAAAGCGGATGAGGGCCTCGCCATTCCTGCGGCCCTGGGCGTTGAGGCAGAGTGCCACACCGCCCCTGTGGAGCCAGTGCTGTGTTAGCGCCTCCGGGGTCGGCCTGCCCTCCCGGGCCCACCCGACCTGCCACACCAACCTGGCCACATTGAGCCCTTTGAAGAAGCGAGCCACGTCCTGGTCTGATGACTGCCAGGGCAACCCGCGGGCCCGAACCACTGTCTCACTGTCCACCACATCGGCTTTGCTGCTGTGGGGGCAGGGCACGAGGTCAGAGCTGTCCGGCTGCCGTCACCCCTTCCCCAGCCCCACACTCACCAAGGCCCAGTCTCATATTTCTGCTTTACCACCTCAGGCTTCGAGAACAATTGACCTGAGAGGAGATGGCATGGGGGTCAGCAGGGTCTGGTGGAGGGGGATCTCCCCACCAAGCTCTGCAAAAAGAGGACACAGTTGAGGGGGCGGGGGTGACAAAGGGCTCTCACCTTGTGGTCTCTTAGAGAAGGTAACAAGAAGCAGGGAGTACTTTGAGGAAATAGTAGGCAGGCCCTGACCCAGTCCTGAGGGCAGGTGACAGGCAGCGAGGGGACTCTTACCACTGGACCCTTCCAGCAGATGGAGGATGACAGCTACCATTGTCTTCACTTCCCAGACCCCAAAGTCATCCTCTGTGGCATCTGTCTCTAGCCCCAAGTCTACAGGCAGAGAAGGAACAATGAGGAGACCCCCGCATGACGCCCCGGGCACGAGCCATGCGTGAGCACTAATCCCAGTGACCCCCAGGCCCACGCCCCCTACACAGACACACGCAGGCTCCTAGCAAACACCTGTTTGGGCTCAGCCCAGGTATGCCTTCGCAGCTCCCAGCCTAGGCGCACGTAGACATATGCCTACATTCCAAATGCGCCCCAGCACAGACAGACAGACAGACAGACAGACAGACGTGCACTCACGGAGGCAGCAGCTAATGCGAACTTGCACCACAAACTCACACACAGCCCCCTCCACCCTAACCCTGCTGGGTCACAGATACCCTGTGCCATGGTGGCCACAGTGAGGTCCCTGGCAGGGCAGGTGCTTGGGTGTTGCACATGGAACTCTCTGCGAAGGTCGTAGAAGGAGAAGAAGGTGTCGGGGAGCACCAGGTTCTGGGGGCACACGGGAGTGGGGTTGAATGGGAGGAACTGGGCTGCACTGCCTACCCACCCCCCCACCCCCCAACATTAAGAGTCCTGGAAGCCCTGGCTCGGTTGTGTCCTCAGTGGCATACCTTTCTGGAGGCCTCGGGGTGCAGGACCTGTCGCAGCAGCTGCTGCCCATCAGTGCAGAGCGTGTAGGGGCCGCCGCCCAGCAGAGCCACATCCCCGCTCACCAGCTGTGAGAACTGGGGTAGGGAGTGGGGAGAGAGACAGACAGACTCACAGCTGCGGGGGCAGGGAGGGAGGGCACAGGCTGCAAAGCTGGTTCAGCCAGATGTTCAGCCCTACCCTGCCTGGGAAGAAAGTGGCCACGCCTGCTGGGCCTGGCTCTGTGTCCCCCTTCCACCCCAGCCCACTGTCACCTTCTTCAGGCCGAGTGAGGGCAGTCGCCTATCGCCCAAGCCCCCAGCACACGCACTCCAGGAGTCTGGAATGAGGCCAGAGCAAACACCTGGTGGAGTGGGACAAGCAGGTGGGAAGGGGTGGGGCAAAGCAGGTTAAACCTGTCTCCGAGGCCGAGGCACCACCCTCAGACAGGTGGGGGCGGCCCAGTCCTGCCAGCGGGCCAGGCGGCTCATGGTCAAAGGCAGCCCCGCCTCCAGGTTTGACCAACCAAGGCACAGAGAACCTCCAAGGACAGAACTCCACACCTGGACGCCAGGGGCAGCGTGAGCTTTGACCCACACCCTATCGACCGACTGGCACTGAGCTGTTTGCTCATAGAGGGGGTGGCACGCCAGAAGCTGCCCAGCCCCTCCCCCAGCCCCCAGCCCTCTGGACAACAGACACAAGCACTGAGCAGGGGCCTGGGAACTCTCCAGCCCCCACTTGGCAATCCGGGGCCGGCCGAGCAAGGCAGCCCAGCTCTCTCCGGGAGCCCTTGTGGAACAGACTCAAGCTTCAACATCTTTGGCCTCCATGTTCTCATCCGGAACCGCCAAAGTTGTTGGAGGACGAAAGAATGTGCACACAGAGCACTTACACGCATTATTCCACTCAAGAGTCTCAGGTGCTGGGTGAGCCCAGTGCGAAGATAAGAAAGAGAAGACATGGGTGGGAACCGCCCCCCACTTCAGCCAGGGCCGGGAGGCGCCCTAGGCCTGTGCCCCGGGAAGGCAGGGAGCCTCCAGGCGGGGTCCGGACAGCACCCACGCCTGGCCAGCCGGCCGGGACAGGCCTGGACGAGCCGCTTACACCTGGCGGCGTCTGCCTCCGGGGCAGACACCGCCCTCCGCCCCCGCCGCAGCGTCTCCGGGGCGGGCAGGTGGGCTGAGGACGCCGGCGGGGGGACCTGACCTGTGGCCAAGTCCGCGCCCCCCAGCCTTGGGGCTTCCGGGGGCTGTTCTGGGAGACCCGGTCGGGCGGGTTCCCCGAGGAGCCTCAGCCTCGGCCCCCGCGGGCCGCGCTCGGGGAGGGGTCCCGCGGCCGCCAGCCCCACCCCCGCCGCCGCGGGAGCCGGGCCCGGCGAGGCTGCGCGCCGCCCGCGGGAGACACGCACACGCGGGAGCCGCGGAAAGTTTCAAACACCAGGAGCCCGTCCCGCCGCCCGGGCCGGCCGGCTGCGCGCGCCAGGCCTCGCCCCCGCCGCCTCGGGAGGGCCCCGCCGCCCCGGCCGCGCCTCCGCGCGCCCCGGCCCCGGCGCTCACCTGCTGCAGCACCTTGTCCAGCGGCTCGGCCCGCGCGAGGCTGTCGGCGCTCAGGCCGCTCGCTTCGCGGCACTGCGGGCTCAGCGCGGCCGCCTCGGCGCGCACCAGCGACTTGTGCAGCGAGCCCACCTGCGGGGGGGCCGGTCAGCGCCGCGCCCCGGCCCCGCGGCCCCCCGCGCGCCGCCCCCGCGCCCTACCTGGCGGCTCCGCGGCTCCACCACTTGCCAGACCAGGAGGATCAAGTCGGTCTCGTCGGAGCCCAGGTCCGACCCGAGCGCCCCGGCCGTGGCCCCGAACAGGACGACCAGAGTTCCCGGGCCGGGGCGCGGGGCGGCGGCGGAGTCCGCGGCGGGGTTCGGGCCCGGGGACGGCGGCTGGGGCGGCGGCGGCGTCATGGCCGCGGAGGAGGGGGGCGCTCGGCCGGGCACACGCGGACCGACCAGGCGCACGCACGCCCGGGCCGACGGCGGACGCCAGGCAGTTTGGGCGGGACGCGGGGTGTCGGGGGCGGCACCTGCGGCCCGGCTGGCGCGGCGAGTGCGGCTGAGACCGGCCCGCGGCGCCCTGCGGGGCGGGGCGGCCCCCGGCCCCCGCCTTCTCCGGGAGAGTTACCTGCCGGCCCCGCGGCCCACGTGACCCAGGGCGCCGGGGGGGGGGGGCCGCGGGGGAGGGCGCCGGCACCCGGCCCAGGACGCGCGGGGCGCCCCCGCCCCGGCCCCGGCGCGCGCCCCCGGCCCGGCCCCGCCGGGCTCCTGCGGCGACCCCATCTTCCCTCCGCGCCCTCAGGTCCCGAGGCCTCCGCCAAGGAACGCGCAAGGCCAGGGCCCTTCTTCAGTTTGGGGGGTCACATGGAGCTTGTGAAAATCACCCGGAGGCGGCCTAGGGGTTGTGAGGGTCGCCAAGTCTGGTGGGGTGACGAGTCACCAAGGGTCCAAGGGGGCGGTGAGGGTTACCAGGTGTCACCCCGAGGCCTGGGGGGGTCACCAGAGGTGGGCTGGGTGGTCATTAGAGCCGTGCGGGGGTTGGGGGTGTCACCAGAGGTCACAGGGCAGGACTTGCCCGCGAAGGCCTCGCCGGCTAAGAAACGCCTGAGGCGGCAAAACGTCGACGTGGGTCTGAGGTGCTCCGTCTTCGGCGCTGGGGAAGAGCCGCCCCCCACCGCCCGCCCCCAGCTCCTGGAGCAGCGCGCCAGGCGGGGCTGGACGGCACGGCCTGGGCCTCCGGGGTCACCCCTGCCCTGCGGGGGGCTCCGCCTCTCCCGCTCCCCTCCCCCGCCCTGGACGGGCCTGCGGCCTGGAGACGCGCGCGGGGGCGGCCGCGGGCCCGCGCTCCCCGCCGGGAACTCGGACGGTCCCTCTGAGCGTCCCAGCGCCCTTCGCCCGTCGAGCTTGGGGAAGGTCCTTTACCGCGTTTCCAGGCCGCCCCGCACGTCTCCAAACTCTGTTTGTGTAACTGAGAAACTGGAGAATCCGGCGGGAAGCAGACAGGGGGTGCCAAGCCCCAGCCGGGCGTGAGGTGGAGTCGCCCCTCGCGTTTTCGGAAAAGCTGGGCGCTGCGTTGGGACGGTCGGACAATGGAGACGGCCCGGAGGCGCGGGGTGGAAGGGCTGCCCGGGAGACCGTGTCCACGAGCCCACGGTGCCCGCGTGCCCGCGCGGCAGGACGGGCTGCGGCAGCGGAGCAGGGCGGCCGCGAGGGAGCAGACCCGCCTTCCAGCGCCTTCGGGCGACCTGCGCGTCCCCTCGGGGCGCAGCCAGTCGTCCCCGGCCGCGGCTCCATTCGGGTGGTCCAGCCCGGGCCTGCCCCCTCGTCCCCACCCCTGGAAGTGCCAAGCCAATCGGGCCCTAGAGGTGGGGGGGAACCTCTACCTTCGGGGCCCGCCCCCCAGATAAGCCTGGAATGTCAAATATTTGTTCTAGGGGCGGTGCAAAGTGAGGCAGGCCCTTCCCCCACCCCCTGAAGCACGCTTGCGCCGGGCGGAGTCACCTCTTCTGCCCGGCCACGCCCTTGCGCCAAAGCCTTTCGCTCCAGCGGCACCCCACTCTCTGAGCTCTTCTGAAACTACCGTGGTGAGCATTACTCTTTGTCAAGCGCCTAACGGGGCTCCTGTTCCTACAGGACAGAGTTCCTGGCTTCCCGCAAGGCCTCGGCCCTGCTTGATCTCTGGTGTCACCCTTTCTCGCGCGCCGTCGGGTTAACTGGGCCTTCACGCTAGGCTCTTCCTGTTGCGCGGATCTCGAAGCTGGATCCTCTTGGAAGCCTCCCCTTGGAGGTCACCGCGCTAGTCCAGTGTGGCACCGTCCTGAGCACATACCCATTGGTGGCTCGTCCCTGCATGTCCTGATCCCAGCTGGGTAGTGGGCCTGAAGCACGGGGTTAGCAGTGTGGGCAGCTCCCAACGCCTATCTGCCTACCCCCACGCGAGGTTTGGGCTCTTCTTGAAAAACTAAATTTGTTAGGACCTCCCTAGTGGCGCAAGGGGTTAAGACGCAACCTATGAACCTGTCCGCAGCCTCTGCAGCACGAGTTCGATCCCCAGCAAGGGAGCTACCCACATGGTTCAGCAGACCTCTCCTGACTCGCCCGCTGCTCCCCTCAGCAGTGTATTTCAGTTGATCTACTTGTTCTGTTCCCCACTCTGTCTCTGGTGAATCCTCTCACCCCCCCCCGCCCCCGCATCACTGGCCTACCCCACTTCTTGTATACATAAAATATTTTTTAAAAAAACAACTAAATTTGTTGAAAGAACTGCACACCTGCACTCATCTTCAGATGGGTTCCCCACATGACCCTGTTATTAACATTCTGCATGCTGGCCCCAAATGGTTCTCACATTTCTTTTCCCCTAGCACCAAACCAATTTCTCTTTTTAAGATTTATTTATTTATTTAAGATTTATTTATTTATTTATGCAAGAGCTGGGGTACAGGCCAGAGGTGTGGTGGTGAGAGGGTTCACCAGAGACAGAGTGGGGAGCAGAACTGGCAGACTGACTGAAATACACTGCTGAGGGGAGCAGCGGGCAAGACAGGAGAGGTCTGCTGTGCCATGTGGGTTTCTCCCTGGCCAGCCTGGGGATCGAACTCATGCTGCAGAGGCTGCAGACAGCTTCATAGTTTGCGTCTTAACGCCTTGCGCCACCAATTTCTAACACTATAAACCATTTATTGTCTCCATACAAGCCACCCTCCCTCCCCCAATATCAGATCTTCAGGTTAGGCTCAATCCCAGCACCTGTCACTGCATCTGACCAGTAGTAGTTGCTCTTTAAGACTTAATGAAGGGATAGTTGCGTTTGCTTCTTCAGAGTAACCCTCCCTGGGGAGAGAGGGCCTTTGCACTAGTTTCATCTGCATCCTTTCCTCTCCCAACCGGCCCTTCACCTGGTTAACCCCTGTGTCTCCTCCAGATTTCCTCCAGGCCCCTCATTCTTAGCAGGGTACCTCTGTATTTTGAGATTTCTGTACTTCACTGATAAATGTTCCCTCTCCCACTCCTAGGAGCCACCAGTCACGAATGAATGAATCGGAGACAGTAGACGGGACACAAGAGAGAGGTAAGCAAGGCTCCAAGCCAGATGCCTTCACCAAACCTTATGCCAGGTATTGGAGAGAAAGGTACTGAAACAGCCCTCATGCCCCACGAATCTCATCCTCACCCCCTCCCTCAAGTACTGCCCAGAGACAGCTGGCCTTATTGAAAGCCTTGCTCGCTAGCTGGTTATTGAAAGCCTCGCAGACACAGGGATTCTGGTGCCGGGCAGGGAGTGTGGCTGACTTCCTGGACCTCCAGGGCATCCAGCAGTGGTGTGGAAGTGCTCTCTTCCTCCTTCCTTCCCATCCTCATCACAAAAGACCCCACTGTGGGAGAAGATCTGCCGGCACGTGCGCCTGCCGGGATCCACACTCACCGGCCCAGGCCCATGCCCACCCTCAGCGGCCCAGCAGCCTCCAGCTGCTCCTCTTCCTTATCCAATCCCGGGCCTGGACCTCGGGAGTAGCCAAAGTCCCGGGCTCCCCTCACCCCCTTCCGGTTCCCATCTGGGCATCTTTGCCGAACCTCCTCTACGTGCCCACCTGAGGGCGCACTGAGCGTCCGGGCCGGGAGGAGACACGCGGGAGGGCTCCACCCAGGGTGACGCCTCCAGATGGGGGGAAGAGAAGGGTCCTTGCCCCTGCTTCCAGGTTGCCTCCTTTGACTTTGAGAATCTTCCTCGCTCCAGGCTCCCTGGATATAGGCCAAGCTTTTTTGTTTGTTTTTGTCTGCAAGGACAAGAATGCCTTTTGAAGTCGGGCACCAGGGCTCAGGGAGCAAGACTCTCAAAGCGCCTGTGGCTCTAAGACTAGTTTAGGGTGTGGCTGGTAGGTCCCTGAAGCTGAGATAGCCCAGGGCCAGGAAACTGTCAAGGGGCAGAGAGTGGGGCTGCACTAGCACGGGTAATGTTGTGACCTCATACAGCAGCAGCAGGACAGTCCAGTTGCCCAGCAGGCCCATCTCATGCAGCAGGAAGAGAGCCAGGTAGCAACGCCCCAGCATTTAAGCATGGTTCATGGGGCCAATCCTGGCAGAACGCAGCCAGCAATCCTTCAGGTCTCCAGGCAGGGGCACATGCTTACTTCCCTGCCTGAAACACCCACCTACGTAATCACCCCTTTGTGTTGCTGGCAAACTCCTGCTTATCCTCCAGGACCCACCATTAATAATTCTTCCTCCATACAGCCTTCCTCATACCTCGGCCAGGTTAGATGCCCTGTTCTGGGCCCCTTGCCCCCAGGGTTCTGTCATGATTGGAGCAGCGTCTGGCCTCTCCTAACTCCAGGAAAGCATCGGCAGTGGCGGAAAGAGCATGCCGAGCCACGAGCTTGAGGGAGAAATCAGTTGATCTCCAAATGGACTCAGCACCGGCTACCAAAGCAGCTCAGAAACCCTAGTTTTAGTTGGGTTAACCTGAGCCCACTCACCAGCCTGGTTCAGGCAGAGGAGCTTGGGGGAAGGGGAGGAAGGAGGAATGCAAGGACCCCACTAACAGGGAGGCTGTCTGCTGGATTCTCACCCGAGGAAGAAACCACAACTGGCCTAGCTCTCAATCGCTGGGTTTAGTCCCACTTCTGACCTTTGCCCAGAAAGTTCCCCTCCACAGAAACGCCCTCCCCTTCGCCCCATCTGTTTCTATCAGTCCACAACCAAAAGGGAAGTGCAGTTTCTTCACATGTCTCTCTGCTCCACGTGCCTCCTCCAGGTCTCCTTCTGGCTCCATCCTGCTTCCTTCCTTCTCAGTCTCCTCTGCAGCTTCTTCTCCCTGCTCAGCTCCACCCTCCCTTGGGTGGGGCAGGAAACCTGGAACCTCCCCCCTTTCCTGGAGACCACCCTGTTACAGGGGGCGAGAGCTGTAGATCGTGTGTCATTGAACATATGCTAAGTACCTGCTGCATGCCCAGGACTGTGTGACATAACAGGACAGGTTACACTTGCAGGGATATTTGAATGGGAGTCAGGCGGGGGCTGCTTCAAAGCCAAATGGTCATATCTGGGCTGAGGCCTAAATGCTCAGTGGACTCCCCCCTGTAGCATTCCCAGTACAGAAGTCTTGAGGGAGTGTTGTGAGTGGGGTAGGGGAACAGTGATGGTGTCTGTGTTTAGTGGTGCCAGCCTGGCATGTGGGGAACAAGCCACAGGAATAAAGACATAATTTGGGAAATCAGTGAGACTGTTACTCTGGGGGTGAGGGTAGTTTGGCTTTGGAAGGGTAGAGTGGTAAGATTTGGTGACCACCTGGTTGGGATCTGGCACTTGAGATAGCAACCATTCAGGACAACCCCAGATCTGAAGTGGGGGGTTTGTGTGGATGGAGGGGTCAATTTGAATCCCCTTCTGACCTCTCTGCACAATGCCTGCACAGATTATTGCTGACCAGGCCTTGGCACCCCTCCCCCAAAGACCATAGTGCTTATCACCTGAGGGGCATATGAGAGTGGGCACCAGGGAATGGCTCTGGGAGGCAGAGCCACCCTGCAAGGGGCCCATTGTCACCTGAGGCTGTTGGGCTGACAAGACCCTTCAGATAGTGGCCAGAGTCCAAGGTGGCATCCTGCTCCCCCTCCCCCTGGCGCTCTCCTTGGCTCTGGATTCCCGCCTGTCCCTAGCCGTGGCAGATGGGTCTCTATGGTCTCCCACACTGGGTCTGCCCCAGATAGATCCTCAGCAACCCCCTCCACTGGGGCCTGGGATCGAGGTAAGGGAGGCCCGGGTATGGGCAAGGGTTAGTTACTGACAAAGTTATTGGAAAGGGTTAGTTACTGACAAAGAGGACGGAAGGAAGGGTGGGGGTGGGAACAGGTCTTGGGACCAACCAGGGATATGCAGGATATGATTGTCCCTCAGGAGGGAGGCTGTGGAGGATCAAGACCTCCAGCCCCCAAACATGCTGGTCTCCCTGTCCCAGACACTTGGAGCTGGCATATTACCAGCTGTCAAGTCTTTGCCCACTCTGGTCATTCTAGATTCTTCACACAGGGTCTCTGTTCTCTGTCTCTAGGTTTGCATGGGGTGAGGGACGGGATATAGCAGTTTTGATTCCCCTCCTGCTCTGCTGGGAACGTGCCGATGGGCCGTGGCACAAGATCGAAGCTCAAGGCCAACCTGGTTGGCGACCTGTTCTGTCTGGCGGCTTGGCTCCACACTCTGCTTCTGTAATAGGGGTACTGACCCCCGTAAACACGCTGACCTGGCCTTAGCCCGTTGCACTCGCCGACCTACACCCCTATATCCTGAGCAGACTGGGTTGCCTGAAGCCAAGTGTCCCCGGAGCCCGGGTGTTCCTTGGGAACAGGGTGCGAAGAACCGGTGTGGGAACTGCATAAAGGTCTGGTCAGCTCTAGCCCCAAGAATTGACCAGAATCACTTCTCCCTTCTCCTCGCTTGACCAGGATCGCTCAGCAGGGGCGAGCAAAGGACCCTGAGTCTCCGCCCGGCCTGGCCCGTTCCAGATCCCAGGTCGGGAGGGCGCCGGGCGAGAGCCGAGCACCTTGGACCCACGGCACCGAGCGCTGGGCCAGGTCCATAGCAACGGCGAGCGCCTCGGGAGTCCTGCCCAGTGGATCGATCGATGCGCTCGGCTCGCGGCGCGGCCAATGGAGCGGGCCCGGCGGGGCGGGGGCGGGGCTGCGAGCTCGGCTGGGAGGGACGCGGCCAGCGGCGAGTTCCTATTGGCCGGCGGTTCGCGGGCGGTGGCGCCTGATTGGCCCGGGCGCCGGGGGTGGCGGCGGGCGGCGGGGTTAAGCGTGTCGCCGCCGCCCGGCCTAGGCACTAGCTGGGAGCGCAGAACCTGCCCCTTGGACTGCGGCCGCGCTCTCCCGCCATGGGGCTCCGCCGCTGCCCTGCCCGCGCCGGGCGGCTCGCGGGCAGCCTCCTGTGGCTTCTGCTGCTCGTAGACCCCGTGCTCCCGGCCGGACGTCACCCCCCGGTGGTGCTGGGTGAGGCTCGTCGGGGTGCGGGCGGGGCTGTTTGCACTCCTCAGTGCCTGAACCCCGGAGGGGAGCGTGTGGCTGCCTTGCCCCCTGCGCCGGCGGGTCCATCCCCCGCCATGCTGGGCGCGGCTGTGGTCAGCCTCCCCTCCTGCTCTGTTGACTGTGGGGAGAGGGGAGAGGGTTGCGTTCACGCAGTGCCAAGCCTTGCCTCATTTAGTCCTTATTTTTGAGCTGGGAAGACCGAGGTCCTTTGGGGGTACGTGGGGTTGGGAGGGTGGCCCCGGGTTCCCCCCCCAGGGGGGGCTCAGCGTTGACTTGGACTTGGCTGGGAGGTTGTCTCCCTAGGCAGTTCCAGCCCGTGTTTAACGGGGCGTTACTGAAAGGAAGCCCTTGGGGAAAGGATGGCACTCCTAGCTTGCCACCAAGGCTCCCCCTCCCCCAGCTTATCGAATGGGCAACATTTGTCCTGTGGGAGGAACGAGAGAACTGAGCATGGCTAAAGGCAGAGGTAAGAATTCAGACAATGGCTGGTCATTAACAGCTGTCAGGGAATGGACCTACTCAGATTAGACCGCCTTGGCCCCGTTTACCCCAACTTGGTCCTGGCCCCGACAACAACCACAAGGAGTCACAGTGTTTTCTGAGGTGGGCAGGGATGAGGCTGCTGTGGGGGAAGGGGGGTGTCTTAGATGCCTCATTCAGGCTGTCCCTCCCACCCAGAGCTAGTGTGTTGATGGCCAGCCAGGACTCCTGAAGGCAGCGGCATGCGGCCTTATATTGCATTCAGAGTCTGTAGCCGCATGACCCCTTATTCATTCTGCTAGTAGTATTTTCACAGGGATGTTGCAGATTACAGAAGGGTGGGGTTGGCAGGAAGCTCTGGACCAGGAAATGCTCCAGGGGGATTGCTGGGCCCAAGTTAACCAAAGAATTTAGGCAGCCGTGGCCCTGTGCTCAGGAGCTTGGAGGACCGGGTGAATAGTGATTCCTAGAGATGAGCTCTGCGCTTGGCAGGCACAGAGAATCCACTGAGCCAGCCTGAATAGGTGGATGTCGGGGAAGGATTCCTGGAGTCTGTAGTTAGAACTGAGGCCAGGAAAGAGTTTGAGGCAAAGAGAACTACCTATCAGAGGGAGGGAGGTGAGCAGTCCAGGCTGGCTAGAATAGAGTATGGAAAAGAGTGAAATGTGTAGAACTTGTGACCATGACTGGTCATGTGGTCTTTATCTTGAGGTGATGGGTGATGGGTGGCCTGCAGGGTTCTGAGTGTGAAGAGTGTGGTTTTAGGAAGTGTCTGTTTCAGGCAGATTTTTCACCTGGATTGGTGCTAATTCATACAGTCCTTGAGTATCCTAGGTCACAGCAGAGGAATCTCAGGCTTCATCCAGAGTCACAGAGAAACTGGAATGCTAATCTGCCAGCTTCCCAGAGAGTGAGGCTGCTGGCATTCTTTTTTTTTTTTTTAAGTTCACCTTCCCTAATCTTATATTTATTTATTTATTTTTAAAGATTTATACAAGCACTAGGGTACAGGCCAGAGGCGCTGGAGGGTGAGAGGATTCACCAGAGACAGAGCAGGGAGCAGAACAGGCAGAGGGATCCAAGACACTGCTGAGGGGAGCAGCGGGCGAGACAAGAGAGGTCTGCCGCCATGTGGGAATCTCCCTGGCCGGCCGGGAATTGAACCTGCACTGCAGAGGCTGCGGACAACTTCACAGCGCTGCGCTCAACTGGGTGTGCCACCGGGGAGTCCCCGCTGCTGGCATTCTTCCTGGGAATCCTGTGGTTTGCATCAGATGAGCTGTTCCTAGGTGCAGAGCAGGGACCTGAGTTTGGCCATCAGAGGATCAGCATCTAAGGGTGACCAGTTTCTATGAGTGGGACTAGAATTTGTGGTAGAGAAAGCAGAGGCAAAAGAAGGGATACATAGAAGACCCTGGACAGAGGGAGGGGACTGTAGTAAGCCATTCTATCTCCCCCAGCCTCAGCTTCCTCATCTGTAAGTGGGCATAATAAGGATATCCTCTGCCAGTGTTACTTGAGGTGAAAAGCACGTGGATGGCTCTTGTCCTAGTTCTAGGCACAGATGGGGCTGAGAAAGTGACTGCTGTGTTAGAGGCTGCACAGCTTGGCCAGGGCAAAGGGCGTCCAGGGAGAGCACATGTGGTGACTTCCTCTTCTGGCCATTTCCTTTCTGGAGAAGACAGTGGCCAAGGTCTCTGCTCTGCCTAGTTCACAGGCGTGTCACCCAGATGCTGTCATGCTTGGGGGTCCCCATTTCTGTGCTTCCACCCTGAAAGGAGATGAAGGCAGGTGTCACACTGGTCTCCCATGTCCCTCCGCACCCTGGGGTGTGGTGTTCAGGAAGGGCATGTCCTCATCAGGACTGGGTTCACAGTGGGAGCCCACTGAAAGCCCAGGAAAACCAAGTTGACTTAATGATCATGGGTTCCTCATGGGGTTGGGTTTGGGAAGTGTTGAAAGCTTGGCATATGGGAGCAGGTTGGGGGTGAGGGGTCGCTGGAAGTATGTAGACTATGAAGAGTCTTGATGTTGGGCAGTGAATCAGTAGGGATGGGTTTGAGTGTCACAAGACCCCTGGGCTCTGTGTGGGCTGGATAGGCTGTGGCTGGAATGATGTGTTGTTTCAGGGTAGACATCTCCAACACAGGCCTCACTGTGCCAAGCTGCTCAGGCCCTCCCAGATGACCTGCCCTTTGGAACCTGCAGTCTATCCTTTAGGGCACTTTAGTAGGTCACCAGGTGCCAGACTGAGGTTCTGTTGATCACCCTCTCCACAAGCCTGCCTGGAATGCCTTCCTGGGGTTCAGTTTGGTTGGTGAAGTGGCCCAACTCTCTCCTGTTTCCCACCCCTTCTCTCAAAGTGCACAAGGCCCTGCCTGCTCTGTAGCTAGGACAGCTGTGGGTTGAAGGCCCTTGGGTTCAAGCCTCAAAGGTCTCTAGATTGCCAAGTCCCTAGGATCTCAGGTCTGCTCTGTGCCCACCCCCACTCCCCACTGCAGTGCCTGGAGATTTGGGTAACCAGCTGGAGGCAAAGCTGGACAAGCCAACGGTGGTACACTATATCTGCTGCAAGAAGACGGACAGCTACTTCACACTCTGGCTCAACCTGGAGCTGCTCCTGCCTCTCTTGATCGACTGCTGGATTGACAATATCAGGTGGGGACCACGATGCAGACGGGGTGCTGCTCAGCCTAAGGAGGCCTCCGGAAGCCCATTTCCTCAAGAGCCCTTGAGGTCACTGACCTCTAGTCCCCCATTTCCTCAGTCTGCTTGGCATCACCACCCCTGCAATCTCCAGGTAGAGCGTTCCTCCCTTTCCTGCTTCTCACCCTATCCTCCTGTCCTGACCCTCTTCATCCAGGACTTGTGCCTCAGCCTGCAGCCCCTGTTTACACCCTCAGCCTGGCCCCCTGCCCCTTCCCTGACCTTCACCACACCTGCCTCATCACTGTTTGTTCTCCCTGGGACATACCATGTCTCTGTTCCTCCCCGCCTGCCACATGCCTGTTTCCCCAAGTGAGATAATAATGCAGTGAGAATGAAAGCATCTTAAATACAGAAGCTGTGCAGTTTACATGCTTCCTTTTGTTTAGTCTGACCGTGTATGGTTTGCAAACCTCTCCCAAAAGAAGGACATCTGTAAGCTCAGAGAAGTCCAGCTTTGTTTAGGGTCACTCAGCTAAGTGCAGCCCCCGCATGTGAATGCAGTATTTGGTGACGCTAAGCTGAGCTTCTCTCCCAGACAGAGGCCCCCAAAGGAGGGATTGTCTTTATGGTGGTAGAACCCAGAGCACATCTGGGGCTCACTGCATGCTTGAGCTGAATCCCTCAAGTTACATTTTCTCCCAGAGACACGCACTGTTCCTGCAGGCACCCGCTCTCCCCTTGCTTGCGCCTGCTTTGTTGACCCCCGTCCTCTGTGTTTGACCAGGCTTGTTTTGGGCAGTCGATCTGCATTTCTATTTTTGTCCCAGACACGGTCTTAAGAACTGCCGATTTGAGGTGCAGGCTGGTAACAAGACGGGCTTGTCAGCCTTTGGTGGTCTGACAGAACTGCTTTAGTTTTCCAGAACAATGTTCTGAACTTTGCTAAGTGACCATTAGAGTAATCTACAGAGTTGCCTGGAGAAGGTGAACCCCCCAGACCTATTATTTGGACTGGTTTTAGGGATCCTGTCATCTTTTTGTGGCTGATCTTTATGGCTAAGTGGGATGGAGGGAGTTGGGGAGCACCAGTCTATATTTTCTTGGGTGTATTTGCCTCTTGGTGTCAGGAGACAATTCCAGCCCAGCACAGAGCAGTGCTGTCTCCTGTTATGTTACCCCCATCATCTCTCCAGACCTGCTCTCCTGGTCACGCCGCAGCCGGCCACGCTGCAACCCCAGGTGCTCAGGCCCTGGGCTGGATATCTTTCTGTCTAGTTCTGTCTTTTGCTGGTTCACCATTTTCTTTCTTTTTTTAAACTTTTTTTTTTTTTTTTAAGATTTATTTATTTATACATACAAGAACTGGGGTACAGGCCGGAGTTGCAGGGGGGTGAGAGAACTCACCAGAGACAGAGTAGGGAACAGAACAGGCAGATTTACTGAAATACACTGGTGGGGGGAGCAGCGGGCGAGCCAGGAGAGGTCTGCTGTGCCATGTGGGTAGCTCCCTGACTGGGGATCGAACTCCTGCTGCAGTGGCTGCGGATAGCTTCATAGGTTGTGTCTTTACTCCTCGTGCCACCAGGGAGGCCCCGTTCATCATTTTCTTTGCCCAGTGAAGTGTTGTGGTGGGTGACGGGAGATGGCTCTGTGGAGGGTGGTGATAAGCGCCCCTGGGGTTAGGCTGCTTGCCTTTTGGGGCCAAGTATAATGATCACGGCAGAGTCAGACCTGGCGCTTCCCTCTCCTACCCAGATCTAAGACCTGCATTTGGGGTGGGTGACATCAAGAGATCCTGCGGTCTGTCTTTAGATGGCCCTTGGTGGGAACCCTCATTTGGACGTTGTTACTCTGATCTGTGCTTTACTTACTTGGTTCCTTGGGGTCTCCTCTCTGCATTTAACCAAACCAAAGGGAGTATGGTTCAGGACACAGAGTAGCGACACGCCATGCCTAGTGTCACCTCTAGGTCACCAGTCAGTGTCCCCTCCTGACAGGCTGGTCTACAACAGAACATCCCGGACTACCCAGTTTCCCGATGGTGTGGATGTCCGTGTCCCCAACTTTGGGAAGACCTTCTCTGTGGAGTTCCTGGACCCCAGCAAAAGCAGTGTGGGTGTGTACCCTTACTCATGTCCTCCAGGGGATGGGGCCGGGGGCTCTACTGGACTCCTGGAGTGGCGGGAACCATGTGTGTTTGAAGGGGCAGCCTGTGAGCCGTCTCTGATCACGGTGGGCACGGAGCCCGCGTGCCCTCCCCTGGGCCTCCCGTGGTAGGTGTCACAGCCTCCTTGGCAGACACGATACGAGGAGCTGACAGTTGCTGTTCCTTCTCTAGTCATGCGTATTTCTGCCTGCAGGTTCCTATTTCCACACCATGGTGGAAAGCCTTGTGAGCTGGGGCTACACACGGGACGAGGATGTCCGGGGGGCCCCTTATGACTGGCGCCGAGCTCCAAGTAAGCAGTCGCCCTCATTTCCTTCCTGAGGCCTTGGGAGGTGGGGATCCATGCTCACAGCCTGTGCTTTCTCCTGGCCCTGCGCCTCTGGTGTCTGGCCCGGTGGCCAGAGCCACCACTCTTGGCCAGTCTCCTGTGTCCTTTCCCGCTGCTCACCCAGGACTTCTGGAACTCTGAGCCTTGGGGAGAGATCATAAGGCTGACGGAAAGAAAGGAGCTCCTTTCCTTCCTTCATGGAAATCCAGGGGAAATGGACTGTTCCCACTTGGATTTTAGCTTGTTCCCCACCTCCTGGTCCTGGGTCTGCCCTGAGAAGTGGTCCATGATTCAGGCCCAGGACCCTTCCTGCCTGACTCCTGCCTGGCTCTGGCCTGCAGATGAAAACGGGCCTTACTTCCTGGCCCTCCGCAAGATGATCGAGGAGATGTACCAGCTGTATGGGGGCCCGGTGGTGCTGGTTGCCCATAGTATGGGCAACATGTACACGCTCTACTTTCTGCAGCGGCAGCCACAGGCCTGGAAGGACAAGTATATCCGTGCCTTCGTGTCATTGGGTGCGCCCTGGGGGGGCGTGGCCAAGACCCTGCGCGTCCTGGCCTCAGGTAAGACCCTGCTGGGCCCAGCGTGGGGGCTGGACTGGGGATGGAACCCTCTCTTTCTCTCTACAACATCCTCCTGGCCATTGTCATGGGTCTGCTTGGTCAGCACTTTTCATTTTCCTGAGTGATATCCTGTCCAAACATCTCTTTCCAAAAGAGAATATCCCGGAGAATGCTATTCCCTCATGTCAGTTCTCTAGTGTTAATGACCTTTGTAATCTGTGTGTTTCTTTTTTTTTTAAGGTTTATTTATTTATGCATACAAGAGCTGGGGTACAGGCCAGAGATGTGGGGGGTGAGAAGATTCACCAGAGGCAGAGTGGGGAACAGAACAGGCAGATTGACTGAAATACACTGCTGAGGGGAGCAGCGGGTGAGACAGGAGAGGTCTGCTGTGCCATGTGGGTAGCTCCCCAGCCAGGGATTGAACTCGTGCTGCAGTGGCTGCAGATGGCTTTATAGGTTGCATCTTAACCCCTTGAGCCACCAGGGAGGCCCTGTGTAAGTTTCTTACAGCATGTTTGTGGTATGGCATGACTGTTAGTCATACAGGTACTTGTTTGTGCAAATATGTGCACACATTGTCTCTCTCAGGCCTGACTGGCCTAACTTGGTTAGACACAGAGTTCTTTGGGAGAGCCTTTTCCTTCTTTTACCACTCCCCCCCCTTCTTCATCCCCACCTTGGCCCCAGAGCAGGAAGATTGGACTACAGTTTCCTGTTTATGAGTTATACCTCCATCTGTAGGCAGTGGGGCGCCTCTGTGAGCAATGCAGGGAGGAAACAGGTGCAGATCTGGCTGGGCCTGCTTACCTGGCAGTTGGGAAAGTGACCTCCTTTCCCGTTCCCCCAACCCACCTGCCTTGTCAAGGCTGTCAGAACCTGTCAGCTGCAGCTGTAGCACTTCCCTCCCTCTGCTAGGACTAGGTGTAACCCTCACAGCCCCTCACTTTGGTAACCATGAGCTAGGGCTGTGATGAATCTTCTTCAAGTCTTTGGTACCACCTGACCTGCTTGTTGGTCAGCTGACATTTGATTGGGTCAGACCCTGTGCCTCTCCCAGCAGTGACCCTGCACTGACTGGACAGTGACCCTAGGACACAGATGTCCAGATACAGTGATCACTCATCACAGCTGCGTCCCTGGGCTTGAAGGGATGGATATGGGCACCCCTGCCTATGAGATGGGCAGCCTTGTTGGGTCTATACCCTGGCCTTTCAGTACTTCTCCTTCAGCTGCTGAAAGCTGTCATGGCAGGCCCTGGCAGTGCGGAAGCAGGGGGAGAGTGCGGAGGTGTGGGGTACTAGCTCTAGACTTCCTTTCCTCAGGAAGTTAGAGCCAGGTCCTACCAGGCCAAGCTATGATCAGTCAGAGCAGTGGGGTGCATCCTATCAGGTCAGAGGCCCCTGTTTCCAAGATCCAGCTCCACTGGTGGGTGTCAGCACGTCTGTGGGAGGACTCTGACCACCCGTGGCCTCTCCTGCCAGGTCTCCTGCAGCCCTGGCTGTCCTGGCAAGTGAGAGGCAGATGAGTAAGATGAGACCAGGACTGGCTGGCCACAGGGCTGAACCAGGAAAATAAAAATGTTTACATAACTTGATGTAGTCAAAGAGAAAGAGGCACATTCTTCTGGGCTTCAGCCTGCTGATAACACTTCTCACAAGGTCAGTGCCCACAGGCCACTGTTAGCACTCAGAAGAGGGGACTGTTTGCATAACAAATCACTTGTGGGAATGTGCTGCCTCCACCCCTGTAAGGAAATGCCAAAGGAAAGGAAGAAGTCTTGGTTGTGTGTTTTATAGCAAAAAATAAAGGAAAGTGATAAAAGCCCCAGTAGGGTCAGGAGTTGTAATGATGTTGGTACAGAGGCTCGAGCGCCAACTGGGCCACTGCCGGGTCAGGCAGGAGACCTGCAGGTGAACCTGCTGCCTGGCCGGCTGGCATTTCTGAGCCAGACTGATGGAGCCCTCTCTCTGCAGGAGACAACAACCGGATCCCGGTCATCAGGCCCCTGAAGATCCGGGAGCAGCAGCGGTCCGCCGTCTCTACCAGCTGGCTGCTGCCCTACAACTACACCTGGTCACCTGAGAAGGTGTTTGTGCACACGCCCACAACGAACTACACGCTGCGGGACTATGCCCAGTTCTTCCAGGACATTGGCTTCAAAGATGGCTGGCTCATGCGGCAGGACACAGAAGGGCTTGTGGAACCCATGGTGCCACCCGGTGTGCCGCTGCACTGCCTCTATGGCACCGAGGTCCCCACGCCAGACTCCTTCTACTATGAGAACTTCCCCGACCACGAGCCTAAAATCTACTTTGGTAATGGTGATGGCACTGTGAATCTGCAGAGTGCCCTGCATTGCCAGGCCTGGCGAGGCCGCCAGGAGCACCAGGTATCAATGCAGGAGCTGCCGCACAGCGAGCACATCGAGATGCTGGCCAACCCCACCACCCTGGCCTATCTGAAACATGTGCTCTTTGAGCCCTGACCGAATGCCAGGTGGGCTGCTGGTGGCTTGCCCACAGCTGTTTCTCCTGGCCTCAGAGTGGCCATGGCCCAAGAATTCAGCAGTTCGTGACTGACCTTTGGGCCTTGTGTTAGGAAATGCCTGCTGTGAGGAAGTGCTGTTTCTTATCCTTCCTTTGTGGGAATGAGGAAAGAAACAATAGTCCAGACCCACTCAGGGAAGCCTTAAGGGAAAAAATGTGGCTGATGGTAGAATTATCGTGACCTCAAGACCATCTCCGAAGGGGGAGTGGCTGGCACCTGGCCCCATTCCCCAACTCCAGGGCCACATGGACCTCTTACCCCTGTGGCCTTCTCACACTTGCCCACCAGGCCCTGGTCCCTCAGCCTTGCTGTGGGAGATGTTACTGAGCTGTGGTCCCTGCTCCCAGTGGTCCCAGGGATGGACCCCTAGCCCTCCGTGACCCTTCCCGCACACTGGCCACGTGTAGGCCTGCTCCTGGCCGTGGGTGGCTGGGGCTGCTGGTTGCCTTGCAACCCAGCTGCTCGGCCACCTCACTGGCTTCTGGGGGCAGTCCGACTGCCCTGGGGCACTCCTACCTCCTTCACCTCTAAGAGCCACCTAGCTCAGGACTGGACAGCAAATAGCCCCCAGTTCTGGGGGATATGTACCCAGAACCCTGATCCCCTTGGTGTGCTCTTGGCCACAGTATTGATGCTGGCTCCTTTTGCCCAGGACTGTGGTTCAAGGATAACTACTGTGTTGCCACCCTGTTGTAAGGTCTCTCTAGTACCCAGTGGGCTGGCACAGGGCTGAGAGGAGACAGAGCTCATGCCTCTCCCCTCCACCCCCCAACCTAGGACCTACCCCACCAGGCAGCTGAGTGGTGTCTGTTCTTCAGGGACTAAACCGGAAACTTGAGTTGGCCTCTGAGAGAGCCAGGTGCCTTGAGGCCCCCCTGGGGGTTTTCTGCCCCAGAGGTATGACAGATCTCCCTCTCAGCAGGGATGAAGAAGCTAGGTCTGCCTTGGTGGCAGTGGACCATGGCTATAGGCTGAGGTGTGGCTCTGAAACCACATTCAGACTGGACTGTGCTGCTCTCCCACAAGGTAACTATGGAGCTGGATTTTCTCTGTTGCATACCTACCCCAGCATTTGTCACTTTTCCCCTGAGTGGTGAGCCCTGCCTGGGGCTCTGAGCAGGCTGTACCTCAATTCTGGCAATAAAAGTATTCTGGATGCTGTAAAGTGCACTGGCCTATGCTCTGCTCTGAGCATGAGGAGGAAGATAGTGAGGGGCAGGGTGGTAGAGAGGCCGGCAGCAGGGGCTAGCCCCTTCCTGGAGTCTTGACAGCTTAGCACCAAAACTTGACTCCTATACACCTCCTTGGGCTTCATCATGCTGCCCCCCTCTCCTGGAATCTAGTTCTCCTGGGACTAAGAGCCAGATCCTGAAACATTCCTGTTGGTTTGTGGCTCCTGCTCGGTCTGCTGCCGCCGCCGCTGCTGCTGCTGCTGCTGCTGCTGCTGCTGCTGCTGCCCAGGGGCTATTGACAATCCTGCAGGCTCCCCTGGCTGGCCCATCTTCCCAGCTTTGTCCTCTCAGCTTACAGGCCTGTTTCCTTTGAAACAGCAGTCCTTCAGTTCTTTTTAAAGACACCACCCTTCTGTTTCACTTCTTCAGTTCCTCTGCCCACCATCTCCCTCTTTGGAGAAAGTGAGATCGAGGGAGGAAAGGCTAGGTTTAGATTGGTAAGGACATAGACCAAGATGGGCAGAGACAGGGACTGAGAGACTGGGGTCAAGTGGAGATGGGCAAGAGACAAAGAGTCTGAGACTGGGACACAGTCATGGGGTGTTTGAATTTTGTGGTCCAGAGCCAGGGAGGGGAAGGGAGTAGGATCCCAATTCCTGCTTCCATAGAGCTCTGACAGCCTGGGCTTCAGGGTTCCATACCGCTGAGCCACTAGAGGGCGCTCTGAACACTCATACTACATCCGTTATTGACCAAATCTGGAAAAGGAGAGTGCAGGTAAGGTCAGGATGCCTATGGCTGACTACACGGGTCCAGCTGCACTGCTGGCCCGGGTGAAGCCGGACAGCAACATGAAAGAGAGAAGCACTCGGGGCCTCCCTGGTGGTGCAAGGGGTTAAGCACCACACTATGAAGCAGTCCGCAGCCTCTGCAGCACGAGTTTGATCCCTGCCCTGCCAGGGAGCAACCCACATGGCGGAGCAGACCTCTCCTGTCTCACCTGCTGCTCCCCTCAGCAGCGTATTTCAGTCACTCTGGCTGTTCTGTTCCCCACTCTGTCTCTGGTGAATCCTGCATCTCTAGCCTGTACCCCAGCTCTTGTATGCTTAAATAAATAAATCTTTAAAAAAAAAAAGAAACACTCACACAGAGGCCCTGCCCAGCCTGCTCCCCAAGCTCTACCCTGACACTCATCTACCCTTGCCACCCATTGTGGCCTTGCACTCAGCCCCACTGCCACCCTTGCCTTTGCACCTGCAAAGGAAAGGCATGGAGTCAGAGCAGGCCTAAGGATAAGTAGACTGGGATTCAAATCTGACCTCTACCATCTCTGGTCAAGAAGCCTGGGAAGTCTGACCTCCTTGAGCCTCAATTTCCTCATCTGAAGAATGGGGATGAATAATTGAACACTGCTGAGGAACAACTGGTGCTGGAGGGCATCTGATCCACTGCTTGGTGTACAGTGGCTTTCAGTTTGTGGGCTGCTGTACCAGGGCATGAGACCGTAAAGCCAGAGATCTAGGAGCTGGCAGGTTGTATATGTGGCTGTTGCTAGGACAAGTGGAGTGGCTGCCATTGAGTCTGGAGCCATTGACCAGGGAAGCAGGAGCAACTGATCCAGGAGCAAAGGGTCAGACGCTAATGACTCCAAATAAATATGCTCATTCCCATCTAGGGAAGGAGTTCTGGGGAAAGAGCACAGCATGGGCTGCACCAGTGAGGACTCTTTCAGGATCATGTTAGGTCTGTGAGGAGTAAGATGCAAAACCCTCTCAGATACAAAGTCAAAGTTGTTTCAGTGTGTATTTTAGGAGCACCCCCTGCCCTGTGGGGATGGGTTAGTGGGAGCAGGATAGGGATTGGGAGGCTAACTAAGACTGGAAAGAAGAAAACATGAGCTTCATGTTGGGAGGAAGTCGGACAAAGCATGCAGGGTGCTGCCCATCTCTAGTTGGCTTATTGGATGGCAAGAGCAGGAATCTGAGTGTGGTCAGTCTGAAAGTGAAAGGTGTAGCTGTGAACGTGTATCTGGGAGAAATGACTCCATGGCCCGTGGCTTGATGTGTGGACAGGAAGCTAAGGGGGAGGCTCACGAGGTCAGGAGGCCCAAGACTGAGGCTCAGCACTACCGGAGGGAAAGGAGCCCTTGAAGGAGATGGGAGCAAGCAGAGGGAGAGGAAGAGGACAGAAGGGTGCATGCAGCTCCCCCATGAAAGGTGTGGGCAGGGCCAGGCAAGATGAGGGCTGAATCTTGTGTCTGAGCCCCAGGCAGGCCCGGGGTTGGGACAGGCATCCCGGCAGCCTCCGGGGGCTCATGGAGTGTGTGTGGGTCCCAACTGCAAGTGGAGGAGGCCGAGTCCCGGTTGTCCTCCTGGGGGCCTGGGAGCGCGCGGCGAGCGGGTGTGGCGGCTCTTCAGAGCCAGGTGAGGGGCCGGGCCAGGAGCCACCTAGGAACTGGGCGTGGGGGCCATTTGGACGCCCCGCCCCTGCCCCGCGGCATCACCCCGGCCTGGGGCTCCTGGGAGGCCCCGAGCGCCCTCCGGTCGCGGGTGGGCCCCCTTTGTGCCCGGCGGGCGCGGCAGGCACGTGCGCGGAGCCGGGGCGCGCGGGCCGCGGGGGGGGGAGCCGGCGCCGGGCCCACGCGCCGCGCCGTGTCGCGAGCCGCGGCGGGTGACGTGGCGGGGGCGGGGCCTGCGCGGCGCGGCGCGGCGGAGCATCCTGGAGGCGCCGGGCGCGAGGTAACGGGCAGGGGCGCGGGCGGGGACGGGCGCGGGCGGGGACGGGCGGGGACGGGCGGGGGACGGGCGGGCGGGCGTCCCGGCCTCTCTCGGCGCAGCCCCGCGCGCGAAGCCGCCCGGGAGCCGGCGCGGACGGGCACGCGGAGCCGGCGCGCGCGTCGGGGGGACCCGAGCGGGAGGGCGACGCCGGCAGTGGGGGGCCCGGGGCGTGTGGGGAGACCCGCGTGAGAGACGGGGGCCGACGCCCCGAGCCTGAGGGCCGCCCCGCGGGGGTGAGGTGAGGGCGACTCAGCCGCGTGTGCGGCCGGGCGGGAGGCGCGGGGCGGGAGACTCGCGTCCGGAGCCGCCACGGGCGAGAGGGAGGCGGGCCCGAGAGGCGCCCCGAGCCCGGGGCCGGCGGCCGGCGGCGACCGCGCGCCTGGGGGCAGTGGCTGCGAGACCCGGGGCGCGGGACCCCCAGGCCCCGGCAGGGGACTCGGCTCCTCGGGGCGCCCGCGGGGCGGCTCGTGCCCGGGCAGGGGGCGCCGCCGCGACGGGATCCTGTGGCCGCGGGGGATCCCCTCGTCGAAAGTGGAAGGAGATATTTGTGGCACATTCTTCCCTGAGCACTAAGCAAATAGCGCGCCCGCGGGTTGAGCAACGCTGGTATAAATAGGAGCCGCGTTTCATGGAACACTTGTCTGTGAGCCCCGCGGCGTGTGTGGTGACACAGTGCAAAAGAATCTGCCCCGCGCCTCATGGCGGGGCGCACCCCCCGGGGGAGCGAGCACCGTCTAGCACTGCGGTAGCGAAGTGCTCTCCCATCTGGTGCTTATCTGTCAGAGCTGCTCCCTGATTTGAAGATCCGGGAGGCACAGACTTTTCTAAACCTGGGAGTGCTTCCTGCAGTCTTTTTGCCTCTTTGCTTTGCCCTGAGGCCCCTTAGGAAACTGCCCAGGCTGCCGACATTCCTGGCGTCCTCATGTGTGCTGATCCCTTTTGCTTCCCAACTTAAGTCTCAGATGTCCTTCGAGTTCTTCTTCTTCTTCTTCTTTTTTTTTTTAGAGATTTATTTATTATTTATGCAGAGAAGAGCTGGGGTTAAGGCCAGAGATGGGGCGGGTGGTGCGATGACTCACCAGAGACAGCGGGGAACAGAACAGGCAGACCTGCTGAAATTCAGTGCTGAGGGGAGCAGCAGGCGAGACAGAAAGGTCTGCCTGCCATGTGGGTTGCTCCCTGGCGGGCCAGGCATGGAACTCATGCTGCAGAGGCTGTGGACTGCTTCACAGTGCGGTGCTTAACCCCTTGCGCCACCAGGGAGGACCTCCTTCAGGTTCTTAAATTTTATTTTCCTCTCCTGATTAATAGGTGGAAAACCACCAGCCATATTTTTCCTCTCGTCTTCCTCCCCTGTCTGGCTGTAGACCTATTTTTTATTGCAGACAAAAGTAAATACCAGTTATGTCACTGATCTCCCCGGCCCTTCTCACAGGAAATTTTCTGACCTCTGTCCTCTTGAGCTTCCTACTGCAGTCTCCAGGATGTTCTACAAAAGTGACACAAAAATTCATGGGACCTGGGGCTCCGGGAACAGCCGCTGTCTAGACATGCGTGATTCGAGATGGCCAGCTTAGTTCTCTCGACACGTGTTTGGGCTGGTTGTTTCAGTTACACCCCAGTGTGGGTGTGATGGAACTTCTCAGTAATTGCTGCCCCTGCTGGGCATGTACAAAGGAAAATATTGTCCTACTGCTTACAAGGTTCTTTTATTTATTTATTTTTAATTACTTTCCTCACTCTTTGTTGCAGAGATTAAATGACCAAGACAGAGATGAGGAATTAGGCCTTGCTGCAGAGACTTCAATTTCTTCCCAGTACCTGACCATTTATGATGAGGCAGCTTGTGGAAGTGTGATGTTTCCTTATTTCCTCACAGGTGAATATTATTGCTCTCTTATCTGTGAGTTTTCTTGGAACTGTATGATTTGTAAAGAATTTTAGTTATTTGTTAACTGTGAAAAAGATAGTAAAAAGAATGGCTCACACATAATTAACAATTATGTGGCATATAATTTATTATATGAGGAAATTATATATTATGTTATACTTTCAGAAGAGTAATTATGGTGTTTTTTTTTTAATTTTTTAAAAAGATTTATTTATGCATACAAGAGCTGGGGTACATGCCAGAGATGCGGGGGGTGAGAGGATTCACCAGAGACAGAGTGGGGAACCGAACAGGCTGACTGAATAAAATACACTGCTGAGGGGAGCAGCAGGCAAGACAGGAGAGGTCTGCTTTACCATGTGGGTTGCTCCCTGGCCAGGGATTGAACTTGTGCAGCAGAGGCTGCAGATTGCTTCATTGCTTAATCCCTTGCGCCACTAGGGAGGGCCTTTTTTTTTTTTTTTTTTTTTTTTTTTGTGTGGGACCCTCGCTGGTGGCCAGGTATGGAACTGGCACTGCAGAGGCTGCGGGCAGCCTCGCAACCCAGCACTCAACCGCTGTGCCACCAGGGGAGGCCCAGGGAGGCCCTTTTTTTAATTTTTAAAAAAGATTTGTGCATACAAGAACTGGGGTGTAGACCAGAGGTGTAGGGGACGAGAGGACTCACCAGAGACAGAATGGGGAGCAGAACAGGAAGATCCACTGAAACACACTGCTGAAGGGAGTAGAGAGCGAGACAGAAGAGGTCTGCTGTGCCATGTGGGTAGCTCCCTGGCTGGGCATTGAATTTGTGCTGCAGAGGCTGCCGATAGCTTTGCAGTACTGAGCTTAATCTCTTGAGTCACCAGGGAGGCCCTGGACTGCTTTTTTGAGAATGTATGAATGGCGATACCATTGTGCAAATGAATCCAAAGTCATTGTTATAATTTTAGAAGCTTTTTGTTATTTCTTTTTCCTTGTTCATCACCTGTTCTTGAAGAACAAGTACCATGACAGAAAATGGTGGGAATCACTGTCTTGGACTGCTTTTTCTCTTTTTTCCTTTTATATATATATATATATATATATATATATATATATATATATATATATATTTAAATGAGATACCATTTGATAATCTTTTTGTTTTTGTTTGCTATTTGTTTGCATTTTTTAATTTTAATTTAAAAAAAATATTTATTTTTATACAAGAGCTGGGGTACAAGCCAGAGGCATGGGAGGATGAGAGGATTCACCAGAGACAGAGCAGGGAGCAGAACAGGCAGAGGACTGAAATACAGTGCTGAGGGGAGCAGCGGGTGTGACAGGAGAGGTCTGCTGTGCCATGTAGGTCAGCTCCCTGGCCAGGGATTGAACAGCTGCTTTGCCTGGGAAAGCCTTTGCAGTGGTAGTTCTGAGTCTTAACCCTTAGGCCACCAGGGAGTCCCTGATTGATTGTTTTGACTTCTCATAGTGGGTGGTTTTTATTGCTCTTTTGTGTTGCTTGCAATTTATTATTGATTGTCAGACACAGTGTATAGAGCAGTGGAGACTGAGGTACATCATATTTATTCTGAGTAAAGTTAACCTCTACTTTTGCTAGGCTGTTAGTGGGGGAGTTTGAGTCAGGAGATTGGGCTTGGGTTTTATGGTTGCTATGGTTACCTCATGTGCACTAATGGCTTCAGATTCCTTAGGTATTTCCTTATGCTTAGGCTTGGTTTAATGGGGAGTGGTTTTTCTTAATCCTTAAGCTTCACCCTCAGCTTCAGCTCTTCTTTGTGCACCTATGCCTCAGTGCCCAGCCTGCCAGTCTTGTCGCCGGGTCAGGAGCAGAGGGCTTCTCTCTTGTTTTGTTCAGTCTTACTCTGAGTTAGAGACTGTTTCCCTGGGTCTGGGGTGCGTGTGTATGTGTATAGGTGGATGGATGTTTCTTGGTGATCTTACCCCTCCCCCAGAGGTAAAATAACTATAAACTATAACACGTATAATGGTCTAGATGAGAATTTGCCCTTCCTGCAGGCACAGAGAGTTCTCCTATCTTTTGTCCTGCCCCATCTTCCTTGGGAGTGAGTTTTCCATCTTTTACCAGGGATTTAAGATTTGTATTGTTAGAAAAGGACCAGGTGGACCTTTGTCTTTTTCCCAGGCCAGTCACTGCTTTCCTCCTCCAGGCTGGCACCCCGGAGAGGCTTTCCCTGTTTTCCTGCCTGATATTTCTTAGGCGCACCACTGAGGTCTGTGGAGGAAGACCTCTTGAGTGTCTGTGTCTCTTGCTAACCCACACTTGACCTTTAGTAGTTCATTAAAAATTGCTCCGAATTCTTCTTACTTGCCTGAATACTGTCCCATCATCTTCCTCTGCCATCGGTGAGCCAGAGCTTGCCTCTCACTGTGGAGGTGCCTGTTTCTCCTGAAATTTTCGTCCAGGCCAGTAACGTCAGCTCTCTAGTGGCTTCAGGAAATGTTATGGTTTTGTAGGTTATTCGAACCTTTCTTGTCATTGGAATAGGAGCGATGCTTTCCCTAGCTCTCTACATCTTAACTGGAAATTAAGAGTCAGGGAAATTCCTTTTTAGACTCATTTTCCAGTGAAATGAATCCAATGAAATGAACTTACCTGTCTCTTTCCCTTCCTGTAATATTGTAATTAAATATATATTTGGTCTTTGTCCACAGTTCCTGGCACGCAGCTCCTGTAATTTCCTATATAAGATCCATAGGGACATCTTTTGTTAAAATATTTAATTTTGTTACTGGTTCCTAAAATAACTCCAGAGCATAAAGGAAAAATGTATATCTTTCATTATTTATAAAATTAAGTCACTTTCACCACACATGAATTTATGATAATGAGGTAGATTTTGGAGCATCTACATCTCTAAGGATGGGGACTAGGACTGATTGCTGGGGGGACTAACCTTGTGATTAGAGGGTTGAAACTTTCAGTCCAGTCCCGACATTTGGGGACGAGAGAAATTTGAGACTGAATCACCAGTGACTTAATCAGTCTAGTCTGCCTTTGTGATGAAGCCTCCATAAACAACCCAACAGGATGGAGTTTGGGGAGCTTCTGAGTTACTGAAAGTGTGAAGGAACCCAGAAGGGCCATGGGGACTTCATGCTGTTCTCACACACCAATGCATCTCTCTCATCTTGCTGTACTTGAGTTGTAGCTTTTATAATAAAATGTTAATTTCGTGAGTAAACTGTTTTCCTGAATTCAGTGAACCGGTCTAGCAAATGAAGCAAACCAACAAGGGCGAGCAGGAACCTCTGACTTATAACCAGTTGGTGGGAAGTACAGGTAACAATGTGCACTTGCCAGGGTGTCTGAAATGGGGGAGGGGCCATTTTGTAGCACTGAGCCCTTGACCTGTGGGATCTGGTGCTCATTCCAGGTGAGTAGTGTCGGAAGTGAGTTTAATTACAGAACATCTGGCTGGTGTCCCAGCACTGCTTGGTGTTTAGAAAACCCACCTGCAGTGGTGGTGTCAGAAGTCCATAAAGAATGCCTGGTAGTCCCAGTCCTTGTCCCCCCAGCTACGCTCTGATGGGGTAGGGGGAGACTGGAGTGGTCACATTTCTCTGCTTGCATGTGTTAAGTTGAATGGGAAAGGCAGCCTCTCCCTCTAGTGAGAATGTGGGCTCCTTGGCTGTTTCCTGGTTTTGTTTTCATGGATGCCTGGGCTCACCTGACAGACACGTGAAAGCAACTATGTTCCCATGTGGCTTATAGGGAAACTTGCATGGCTTGGTGCTAGAAGGGAAAGGAGAAGCATTGCTTCCTCAGAGCCAAACCTCATCTGAGCAGGGGTCAGCTGGGGCTGGGGGAACGCTTGTTACTGACCCAGGGGAGCATTTTTCGATTGGGCTGAAGTCTGCACTCTGGAAGCAGTCTGGGACAGGTAAGGCAGGAGTTTTGTGGAGATAGGATTTTACCCTGAGAACTACTCACACCTGAGTGGCTGTGGTTCCCTGTCCTGGGCTTTATGACACAAGATTCTGGCACATCACCTTTGTTAAGTAGATGAGAGGTTTCTAGGAAGATGATATACTGATCCCACTCTTACCTCTGGAATTTATTTCTGTGACCGTTAAGGACTGACTCCTGGGTGGGAATCAAATGACCTATCAGATTGCTTCCTTCAAAAGATGGGGCAGGTCACAGTTGCTCCTGGGGATCTGAGCTCCTGGTCTGCTGTGGTTCCAAGAAAGAGACAAGGCCTGTGGACCGACCATGGATCTACAGCTTTTAGTGAGGGAGGGTGGGGTGACTGGAGCCGGGGAGGGAGGCACGGGGGAGGGGAGTGGTGGTTGGTGGTGGATTATTGGTGGGAGGGCTGCACCTAAGAGGAACAGTAACTATAGAAAGATGATCCACAATGTAAGAAAATAAAAAAAAATATAAAAATAAGCAAAACAACAACAAAAGACGAGGCTGGAGAGGGGAATGTAAATTCATGATTTCTGGGCACAGGAATTGAGGGAGGGAGAAGGTCATGCACAGTCAGGAAGGTGCTTGTCTTTCTTGGCAAACTCAGGGTCCTTTATAGGAAGGTTGGTGTGGAATCCAGCTTCTCTGAGGTTTCTGGATTGGCCCAGCTCTAATCCAGAGGTAATAGTGGGTGTGGGTGTTGTCGTCGTTTCCTTATAGGATGCCTTCCAAGGTCAGAGCTGTGAATAAGAGAAGTCTTATAGCTTTAACTGGGTATCAAGATTCCTGGTTTCTATTCTGGAAGATTCTCTTTCCAACCCTAGATGGTAGTGAGGAACATGCAAAGGGGAAAACAACAAAGCAAATGAGCCCCAGGTTAGGGCATCCTCTGGATGTTCTTTTTTTTTTTTTTTTTTAAGATTTATTTATTATTTATTTGTTTATACAAGCACTGGGTACATCAGAAGTGCGGGAGGGTGAGAGAATTCACCAGAGCCAGAGCGGGGAGCAGAGCAGGCAGAGGGACCAAAGTACACTGCTGAGGGGAGCAGCGGGCGGCAGGAGAGGTCTGCGCGCCATGTGGGACCCTCCTCCGGTGGCCGGGGAGCAGCCGGGGATCGAACTGGGCTGCAGAGGCTGCGGGCAGCTTCGCAACCCAGCGCTCAACCGCTGCGCCACCGGGGAGGCCCTGGATGTTCTTTTTCCATCTGGTTTTATTATGTTATCCCTCCTGTGTACTTTGGAAAAAGAAGGGTATTGAATGGGTAAGAAGTGTTGTCAGAAGTTGGTGGGTGTTGTTGGACACAGCTACACATAGGTGTTCATTTTCATGAAGGTGCTCTCCTTGGTCCATTCTCTGAAATAGTGATGTTCCTTTGTCTGATCATCTTCCTTCCCACCATGTTCAGCCTAAACGTGGTTACAGATCTCTACATGTGGCTGGACACCGTGGAAGTTCCTGTTTACATTTGGTGGAGGTGCGGGGGAAGGACTGTCTGCGTGTGGGTCATGAGAGGCCTATCAGACTGGTGAGGGCTGTGAACCTGGTGCTGGGACCCTGGTCTTCCCTGTAGAGCAGGTCTGCAGGTGTTTGAGCTGGTAAGAACAGAACAACACCTGCACCTCACGACAGACCCGTGCTTTGGATAATCCCAGTGGCAGCCTGCTTAAGCCTGGCCCCTTTTTAGAGTTGCCGTCATATAGTGTCTGAGCGCTCATGGCGCCTTTCTCGGGAGCAGTGGATCTCTGCCTATCTCCCTTTCTCTATTTCCTGTGGCTCATTGCTTTTAGCTCTGTGAGAGGCTTGTTGTCTCTATATAAGATGTGGACAGAGAAACCTACCTTTGTGTCTGAATCAACGCTTCATCAGTGCCTGCCAGAGACTGACATATTTCTGTTCTTTGCCAGGCCACAGTAAACAGAGGTGTGAAGGAAAAGTTAACTATGGAAGCTATGGAGTTGGAGAGCCCCAGACCCACCTACCATCTCATTCCTGAAACCAGCCAGCTGAGGGAGGAAGAAGATGTCAGCATACCCTCTAAAGCAACCACAGAAATCATGCAGCTGAAGAAGGAGATCTCTCTGCTGAACGGAGTTAGCCTGGTGGTGGGCAACATGATTGGCTCAGGAATCTTCGTCTCACCCAAGGGTGTGCTGGTACACACTGCCTCCTATGGCTTGTCACTGGTCATATGGGCCATTGGCGGGGTTTTCTCTGTTGTGGGTGCCCTTTGCTATGCAGAGCTGGGGACCACAATCACCAAGTCTGGGGCCAGCTACGCTTATATCCTAGAGGCCTTTGGGGCCTTCATTGCCTTTATCCGTCTGTGGGCCTCACTGCTTATCGTGGAGCCCACCAGTCAGGCCATCATCGCCATCACCTTTGCCAACTACATCATCCAGCCCATCTTCCCCACCTGTGAGCCCCCGTACCTGGCCTGCCGGCTCCTTGCTGCTGCTTGCATATGTAAGTCTGGGGGCTTCCTACAGAGAATGTGTGGGGGCGTGGGTTATTATAATAACTTCTAATGGTACCATGTTTGAACAGCATATTTAACTTTACTTTTTGGTGGGCACAGCGGCATCTTACCTTTGAAGAGATAATTTCACCAAAGTCATTTGATCCTGAGAGATAAATAAGAGTGTAGGATGGGGATGGGAAAAGTCTGAATCTGTTTTTTAGCTTTTGGTGTCTCACATTCCTTCAACTTCTGGCTGTCCCTGAGTTTGCATGTCTTGTATTTATTTTGTGAGATTTTTTTTTGATTGGAGTCAACATCACTAGTTATGATTTTTTTCCTTTTTGTTTAATTTTATACTGTTATTCTCTCTTTCTACTCATTATAAGTTAACTCAGAAAAAACTCAGTGGTGAGGTCTTTATCCTGCTGCTCATAAAAAAGAAAAGTTCTTTTGCTTTCCAACTTTTCTACCTTAAACCAGTTTAAAGGCATCAGTGAAGAAATAACCTTCTCTAGACGGGGATGGGAGCGGTTCTCAAGGCACGATCCCTCAGACCCAGCAGACCTCCTCCTTCCTGCGCTGCCATTATCTGCAGCTATTCTAAGCAGCAGGCACCACACCAAACATGACTTTTCCCATTGGTGTTTCAGATTTCTATACGCTAACTTTGTAAACAAGCTCTGTGGTGGCCAGTGAGGGTGGCTTCAACCCCATATTTGGGTTTCTGAGAACAGAACCTGAGCGCTTTATTTTCCTTTTTCTCTTATGAAGTGGTTAGGAGGGATTCTGTGTAAAATCACTGAAAGGGGGAGAAGCTTGCTGTAATTTTCCCCAGTCTTATAGAGCTAGTGTTTTAGCTGAGAGGTGGCCCAGAATTCCCTGTGTTCGTGGCTCCGTGCTGCCAGAGGCACTTAATTATGCTCCGTTCTTTCCATAACTCTGCTAGCAAAGGCTTTGGCAGTGTGTGGAGTGTATCCACAGTGTTAAAAATAGACTGAGTGTACCTTGGAGTTAGCAGTAAGGAGGTTGTACGGTACACCTCTCTCCCTCACTTTAAGGAATCTGTTAAAGACAACTGTTAAAGGATAGCCCTGGGACAGGGAAAGGTGGGTACTCAGGTTTGTGTCTGAGAGGATTTGGCCAGGGGAACTCTGTCTGGCTGAACACTCTAAAAAGTGAATACTTTTCTTACTATAAAACATGGTCATTAAGGAGAAAATTAGCTGAGCCTCAAATCACCAAGAGATGAATACTTCCAACTGTTCAATCGTGTCTTCATTTCTTTCTTTTATAGAATTGGCATCATACTTTGCATGTAATTTTACGTTGCTGTAAACATAACGCATCATGGATTTTTCCTTTGCCTGGAATGTCCTTCAAAAGAAACTTTATTTATTTAAAAGATTTATTTATTTATGCATACAAGAACTGGGGTGTAAGCCAGAGGTGTGGGGTAGGGGGTGAGAGGATTCACCAAAGACATAGTGTGGAGCAGAACAGGCAGATCTACTGAAATACACTGCTGAGGGGAGCAGCGGGCGAGCCAGGAGAGGTCTGCTGAGCCATGTGGGTCAGTTCCCTGGCTAGGGATGGAAATCATGCTGCAGTGGCTGGTGACAACTTGATAGCACTGAAACTTTAACCCCTGTGCCACCTGGGAGGCCCCTGAATAATATAAATAATGCTGCTGTGGGGATCTTTGTATATAGATCACTTTTCAGAGTTTTTACATAATTTCTTAGGATAGAATTCTGTAAGAGAAATCCCTGTGTCTAAGGAAATAAACTGTTTTTAAGATTCTCCATTGCTTTCTAGAGGGTTCTGTGAGCTTGTGCTTTTTATCTGAGTACTTGAGAGTGCATGCGTATTCTTTCCATGATTCCATAGGATGGGTTCCAAGGAATAACCAAGTCAAAGTGCACCTTTTATATAATTTTTCTTATATAATAGATTTTTGTTAAATCTTTTTCTCCTTTATGAATTTTTTCCCATTTTCTTTATGTTTAGGAAGTCCATCTCCATGGCAAGAGCCAATCTCTTGATTGGAATGATTTCACCTCTTAGAAATGCAAAGTCATGATGTTAAGTACAATTAGTGTGCAATACAGAAAAGGGGACAAATGCCGTTTCCAAATCAAGCACCCAAAGTTACCCATCCCCTTGTGGGTGAATGTCCAGCCAAACAGGGTTGGCCCAAAACAGGGCCTCTGAGGCCCGAAAGCCTGCCACAGGGCTAAGGCACCTTCTGGTGGGGACCTATAGAAAAGAAAAGGGACAGAAGAATCCCAGCTCATCTAGGACAGAAGGAGCAAAATTACAATCAAAGCTGCCATTGTTAACCTCCCCCCAGGTCTCTCACCCACATCTGTTTCACCCAGTCCAGGACCAGAAAGCAAGTGCAGCTTCTTCACTGTCTCTCTGCTCCATGTGGCTCCATGTCTCTCTGCTCCGGGTCTCCCCCTTGCTCTCCATCCATCCTTCTTTTCTTCCCCAGTCTATTCTCTAGCTTCTTCCAGCTCAGCTCTACCCTTCCTTGGGTAGGGCAGGAAACCTGGAACCTTCCCTTTTCCTGAGGACCATCCTGTTAAAAAGATATCTTCTTTCATTAAATGTACCTTTACCCAGATTTCTCAGAATATGAATTCCTGCAAGCCTTCTATCCCAGAAACCCAGATGTTTCTGTAATCCAGGTCTGAAGGCAGAAATTGGTTCCAGGTGGAACCAAATGTGTCCTGTCCTATCCTGTCTGACTAGACTTTAGGTTCATCTTCTCTTCTTGAAACTTAGGGTGTGGAATCAGGCTGATGATTTCACAAAGCCGGGGTGTGCTGGAGAGAGTCTCCTTGAGCAGGGGTGGCAGTGGGAGCAGCCTGGTCTCAAGTGACATAAATTGGAAGATGCCAATTAGTTCATAATGAGGGAAAAAAAGAAAAATTTGCACTGAATTCAGGGTGAACTGAATCCTGCTTGGAGGGTAGGAGAATTAAGTTAGTCTTGGAATTGACACATTAGAGAGGATTGTTGGTTGGAAAACTGCCTAAAGAAATCATAGCAATGCCAAAGTAGACATTAAGAGCCCATAGTAGAAAGACAGAAAGACAGGCCCAGACAGGCTCCATGTATTCCACTCTAGGGCAAAGACTACAAGTTGGTGGTCCATGTGGCAGACTTGGCCTGCAGATAGTTTGTCCCACCCGGGTTATAATCAATTGTGAATTTCTTGCATATTTGAAAATCAGAATTTGCTCTTTCTTTTGAAAAATCACAAGTTCTGGCAAACTTGGACCCTAAGTCCTGCCTTCCACAATCAGCTGAATGTAGGTGGTGGTCGGGCCCTTTAAATGGAGCACATACGCTCCAGTCTGCTGTAGTCCTCTCCCTCTTGTTCTGTACTCCATTCTCGCCTTTGCTTTTCTGGATTACTGCCCTGACCCCTGAAGGCACTGCTGTTTTGGATCCCGCCTCAGCCGCCCAGGTTACACTGGCAGAGAGAGCCAAATAGCTACTTTTGAATTTCAGGCTGTCTTAGCAACTCATTATCCTAGAGCAGTGGGTCGCAACCCTAGGTGAATTTGCTCCCCAGTGGATTTTGGCAAGGTCTGGAGACTGCCTCAGCTGTTGGGAGGGAGTGCCACTAGCATCTATGATGGGGTCAGGAAGGCTGCTGAAAATCCTGTAGTGCATGAAATAGGACTTGTCTGACCCAAAATGTCAATAGTACTGAGGTTGACATCTCCGTCCCGAGGTACAGTCTCCTCTACACATTCTGCATCTTGAAATCTTCTGTGGAGGGTTGGGCCTCAGGCTGCAAACTGAACTCAGAAAGCTTGGGAGCCCTTATTCACTTATGGGAGCGTGGGGGGAGCATGGGAGTTCTTGAGGTCTTCTTTGGGCCCCTCTCCCTGGCCAGGTGACAGGTATGTTCTCTGTAGGCCAGGTAGTTAGCACTTGAAGAGTACTTGATTTGAACGCCAGGGGTAATGTCTCTGGCTGAGTTGTGGCCGGTCCATTTATCTCTGTGGGATCCTGCCTGTGGTATCTCCTCACACACACCACCGGAGTATCTGCCGGGAAGGTTTTAATATGGAAGTCGGTTCAACACTGACAGTGTGACAGCAAAGCGGAAGTCTGCTGGGCAGTATCTCCCCCGAGGGTTTGCGTGATGAGGCTGACAGTGCGGGAAGAGGTGAAGGGGAGGGAGACTGCCAGGGTGAGACTGGAGTGAAGATACGCTGAGGAAGCCTCAGTAACTTTCTATTGTCTCTTGCTGTCCTGGACGCTGACTTGGGCAGGTTGCTCAGTAGGAAGGATGTGCCTCCCTGTTTTGGTGAGTTGTTGCTATGGCCAGATAAGCTTCCCTGTTCTGCCAGCGGCAGGCGTGAGGAGGCTTGTGTGTTCACCGTAGTTGCTTTAAGGCCCGAGCTAACTCTGCTCTGTATACATACAGAATAAGAAGTTTTTATAATAAGAGTGAAATTTTTATAATAAGGCTTAATACATATGTGTGTAATAAAAAGCCAGGGGGCTTTTTTTGAAAAAAGGCGCGAACCTTTAATAAACAAAGGGAGGCTGGCGTCCAGGGGACCCGAGGAATGTTGGTGGAAAAAACACAGTTCCCTCCAGCAGTGCAAAAATAAATAAATAAAAGCAAAAATAGTCTGTAGCCGAGAAGATTGTTCTTAAGAAGGCATGTCCATCACACGTTCATGCGGTTCCAAGAAGCAGCTCTGCGTGGTGGTTCTGCATTTGGGAGGGTTTGTTTGCTTTTACTGAACAGTAGAACTTTTCTCTCCTAATCGTTGTTTTTCTCCTTTCTCCCGCTTTGTTGTTGTTAAGGATTGCACGCCTCTGTCCTTGAATGCCCGTGAGTAACACCCAGCCTGTTTGTGGGAGGAATTGGAAGGGTTCCTTCTCCCTGTTGCCTTTGGGGAAAGGGAGCTGGGCCTCCCGGCAGGCCAGGATTACTCTGTGCTGCTCTTGAGGAGAGCAGGGGGGCGCAGCTCTGTCTCTGGGCACGTGCATTATGGGGTTTCAGGCAATGGAAAGCCTAAAGCAGCAAGGCTCACACATACTGGGCTGGGGTGTGTTTCTCTCACATGGGAAAAGGAGCAGTGTGGGGCTGGTACGATGACGTCATCATTTAGTAAGAACCGGGTTCTTCCTTCTGTCTTACTGCTCTGCCATCCATCTTCAGCGTGTCGCTGTGAGTCGGGGGTCCATGCTGGCTGCCTAAGCCCTAGCTGGCCCGTCTGCATCGTAGGGGCAGGAAGGACAGAGCACGGCATCTGCCACCTTGCAGATGTACTTCCCTGAGGTTCTGTTTCTGTGAAACGTTGCTATCATCCTTCCAGAACCCAGTTACTTGGTCCCATCGACCTGCAACTTTATTTTGGGCAGCCATGACTCCAGCTAAAACCCCTATTGCTAAGGAACAGTAGAAGAACAGACATTAGACGATACTTAGCACTCTTTGCCATAGAGACTTTGGGGATTTGTTTCTGTTTTGGAGTTGAGTCTGGATTTGCTGTTTGAATACTTCTTTGTCAGCATCAAGCCCCCAGAGAGCCTTGAAGACCCTCACATGGGTGCCAGAATCTTTGGTGCGAGGAAATGAGAGAAGGGAAGAGGGAAGCTTGGGTGTTTTCATGGTGGAGCCCCTGGCCTGCAGGCTAGCCATGTTGTCTCTAAGTTCTGACATAGTCGGTGTCTCTGATGCACTCCGTAGGGATGGGAGTTCTGGGAGGGACAAAGGGTGGAGAGCAGATGGCGACATTTTGTTTCTTAATTAGAATCAGGGCAACAGTCAAGGAAGGTACTTGGTTTCTGCTCGGCAGCCCTGTTCTGGGAGCTCTCTGTTCTCTGGCAGGCCTGAGAAGAGGGTGAGGCAACGAGGCCCCTGGGCCAGCATTTGGGAGGTGCCCTCTCTCGGGAGGCCCTGGACGAATCCCCTTTAGTTTCATGCCCCAGGGGCCTCACTTCCCTTGCCCAACCCCTGGTCGTGCTCCCTGGCCTCACACTGTTGTTAATTATTTTTATTTTTATTAAGGAAGAAGCATATGTGCATGGTAAATAAAAGTAGAAAAGGGCATGTACAGTGGAAAATGTCTTTGTCCCTCAGAGCTTCAGTCTTCCTCCCCAGAGGCAACCTTATCTCCTTCCAGCTGGTGTTGGGGGAGGGGGGGCTCTGCAGGGACTTGCAACAGGCTGCTGTCATTCACTGAATTCCTACCATGTGCAATATTTCCTTTATTTACTGGCGTGCGGAGAGCACCGAGCCCTGCGAGAAGTCTGTAGCACGATGGCAGGAAGCAGAAGCAGGGACTGCTGGTCTGGGGCAAACGAGTGTCAACTTCTCTTCCTCATCTTTTTTTTTTTTTTTTTTTAAAGATTTGGTTTTTATGCATATAAGAACTGGAGTACAAGCCAAAGGTGTGGGGTGGTGAGAGGATTCACCAGAGACAGAGTGGGGAACAGAACAGGTGGATTGACGGAAGTACACTGCTGAGGGGAGCAGCGGGGGAGATGGCAGAGGTCTGCTGCGCCATGTGGGTCACCTCCCTGGCTGGGGATGGAGCTTGCAGTTGGAACTCCCGCGCAGTGGCTGCGGACAGCTACATAGTGCTGTGGCTGCACCCCTTGCGCCACCAGGGAGGCCCTCTTCCTCATCTTGCAGCCACATTCGCTCTACAAACCAGAAGCTGGGGGAGCACGGCCAGGTTCCTGGGAGACAGTCTCTTTCTCTGTGTGCATGCCCATCTTTTTGTCCCTTTCTGTCTGTCTCCGTCTCCTGTTTTGTCTCCTATCTCTGTCTCCTGTGTCCTGCATATCTCGCCGTCAGTGTTTTTCTCACTGGCTGTACAGCCACTCGCTTCTGCTTCTTTCTAGAGTCCTGTTTCCTTCCTCTGCTTTCTTGTGGCTTTTGTTTCTCTATTACAAGAGCTTGTGTGTGACTTTGACTTTACTATGGTCCCAAGCTTGTTGCTAATGTTAGCTAGATTCAGTCTCTTGGTATCCCTACTCTGTGTCAGGAGAGATTATTCACTAAGTGAAGTTTGGGTCCAGTGTCTAAACGGATCAGCCATGGTTGGAGAGGAGGAACAATTTCTAAGAAGGGATTCAGCAGCTCCCTCGAGTTATGCTTACTGCCTTGCACAGGGGCCTGGGGATTACCGGTGATTATTAACCAGGTTGTCCTATGTCAGTTGATCTAGGCTTCGCACCAGGAAGCACACTGATAAGCAAGGCAGGTCCTGGGGAGACCTACCAGCAGCCTGCATTCCTTTGGTCCTCTCTCACCTTGACCATGGTCACCCCCTCCCCCCAACACTAGTCACTGCTTACAGGCTAGTAAGCACCTGGGTCACTGCCAGTGTGTTGAGTGAAAGCCCTTGAAGTGCCCTGGAGATTGTTCTGTCCCCCACATTGCTTATTTCACAGACTGGTCCTCGGCAGTCCCCTCCACTCGAGTGGAGAATCATCCGCTGTCTGGCAGTTTCCTTTCCCTGGGGAACTGGCAGTTAAGTGAAATCACTGCCACCTTCTTCCAGTAAGGGCTCCTCAGTTCCCCTCTTTGCTTGACATTGAGCTTAGAAAAACAGAGTGCTGGGCCTCCCCGGTGGGCCAGCGGTTGAGCGCTGGGTTGCAAAGCTGCCCATGGCCTCTGCGGCACCAGTTCGATCCCCGGCTGCTCCCCGGCCACCAGAGGAGGGTCCCGCATGGCGCGCAGACCTCTCCTGCCGCCCGCTTCCCTCAGCAGTGTGCTTCGGTCCTTCTGCCTGCTCTGCTCCCCGCTCTGGCTCTGGTGAATTCTCTCACCCTCCCGTGCTTTGACTGTACCCAGTGCTTGCATAAACAAATAAATAAATAAATCTTTAAAAGAAAAGAAAAGAAAAACAGAGTGCTTTTGTTTCCCCCTGAGAATTTGTGGTCTCCTGGGGGATGTACCACCCCAATGCCCAAGGGAGAGACTGGCATGAGACAGCTGTCTACATGACTACAGCTTGAGGAGCTAGCTGTGTTGTGGAGTGGGAATGCTGGAAAATTCAGTGACGCTTGAGCTCAGTGACAGGCTGGCTAGTGTATTTGGAGAAGTGTTTGCCGAGGAAGTGGGGGTGAGCTGCCTTGAGAGTGGGAGCTGCTGTTGTCCGTGGTGGGAGGAAGAGGGAAGGTGATTCTTTATAGGCTTATCTGGCACCGAGGAGAGAGGCCGGCTGAAGGAGAGCGTACAAGTGGGTGGGAGGACTAAGAAGTGACCTGGAGGATGAGCCCAGCAGATCCTGTGGTGACATTTGAGGTTCACATAAAAGTTCTGTTTTTGGAAATCAGAGGTGTCATTTTGGAATCCCTGGTTATTTGGGTCTCTTCTATTCCCCTCTTGTGCCCCATGGATCAGAGCGATCCCTGTTCAGCAAGGGTAAGGTCTGGGACTTTCCATGTAGGGCCCCGCTGTCACTGGGGTATGTGCAGAACCAGAGCATAAAGCCCGCCCTGCTGCCCGAGCCTTCGGAGCCCCCAAGGCAGCTTGCTGCTTCAAGGCCCTCGGCAAGGTCCATGAAGGTTTGGATAGAAATGGGGGTGGGAGATCAGTGGGGTCCATGTGTGCTTGGGAATGGTTGTTAGCCTCATTCAGCCTCAGTTTCCTTACCAATGAGATGGGAATAGGAATGTCTGTATTTGGGATGGTGAGAATTAGTTTTGAGGATGTATGTGAAGTTGTCGGGCCCTTAACAACCCTCCCCCCCCACCACACACACACACGTACATGCAAAACACTGTCTTTCTACTTCCTGGTGACCTACCACCTGCATTCAGATTCAACTCAATTTATTGGTGGGCCTATATTTTTATGTAGTCATGGAGAAGTCTTATGCCTCATCTGACTGGAAATTGGGGCGCTTGAGTGGGGAGGAGAGGGTGAGTCCACCATTCCTGGGGGTGGGAGCATTTACAAAATGGTTCTGGCTATCGGAATGTGTGAATGTATGTAGCTCACTTGTCAACAGTGATGGCCATACAGATGGCTATACAGCTACCCCTCAGCTGGGGCAGATGGGCAATGTCCCCCTATTTGCCAGTTCTGGTTCCGACTAGTCCATTGACCCCTTTACATTAGGCAGATAGGACAGAAATGATGTTCTTTGTAAAGGGATGTTGGGCCTCTCTGCCCTCAGTTCCAGCCTACCAGTGACTTTATGGTTTTCCTCCTAGGTCTGCTGACATTTGTGAACTGTACCTACGTCAAGTGGGGCACACGTGTGCAGGACGTAGTCACTTATGCCAAGGTCCTGGCGCTCATTGCCATCATTGTCATGGGCCTTGTTAAACTGTGCCAGGGTAAGAAGGGCCTAAGGTGGGGAGGAGGGTGGCTGACTCCTGGAGTCCCTCCGGGTTCCCAGAGGAGGACATGGGACTCTGCTAGCTCCATGGCTCAGCTCTCTCTGCATCCATGCTAGCCTGCGTGTGTCAGCGGCCCAGGCATCCTGGGCTTCTTGGCTCAGGCTGCCTTGGTCCTGAGTCCACCTTCGCTCAGAGCTGCTTTCCCTTCGTGAAGGTTGAGAGCATTACAAGGAGCCTGCCAGGGCCTAAGCGCTCTAGAAACTTGGACCATGCATAGGGTCTTAAAAATAATCAGTGAGCATAGTATGTGCTCCTGTTTTAGGTCTGTGACGCCCAGGCAGAGCCTAGGGGAGCTTGAGAGGAGTGGCGGGGGGGGGGGGCATATGCGTGGTATGAAGGTGGCTGTTGAAATGAGGGGTTGTCTTGCAGGCTTTATTTTTATTTTTTAAAAATTTATTTATTTATGCATCCAAGAACTGGGCTTTAGTCCAGAGGTGGGGGGTGGGGGGGAGGTGAGAGGATTCACCAGACAATGGGGAGCAGAACAGGCAGACTGAGATGCAGTTTGTGTATCTGCCCGCTGACTGAGCAGCAGGCAAGTCAGGAGAGGTCTGCTGCGCCGTGTGGGCAGCTCCCTGGCCAGGGATCGAACTTGTGCTGCAGTGGCTGCAGACAGCCTCATTGTTATCCCCTTACGCCACCAGGAAGGGCCTAGGCTTTATTTTTCATCTGAACTTGCTCTTTAGTATTTCCTCCCCAAGTCAGCTCTCAGCAAAATATTAAAATATCGTGGAGTTGGCACTGACTTTCCTATATGTTGACTTTAAAAAGTTTCATTCCTGCATCAGAGCAGATTGGCAGTGAGGGGAACAGGTCTACCAGGATCTCCTGAGCCCTTAGAGAAGTTCTGAGTAGTCTTTGACCAATCAATTAACAATGCAGTTCTCTAGATGATGCCTCTGAACTTGGCTGTGTTAAGAATCACCTGGGGAGCTGAGACCCACTCCCCCTACCCCGGGGCAGACCTGTGGGGGCAAACTGTTTGGTTTGGAGTCAAAAAAGGTGCAATTTTAAGACATACTCTGGGTGATTCTTAGGCAGCTGGTTCAGCACCTTTGTGCTTGTATGGCAAGTTAGTATAACCAGCTATCTGGATGTCCCTCAAGTCTCAGGAACATCCTGAGGTCAAAAAATTGGGGTGGCTGAGTAATCCTCCCTCCAAGATCTGTGCTTTAAAGACCATCTGCTATGTGTGATGATTCACACCGCTGGGCCCTAGGGACTCTTTATTTTTCCTTTTGCTGCAGACACTGGCCTGTTCACTGAGGGATAGGTCTAGCTTTCTCCAGGGGGTGACAGCAGGCTTCATTTCAAGTTTGGGTGTAGTTAAAACCCGCCATTGTGCCTGAAGCTCTCTGGCCAGGGCAGCTTGGTACTAACTAGCCTCTTGACTTTCAAGTCCTGAGTCTCTGGTGTCCGCTAAGGGGAGTGACAAGTGCCTGGGCTGGATCTGCAAGGGTGGAGGTGACTCAGGCCTACCCCAAACCCAGTTATAAGGTCCTAGTGCCTACGTAGCCTGTGATTTCCTGCCTCATACAACCACACCACACCAAGTGTAGCAACAGAGCTCTCTCTGTTGATCAAACTGTGTACTGGGCTGGGCCAAGAGAACTAGTGCCGCAGGAAGGTCTAAATGTTAGTCAAAAATGGGTCCTTTATGTGAAACAGGGTTTTTTCCTAGAAAATAGGAACAGCTGTCGCCTGCTTTGAGGTTGTGAGCAGGAAATGGAAACTCATTAGAACTTTGGAAGAGGCGTTATCACGTCAGACAGAAGGCAGCCGGGAAAGCCCTTATTTTTTCTGAGATTGTCTAGTTTTACTAAAAGGATGTGAACTTTCTGAGGGAGGAGGTGGGGTGGTAAAGGGCAGGGCAGGGAGCTGGTGGAAATTCTTGTCTTGGTGTTAAACTATGTTTTTTTCTTCCCCCGCCCTCTTGCTCCTCCCTTCTTTCCTTGCCCTTCTTCCTCTCTCCTTTTGGCCGTCTCCCCTTCCTTTTTTTTTTTTCTTCCCCTTCCCCTCCTGCCTCTTCTCCTCTCTCTTCCCCCTTCTCCTTCTCCCTCTTCCTTCTCCCTGAACCCCCATCTACCTTTGTCTCACACAGGACACTCTGAGTACTTTGAGGATGCCTTTGAGGGTTCCTCCTGGGACCTGGGACACCTCTCTCTCGCCCTCTTCTCTGCCCTCTTCTCTTTCTCAGGTTGGGACACCCTTAATTTTGTAACAGAAGAAATAAAAAACCCAGAAAGGTAAAGGCACGATCACACCATCATTGTCACTCCCCAAGTTGGCTGGAACACGGGCTGACTGTGGGCACATGCTTTTCCACCCACCCCCGCCCCCCGCCTCTCATCCTTCCTCCTACTCCCTCACTTTTGCTCAGAAGGATTACAGGGTAGGATGGGAAGGCCTCTGGCTCCTTATCCTCCTGTTTACACTGGAGCACCCCAGGGCCTCTCTTGAGGAGAGGTCCTTCAGTGGCAGCGGCACAGCCACACTCTGTGCTGACACTGAAGCCTGGGGACCCAGACATTTATTCTGGGAAGGCAGGTTCCAGCCTGGCTTCTAGTCCCGAGAGGACACGTCTTCCTCCAGCAGGACCCATTTGTCCTGCTGTGGCAAGGATCAAGTAATGATCATGACCTTTCCCTCTGCTTCTCTTTCTCCCCCTCTTCTGTCCTCCCCGGTCTTCACCTCTCTCTCATTCAGTTGAAATATCCTGGGGCTGGGGTGTGAACCCAACCTAGGCCACAAGGGGGTGAGGAGCCTGCCTCAAAGACCCCGAGGCCAGGGGACTGTTAAAAAATTAGGGAAAAAAAAAAAAATCCCTGGGTGAACTTTTACCTCAAGTAGAGGTTGGTTCTAGGTAGTCCTGTCTCACTTGTCCTGACAGAAATTTGCCCCTGGCCATTGGGATTTCTATGCCAATTGTGACGTTCATCTACATCCTGACCAACGTGGCCTATTACACAGTGCTGAGCATTTCCGATGTCCTTGACAGTGATGCTGTGGCTGTGGTGAGTCTCTTGGGATCCCCATTTGCTCATCACCTTTTGGTACTGAATGGCTTGATTTCTCTTTCTGCAGCCACTTCAGCTCTGCAGGGCAAGGTGATGGATCTAGGCCAGAGTGGGATGCCTGCCATGACAGCGTTTGTCCTGCGAGCTTAGATGCAGGAGGCTTATGGAATCCTGCCTTGTGCCAAATGCTCCTTCTGTGTTCTGCCCCCAGACTTTTGCTGACCGGACATTTGGCATGTTCAGCTGGACCATTCCCATTGCTGTCGCCCTGTCCTGCTTTGGGGGCCTCAACGCATCTATCTTTGCCTCATCAAGGTACTGTGTCTTGCTTCACCCATAACAGATGGACAGTATTTAATTCTCTGAGGCTCCAGGTGAGCCCTTAAGGGCCCTTCTTTCTCCCTCTCCCCGCTCTTGGAAATATAGTGTGTGTATGTACATTTGTGCTGGTAGCTCACATTTGCATTTGAGGCGAGGACAGATTGGTAAGAGGCAGAGGGGAGGAATGCAGTAGCTCTGTCAGGGTCTAGGCGTGGCTCCTTGTGGGTTATACCGCACTTGTGGCACTTGCAGAATCCACTGCTTCCAGAAGGAATTAGTAAGCACTTTTTGTGTCCCAGGCACTGGTATAGGATGACTGTCAGTCACTTCACAGAAAACATCAAGGCCAACAGGTAGACACCTTGTCCCCTACCCCCAAAGATGGTGTTTCCCGGCCTCCCTGGTAGCACAGGTGGTTGAGCTCCGCACTGTGAAGCTGTCCACAGCCTCTGCAGCGCGGGTTCGATCCCGGCCGGCCAGCGAGGGTCCCACATGGCGTCGCAGACCTCTCCTGTCTCGCCAGCTGCTCCCCTCAGCAGTGTATTTCGTCAGTCTGCCTGTTCTGTTCCCTGCTCTCTCTCTGGTGAATCCTCTCACCCTCCTGCGCATCTGGCCTGTACCCCGGTACTTGTATAAAAATAAATAAGTCTTAAAAAAAAAAAAAAAAAGATGGTGTTTACCATAGTCCCTTCCTTCTCTATGTCCCAGACATCCCAACTGGCTCTGCCAGTCATCCCCAAATAAATACTAGGTAGTGGTAACTTCTCACCCACTCAGATATCTTGTGGCATTGACAAGAAGATGAGGGGTGGGACAGTGGTGACTCTGGACCTGCACATGAAGGGCATCGCAGCCATTTGAAGATAGCGCAGGTTGTTTCTGCCTGTGTTACCTTTGTCACCTTTTTCTTATTACCTGTGCAGCTATCTTGGCTCTGTCCTAGAGACCTTTGCCTCACCTACACATCACCCCTTGCAGCATTTCCCTTAGCACATTTCTCCTCCACTTGGTACAGATTATTAGCCTCATGATCCAATTCCATCTCTGCCCTGTGACACCCGTCCAGGGGACATCTACCCCAAGCCTGGTGCTGTGGCTCCGGGACGGTACCTGTTCCTCTGGGTGGCATGCCACTTCTCTGCTGCTGGGTTCCAGTTGGTAGGGCTCGTTAGGTGCAGAGAGGAAATCTGGGCTGTCCCATGAGCCCCAGGCTTACCTTGGCACATCACAAATCAGGATCTCAGGGGAATATATGTGAGGACAACAGAAGCTTGGCTGCCCTTCTTTAAAATACCTTTGTGTCGGGCCTCCCCGGTGGCGCAGCGGTTGAGCGCTGGGTTGCGAAGCTGCCCGCGGCCTCTGCGGCGCCGGTTCGATCCCCGGCTGCTCCCCGGCCACTGGAGGAGGGTCCCACATGGCGCGCAGACCTCTCCTGCTGCCCGCTGCTCCCCTCAGCAGTGTACTTCGGTCCTTCTGCCTGCTCTGCTCCCCGCTCTGGCTCGGTGAATTCTCTCACCCTCCCGCGCTTCTGACTGTACCCAGTGCATGTATAAACAAAACAAACAAACAAACAAACCAGCAAACAAATAAATAAAGCATGCCTCTATTAAAAAAAAAAAAATTAAAAAAAAAAAAGTTTAAAATACCTTTGTGTCAAATATGAAATCTGTTGGGTGGCAGAATGGGGATACCCCTGGTGGAATGGATTGGGGTACAGGTGGATAATGGTGAGGTATCTGGTTGAGAGCAGTGGGGAGTATCTGTGGGTGGTGGTGAGTTCCATAGCTGTGGGGTTGGGAGTGTCAGCAGGTAGCAGCAAGATAGGGCACTTGTGGGTAATGGTAAGGTGCCTGTGGTTGGCACATGGGGACATGTGTGGACATGTTGGGCTGGCCACACAGAGGACGTGGGATCATCTTGAGACATAACCCCCTGCTCTTTTCTGGGACTCTGAGCCTAGTTTGAATGGGGAATGTGGCTGCATAGCTGCATAAAAGGATCCTGCTGACATATTTCTTATCCTTCCAGGTTGTTCTTTGTGGGCTCCCGTGAGGGCCACCTCCCCGACCTTCTGTCCATGATCCACATTGAGCGTTTCACACCCATCCCTGCTTTACTGTTTAATGTAAGCTCTGCTGGGGGAGTGTGGGGACTGGCTATAGCAGTCTATTTAGTACTTCTGCTGACTGTGAGATGACTGTTAGGTGGGAGATGGCTCCTTTTTTTTTTTTTAAAAAAAAAAGATTTCATTTATTTGTATACAATAGAGGTACAGGGGGTGGGGGTGAGAAGATTCACCAGACAGAGTGGGGAGAACAGGCAGATTGACTGGAATACACTGCTGATGGGAGCAGCGGGGAGACAGGAGAGGTCTGCTGCGCTATGTGGATCAGCTCCCTGGCTGGGGATCGAACTCGTGCAGCAGAGGCTGCGGATAGCTTCACAGTGCTGAGACTTAAACTTCTTGCACCACCAGGGAGGCCCCCAGGAAATAACTTCTTGAGATATTTCCCAACCATCTCAGAGTTTCTTCCTTTTTCTTAAAATTGAAAAAAATATATGAAGATAAAAGTATAGTCGTTTTAGAGAAGGCAGATTACAAAAGAATATAGAACTGCATTTATAAAAATTATTGTTCAAGTCAGTGACTTCTCTTTCTAGCTCCTTTTTCTTTTTCTTTTAAATTAAATCATATTTAGAAAAATCAGGCTGGTTGTACACCAGCCACCCTAGGGGCCTCTATTTGTATCACAGACGTCACAGATCTATATGTAGTGGATGGCAGTAAACTAGATCCAGTAAATCCAACAGAATCAGTAAATTATGAAAGTATTCTGAAGAATCCTGAAGAAGGATTATTTCCTAATTTTCATTAAGGTTTACAGAGACCCTAGACAGACCTTTATCCAAACTAGGTTCAGTTCATTTTTCTTGTCATTTAGTTCTCTTATGACTTCATTAACTTAAGTAAATTTTGGACTCATCTGGAGTTTATATTTTGGTGTATAGAGTGAGGTGGGTATTCACTTAATTTTTCTCTAATCACTAGCCAGAGCTATACCATTATTATTTATTGAATCATCAATTTTACCACAATTGTCAAATTTTTATCATATAAAATAATTATAGTTAATTTTTTAGATTTAGGTTACTTGAGATTGCCTTTCAAATTTGTCATTTTAATTAATTCTCTTCATCAGCACGAAGCTTCACTATTTAGCTTTCTATTGATTATTTGAACTAAAGAGGAACTGAAGATACTTTCCCCCTACTTGAATTCCTGGAAATTCTCACATTTGTTTCTCTTGATAAACCTTGGTATAATTTTATCAAAATAACAACATCCTCTCAATATTTTGGTTGGCATAGCACTGAATTTAAAATTTAGAGAAGAGCTGTCATATTGTCTTTTAAATAAATCCCCTTGCATCCCACTTTTTCCTGTACTCTCTCCAGAGCAGGCTTTCTATTTTGAATCCTTCATTGATAATCTGGGTGAAAAGATAGGTAGGGGGAACTCTGTATTCTTAAAGTTCAAGCAAATCTGATCTTGTCCCAAGACTGCAGTTCCTGACCCCTGTCCTCTAGAACTCTTTTGTTCCAGAGGAGAAATGCTGTCATATCTTTCTCTCCAGAGGTAGAGGCATTTTGCTGGTCTGCATTTGTAAGGTCCCAGAACAGCAAGATGGTTCTAGAGGCATTTTCCTCGTTTGAATGCCAGGCAGTAGAGACCACGTGGAATGGTGTCCTTTTCCATCACAGTGTGATTCGCATTGAGGTTGGGCAGTGAGGAGGCCCCACTGTCACCAGGAGAAAGGAGTCTGGCTTGTTACTGAAATGCTTGCAAAAAGAAGAGAGGCACTGAGTATAGGAAGGGAACCCAAGAAAAGGGAGAGAAACCACCTGAAGGTTAGTGGAGTGAAAGGACCCATTGGGTGCCAGAGGGTCATTGAAAAGGACTGGAGGTAATGGGTGAAGCCTAATCTGTAGTCATCAGATCTGTGCTGCTCCCGATGGCAGAGTGCCCTGGGGTGGCCTGGTGATGACAGTGCTTCCCTGCCTCTGCTTACAGTGCGCCATGGCGCTCATCTACCTCACTGTGGAGGATGTGTTCCTGCTCATCAACTACTTCAGCTTCAGCTACTGGTTTTTTGTGGGCTTGTCTGTGGCTGGACAGCTCTACCTTCGCTGGAAGGAGCCCGACCGTCCCCGGCCTCTCAAGGTCAGCACCCCTGGGCAGACGAGATGGGATGGGCCATCTCCTCCAGGTATCTTCTTGCCTATAGGCTGTCCCCTATCCCATTCACCTAATATCTTACTCCCTTCATTGCAGCTGAGCCTGTTTTTCCCTATCGTGTTCTGCATATGCTCCTTGTTTCTGGTGATTGTGCCCCTCTACAGCGACACCATCAATTCCCTCATTGGCGTTGGTATCGCCCTCTCCGGAGTCCCCGTCTACTTCCTGGCTGTTTACCTACCAGTGTCCCGGAGGCCAGTCTTTATTCGGAATATCCTGGGTGAGCCCATCACTTGGGGTGGGGGAGGGTGTGTGTGTTGGGGTGGGGGAGGGTGTGTGTGTGTATATGTGTGTGTCCACACCAGTATGTGCAGAGGTGGAGCTATTAGCTAAGTTCCTGGGTGAGCCCATCACTTGGGGTGGGGGAGGGTGTGTGTGTGTGGTGGGGGGAGGGGGTGTGTGTGTGTGTGTGTGTCCACACCAGTATGTGCAGAGGTGGAGCTATTAGCTAGGTTTCCTGCATCCTAGCAGTGCTCCGGAGGCCAGGAGACTTCAGTTCTAACTTGAATCCTGTTTGGGAGTTAACGCTGCTTCCTAAAAGCTTGGGAAGAGGAGAAGTCATGCATCAGAATGTTCTGGTTGGACATGGGAAGGAGGGCAATGATATTTCCTGGGAGTGAGGAGCCAAGCCTGGCACAGGGAACCCAAGGGACAGGCGGGGAGGGTCAGATATGCTTTAATCAGCCTTGTGGTATTCAGAGTGAGGCTGGAGCTGAATGTTTGCTAAACTCTTGTTTTCTCTATTTTCCTTTAGCCACCATCACCAAAGTCACACAGAGGCTTTGCTTTTGCGTCCTGACTGACCTAGATGTAGGTGAAGAAAAAAGCGTTGATAGCAAAACTGACTAGATACCAGAGGTGACGTCCACTGCGGCCTGGAAGGCTACCTGTGGTCACAGCCACCAAAGTCCAGATGACAAGACTGCATGCCCCAACCCTCCCCATACAAAGGAGCCTGTTGGCTGACACTGAGGGGGCTTAGAGTTGATGGCCTGCTCATTGGTAAGCTATGGGAGGAGACTTGGGGGCTGGCCTGAAGGTAGGGACTTCAGAAGGTGGTGGTGGGACTGTGGGTTAGTTTTATTCCTGGCGGGTACATGCAGCCCTTACCAACAGCTGGAGAGTTAGCGTTGAGGGAAGAGGGGTGGCTGGTAGTTTCTGAATTTGATTTTTGAGATCTGAACCAGAGAGGCTGCTTTATGGGAAGTTTTCCTCTGACCAGGTGCAAGACTTGATTTTAGAGCCCTGAAATGCTACGTCTTCCTCTGGCTCTAAATTGTTCCTCGCAGGGGGAAAGGGTTGTATTTCATTACTTGCTGATAATAATCCAGAACCCAGTTCTAGCAAGCCATTGGTGTTCATTCAACTACATGATGCAATAAGCTGTTTAAAAACGTCAAGTACCCAAAGCCAAGCCACTCTGCCCTTAGAGGGGCCTCTATGTGGCAGTGGGTCAGACTCTGACCAGATTTTCTTTGTTCAGCTTTAGCACAATTTTCTGTTGAACCTCACCTGCAAAGTAAACTTTCAAAGATTTTTTTACTCATGCCCCACACTTTAGTATAGGGATAGATCACGTTTACAAGCACCTGGCTCAAGTGTAGCAAGGGCAAATGAATAAACTCATGAGTCAGAAATCTGCAATACTGTTCTGAAGGATTATCCTCTATTTTACATAGCTTTTTGTTGTAGTTGATAGGAAGTAAATCTCTGGGTTTCTGGTGTGAACTTTAAGAGGTCAGAAAACTGTTCTAGAATTCAGAATCACCTGAATTCTTACAGCTGTCATTGGCTCATGGGTCCAGACCATAGCATAGCTTGCTTCTCTAAGGGCTAGTGTGAGGGGCTGCTGTGCAGACCCAAACAAGCCTGCCTCGGTGCTAGGAGTGGTCATTTTCTTTTCTGAAAACCTCACACAAGGCTGCATTCTCTACTTGTCCCTGCCACCAGGCTTTGTTTACACTCGAGTAGCTTTGGTGTGCATCAGGGATGGTACACGCCCCTCCCGTCCGCTTCCTCTTACCCTGAGGTCCCTGTAGGGCTACAGTGGCAGGAAGAGCTTGGTACTTGTGGGGACTTGTTTTCTCCCTGTGGAGATCAGTGAAAACTCCAGAAAAAAAGCTGCTTCAACCTCAATCTGGCTCCTCAGCAGACAACGTGATTGGAAGCAACTCATTCTTGTGCTCTGGCTGTACTTTAGGACTCAGGTTAGGCCTGAGTGGCAAGTTTAGCCACACGTTCCTTGGCAGGCGGTATGGCTGCACTGGATTGTACAAATGTGACACCATCGACCCTGTCACCCTTGGCACAAAGACGATTCAAGGGAGCATGATCACAGATGCCTTTGGTTCAGGGAATGCATCTGTGAGAACATGGGGGAACCTTCCGACTGACATGTTGGAGATTTGTACAGCAAATTCCTGCCTGATGGCAGAGTCATGTGCAGAGGCTGACTTGCCTAGACTACATAAACATGCTGAGCCAGGCTGGCACCTACCCCAGGGATCCTCTGGAGCTAATCCTTTAAGAGTACACGTGTCTTGAAGATCGCCAACTCAGGCTTTAGCTTTCTCCACTGAAGTAAATGACCAGCTAATCCCAGGAACTGCTGCCCCAGAGAGACTCCCGGGGGAGCAAGGCCCTCTCACCTGGGGTCGCCTAGTACTTGCTTAGTGAGCCAAGTCGTCCTCCACTGGATGGTGACCACATTCTTCCCTCTATGCTGGATATAGACTTCTCCCACTAACCCCTCTGTGGGGGTACCAGACTTCTCACAGCACTCAAGCTTCACCACAGAAGTAATCTCATTAGGTATTTGTTGTTTCCTTCAACCCTTCTACAGCGCTAATCCCTTTTGCAGTGGGAGTTTGTGAAGATGTCAAGCCCTTTGGAGTTGGCAGACTTCAATGAGTACATAAATGAGTGAGCACATTATAGTGGCATCGAGTGATTTGTAATCCTTTGTTTCCATGCCTACAGGAGACTAAGATGACTAGTATTAGACATGTAAGTCTGCCTGTTACTTTTAACACTGAATTGTACCTTTGTGGATAGCTAGGATGGGAAAGCAACAGCTTTTTGGATTACAGCTGCAACAGGAGGGTGTGAGCACACGTATAGGCAGAACTTCATCACTTCTGGCAGGTTTAACAACTTTGTGTGGACAGGAACTAGTGTACTGCTAAAGATGTACAAAGTGAATATAAAGAGAAGTGGGTGGAGACAGGGAAGTAGCGATGCTTATGTCCTCTTACCAGAGGTGGGAAGACATCTCCCTGTGTGACTCACCTTCCCACTTGACGGTGCATCACCGGGCAAGAGGGCACACCTCCAATCAAGGGTTTTTGTAGACTGTTTCCCTAGCTCTGCCCTGTCCAGTCCAGTTGCCACTAGCCACATGCACTAGTTAAATTAAAAATTCAATCCCTCAGTTGTACCGATCACATCTGCAGTACTCAGCAGCCGCATGTATAGTGCCTACTACACAGCTGTTTTTGGCGAATGCTAGGAATAAACACTTCTCCATGGAAAGCCAAATTCATAGTATATTTGCCTTTTTATTTGCCCGAAACCCTTAGTGTCTGAAAGGTCTATCTTACTCCCCTGCCCCCTTTTTTGGTGGGGTGGTGGAGGGAACGGGGGAAGAGAAAAAGTACCAAGGGAAAGCACTAAGATACTCAGATTTAAGACTTCAAAGGAATTACTTACTCACACATTCAAAGTTAGTTTTTACTGAAAAGTGATCACACATACACTCTGTCCCTTGTCAGCACTGCAAAAAGACCAATCTCCGCAACCATTACCAGAGCCAGGAAGCAGGGAGGTAGACACAGCTGTTAAACCTCCACAGCCCAGGTGGATTCTCTGTCCTTTCCGAATGGCCATTACTGTGCAGTCTGGGGCGCTATGAGGGATCCACTGGCGCCCCACCTAAGTTTCCTCTATCAAAAGGAACAGGCTTTACTGGACACAGGTGGTGCGGTGGTATGGGAAAGCCAAATATTATTGCAGATGAAACAGAGCCTCCAGATGCACCCACTGGCTTCAGCCTCAGAAAGGGAATGCCAGGAACATCCTCTGATCAGGCCCCGCTCAGTCCCCAATGGAGGGCCACAGGGTCACTTTTCATTGCAGCAAAATGGCCCTGCTCTGAGTGCACAGACATACTCCCTTAGCACAAGTTTTCACTACAGTGGGATCGTGCTGTTTGATAGGCTTTTTCCTTCCCCCTGGTAAGTGAGGAAATCCGAGAGGAAGCCGCTAAGGTGGCGGTTGCTGTAGTCGCAGAGCTCCCAAGGGCTTGTGGTAGAGCCTCGTGGCTATCACAGGATGATCAGTCTGAATCTAGGTCATGAGCGCTGTCATAGCCAAACTCCTTCTGCACATCCAAAGGGTATTTGCTCCACATCTGTGGTCTGCGATGGCCTCCTCCCTCCTCTTCACTTAGGTTGTTGCTAGAACCTAGAATGAGATGACAGGCGTGGGTTCTAAAACTATGTGACTTTCTAGGTGATTACAACAGCCCCCCACCCCTCTCAAAAGGTCTATTTTTTTGTTCTCCATTATAAAACACTTGCTTAACAAAGAGAATTTAGAATTTAAGAGAAAGTGGTTGAATTTCTACCATTCAAATTGAGTCCTTCCTTTAAATTTGAATATTTTGTCATTTCTCCCCTAACACAGGATTTGTTTTGATAGTTGTACTCATATTGTAAATATAATTTTGTATGTTGTTCCTTTCCTTTTAACATATTATAAGCACTTCCCTAATAGAATATTCCCTAATTTGGGCCTCCCTCGTGGCGCAGGGGTTAAAGTCTCAGCACTATCAAGCTATCACCAGCCACTGTAGCATGAGTTCGAACCCTGGCCAGGGAGCTGACCCATATGGCGCAGCAGACCTCTCCTGTCTCACCTGCTGCTCCATTCAGCAGTGTATTTCAATAGATCCACCTGTTCTGCTCCCCACTCTGTCTCCGGTGAATCCTTTCACCCTCTGTACCTCTGGCCCATATCCCAGTTCTTGTATGCATAAATAAATAAATCTTAAAAAAAAAAAAAAATCCATGGTTTGCTTGTTTCCACAGTAATAGACCCCTAGAAAGTACTTTCTGTTGGAACTGAGCCAACAGCTCAGTTCCTTCCATATTCTCTCCCACAGGTACCATGTTTGGGTTACCACTTTCTGAAAAAAGTTGTGAATACAGCAACTTCTTAAGAGATTAGATAATGGGTGTGTGAAAGCCCTGGCCCTAACCCTACTGGTGAACCTCTCCAATGTATTTTTTTTAAGGTTTATTTTATTTATTTACATAGAAGAACTGGGGTACAGGCCAGCAGTGAGGGGTATGTGTGTGTGTGAGAGGATTCACGAGTGACAGAATGGGGAGCAGAACAGGCAGATCTACTGAAATACACTGCTGAGGGGAGCAGCAGGCGAGACAGGAGAGGTCTGCTGCACCATGTGGGTCAGCTCCCTGGTTGGGGATCGAACTAAGGCAGTCATGGTGACAGTGCTGAGACCTAACCCCTGGGCCACCAGGGAGGCCCCATGTAGTCTTGATCGAAACAGGGAGAAGGACACTGAGCTAGATGTTTCACTGAAGTTGGTGCAGTATTCTCTCATTTTCTGGTGAGAAAATGAGGTCAGTGAGGTGGAATAATTTGCCCAAGATCCAGTTAGGCAATACAGTAAGTAAGGATTCTGGACCCACAGAACCCAGCAGCCCCCTTGGAAATACTGGTCTGTGGGTCTCCTATGGCTCTGGTGGTCAGTGGTGGAGTTGCTGGAGCTCAATGGCAGAGAAAAGGCCATGTAAGATGTGTCTGTCAATCATGCTCTACCTCAGTCTGGGATCCCTCTCCAACCAGGGCTGCAATCCAACCTACCCCTGGAATCTTCATCTCCATCACTGTCCTCTTCCTCCGGGTATTCATTGCGCCAATTATTCTCACTGTTCTCATCATCTTCATCATCATAAATGTCCTCTGGTTGTTGGTCATCATTCACCTGCATATCTCAACACAAATATAAGTCTAAACCTCTATAGTTAGGCTATGGGAGAAGCTATTATCAGGCCAACTCAGCGGTCATTTAAGGATGCCAGGCAAAAAAGCAGCAGCCCAGGGTTTAGTCTGCCATTGCTGCACAAGAGGATGTAGGAACTCAGTCTAGATAGAAGAGGGAGCTAGTGCCTACTCCACTTAAGAGTCTGGCTCCAGGTACCACATTGCTGGTGGGATAGTCTACACTACCTCAGAAGGTGGGAAGGAGAGAGAGTTCTGAGCAGGTGACGACAGAGATCTTTAAACTCTCAAAGGACAGTCAGGTGTGAGGAGTATATGGATTATGGGTGACACTCAAGGTCACAACCAAAGCCTAAGTGTGACAGGTGCAGGAAAGCAGAAGTAGGGGCTATGCATTGGTCCAAGGCAGGTGGTCTTGAACTACAGGTGTAGTGGTGGGATGGGGTGCTTCTCCCAGAGTGAGAGCATAAGTACCACCTTAACTTTTTTTTTTTGTTTTAAAAATAATTTTTTCCCTTTCTTATTTTCCTACATTGCTGTTCATTCTTGTACAGCAACTCGTTTCTCCCCTTATGTGCAGTCCCTACAGTCCTCCCATCACCCACCTTAACTTTGCTCATTAGTCATTCTAGAATTTAACACCAGTCAGGATGTTAGCTTTCTTAATACAGGGTTTCCTCCCTACCCTTTTAAGTTGCAATTTTTTTTAAAGCTGTTGTTCTCATTCATGTTAGAGTGGGTATTTTAGAAACAATAAAGCTGATGTTGCAAACCTTATAAAAGATTCATTAAGAGCATAACATACTGATTTAACTGATCCTTCCCAAAATCCTTTTACTAAACCCAGGATCCTAGAAGGAATTTAAAATAAATTTTTCCTTTTGAGCAAGAACAAGATCAACTAAGAACAATGCTGATCAGTAGTGGAACCCGCGAAGCAAAGCACCCTGACTAGCAAAGCAGCTTAGGCTGCCTCATGCCCCCCTTACCAGCTCCCACTCCTGGCTGTAGGGCTGCACAGAAAGGATGTTCTCAATCCATCCCGGAGTGGCCATCTCCAGGTAGTAAATGTCATACACATAGTCTTCCTTCTCCTCCGGCTGCCCAGCCTTTGGCCCCTCCTCAGATATAGTCAGCCGCTCACGGATCAACTCTACGGAATTGCAGAGGATCACATCCGGGTCAGAGGTCTGTAAATAAAATAGCAGAAGACACATACATGATGTTCTAAGAGGAAGAACATAATAGTTGGGTGAAGGAAGCCTCCCTAAGTTCTATGTTGGATTCAAGATTCTTTAGGACCAGGCCTCCCTGGTGGCGCAAGGAGTAAGATGCAACCTATGAAGCTGTCTGCAGCCACTGCAGCATGAGTTCAATCCCCGGCCAGGGAGCTACCCACATGGCAGAGCAGACCTCTCCTGCCTCGCCTGTTGCTCCCCTCAGCAGTGGATTTCAGTCAGTCTGCCTGTTCTGTTCCCTGCTCTGTCTCTGGTGAATCTTCTCACCCCCACACCCCTGGCCTGTACCCCAGCTCTTGTATACATAAATAAATAAAATTAAAAAAAAAAAAAAAAGATTCTTGGGTCCTACCTGGTGGCACAGGTGGTTGAGCGACGTGCTGTGAAGCTGTCCACAGCTTCTGCAGTGCCAGTTCGTTCCCCCCTGGCTGCAGAGCAACCCACATGGTGCAGCAGACATCTCCTGTCTCACCCGCCCGCTCCCCTCCACAGTGTGTTTCAGTCAGTCTGCCTGTTCTGTTCCCCGCTCTATCTCTGGTGAATCCTCTCACCTCCCGCACATCTGGCCTTATCCCGGTTCTTGTATAAATAAAACCTAAAAAAAAAAAATATATATATTCTTAGGACCATGACCTACTTATCTCTTGCTTAGCCATGAAATCAAAAGCATCAAGAACTTTTATATAAAATTTTTGTGTAGTTCTTTTGCAACTGAAAGTTACAAGGTAGCCTCCTGCCCTTCTGTGCTGGGCTGGCATAGATCACATGGTAGATTGCCTAAGGTGAGGGCCAACAGAGCCAGAAGCAGACTCTACTGCCCCTGGGTCTTCTTTGAACTTGTATGGCATGATATTCTCTGCTTGGGTATCCATAGGCCCTTAGTAGTGCTTCTAAGGTTGAAACCCAAATGGATTTGCAGTTGTGTGGCCTTCTATGGGAGCATAAACGTGATGCCTGATCCCTGGTGACTACCGTCCGCCATCACCCATCACTTGGCATGCCCAAACTAACATTGTGCTTTTAATCACAAATCAGCAGTGGACTCCCCTAAAACCCTTGATGTGACAGAATAGTTTGAGACGAGTTGCCCCAGATAAAACTGACCAAGGTAGGGTGTGCTCTATGCCTGCAGGCTTTGTTATCTAGGGCAGCCCAGGTCAACTGGAAATGAGCTGTAAGCAACCCATCCTGACAAGTTCACTGCCGGAGGTTGTACTGTCTCTGGTGAATCCTCTCACCCCCACTCCCACCAACTCTGGCCTATACCACAGTTCTTGTATGCATAAATAAACAAATCTTTAAAAAAAAAAAAATAGAAATTTTTTTTTTTAGAAAGAAATTTCTATTTTTTTTTTAAAGATTTGTTTATTTATTTATACAAGAACAGGGGTACAGGACAGATGCGCGGGAGGGTGAGAGGATTCACCAGAGACAGAGCGGGGAATAGAACAGGCAGACTGAACAAATACACTGCTGAGGGGAGCAGCGGGCACAACAAGAGAGGTCTGCTGTGCCAAGTGGGACCCTCGCCGGCCGGCCGGCGGGGATAGTACCGATGCTGCAGACAGCTTCACAGTACGGCGCTCAACCGCCTGCGCCACCAGGGGAGACCCAGAAATTTCTATTTCTTTGGTCTTCCTGCACACAGAAGACTTTGCTTTTTGGCAGTGAATCACAAAACTAACAGGAATGTAATGTAGTGGGAAGATCATTGGATTAAATGGGTTTAATTCCTGCATTCTAGACCTCAAACTCAATGTGCTACCCAGGACTAATCCACTAATCCTTTTACCTCCCTTTGAAAGATTTTCCCATCTCCTCTAACCTTGTTTAAAACCCTCCAGTGATTGTAGTGGATAAGGGAATAGGGGATTCTCTGAGCAAAAGCAAACAACACCTTAACTTTTCTCATTAGGCTCCCAGCAAACTGACCTTGAAAACCCAGGCAAACTGCTTCAGGATCTTTGCAATTGCCGTTCCTTAGTGTGGAACCCTCTCCCCAAGATATCCATCCACATGCACTGCCCTTCACCTCCCTCAAGTCTCCACTCAATTGTCCTTTTCTCAGTAAGACCCCCATGAAATGGGACCACACTTTTCCTGTTTTCTCCCTTACAGCTCATATCATCATCTGACATTGAATTTTCTCTCTTCTACCTGAATGTTAGGTCCTCACTGCTGTTTCAACAAACCTAAGAACAAAGCCTGACACATAGTGGCTCCTTAGTAAATACAGTTGAACGAATAATCTAATCTAAACCAAGGCTAGCTTGCTCTATGCCCTAGGACCACTATCTCTAAAGTGTAGCCGTGTGCAGCCTCTTCTTTTTTTATATTTAAAGAACAGTTTTATTAGGGAAGGGATAAAACAGTAAAAGACACTTGCATAGACACAAGCGGGCAGGAAGAGCTGCCCCGAAAGGTACAGGTTTGCTGAGAGAGGCCTGCATAGTTGAGGCAGGCGGCCTTGAGGAGAGCGGCCTCGCTGAGGGAGGTCAGTGAAGGGAAGCCCCGGCATAGGACAGGTCACGGGCAGGCAGGAAGCTGCTGCCCTGCAGAGGGAAAGAGCTGGTAAAAAGAGGCACCTGCATAGGCACAGGTGGGCAGTGGGAGTACTGCCTGCATCCTCTTTTTAACTGTGTCCTGATTCAGAGTCCAGACTCTAGATTCTTATCAATTCCGAAAAGCCCACCGCTTGCCTCGGGGAGTGTACCCACTCACCTTGTGTGAGATTCCTGAGGCGGCCTCTGAGTCTCTTTCTTCGTGGACCAGGTCGAACAGCTGGAATCCGGCGTCCTCGGTAGCGTCCGGACTTCCAGGCGCGCCCTCGGACGCCAGGCCACTTGAGGGAATCCCCAAGGATCGGCGGCTGGAGACCACCCGGTAGCGGCCCTCCTGCCGGATCTCCCGAGCCGACGCGCGGAGGTCACGGCGGATACGCTGCTGGCTGCTCTGGGAAGGGCGCAGGGCTTCCCGCAGGAGAGGCTGGACTGGCTCCTCCTGGGGGGTGGCGGGAGAGGGGCCGACTTAAAAGGCGTCGCGAAGGGGCCAGGGAGACAGTTGCACTCCCTTGTCCCCCACTATTTCCCCAATACCTGGGAGCGCACGGTGGCCACCAACTGGAAGACATTATTCTCCGCCGCTCTCTCCAGACCCTCGGGGGGCGTCTTTTGGGCGGTCGACTCGTCGGCGCTGGCCCGGAGACGTTTACAAGCAAGTACAAGCGCCTCGGCGGGCTCCGCGCTGCGCTTCCGCTTCACTCGGAGTACAGCTGCCCTGCCGGCCTCCATAGCGGCTGTCGCGGGGCATTATGGGAACGCGCGCCCGCGTCCCAGGGCCCTTCGAGTTCCGGTTCCGGTCCCGCCCCGGCACGCCGACGGCCACCGGGTGACGTCACCCCCACGCGCCAGCCGCGGCAAGATGGCGGCGGCTGCGGAAGTGAGTGGTGAAGATCCTAAGGCGGGTGAGGAGCTGGGCGGGCTGGGCCGGCTGGGCGAGCTGGGGTCTGGGAAGGAGCCTGCGGTGCCGCCGTCCTCGGTTTGAAGGTCCCGGCAGAGCGGCTGGCGTGGGTGTGCTCGGGCGTCGGGGTACGCGCCTCTGGGACTCTTGAGAATCTTGAGAGTCCGCGTGGGGCGGCTCAGCGCCCAGGCAGGCGGAGACCGCGGGGTTCCGGGCCGGCCCCTTCTCTCCTGTCCAGTCAGGTGATTGTCATTTGCTGCTCTCGTGGCGGACCACACGCTTGGGGACCGGGATCACAATATGGGGCGCCTCTCCTCAGTGACAGAAACCCGAACCTCTCAGTCTCCCGGAGCTTCAGCTATCGCACCGCTGCCATTGTAACAGGGTGGTCCCCAGGAAAGGGGGAGGTTCCCTGCCCCACCCAAGGGAGCCTCCCCCTTTCCTGGGGACCACCCTGTTACACCTGGGCCACCGTTCTCTGGTTCAGGGAGCTGCTGACGGGCTCACCTTTCCAGGCTCGGTGTCCTCAGTATTTGGAAAATAGTCTTGTTCACACACTAGCCACAGCGGCCCTGTAAGAGGTGCTTCCGGCGTGGGGAGTCTTGAAACCCTTCAGCAGCTTCCCGTGTACTTAGAACGAAACCCAAACACCTTTCCAAAGCCAACGTGGCCCACTGTGAATTCCAGAAGCCCACGCCTAATCTCTCATTTCTTCTCAGCGCGCTTCAGTCTCTTAGGCTTTTGTCGTTTTTGCTTATGTGTCTCTCTTTTTTTTCCACCTGAGGCTCTTTTCTTGGAAAAGTGGGGTTAAAGATAACTGAAATAAAACACAATTCTTCCCAGTTTTTGACCTGGATTATTTGGCGCCGCTCAAATTCTTCAGTCTTTTCACAACCTTGTTATTCCCCTTCATAGCACAATGCATATTTCATTTTTTGTACTCACGTGTTATACTTAAATTCACTCATCCCAATTACAGGCTGTATATTCTTGGAGGAAAAGGACCTTGGCTTTGTTTTGGTAGTTTTCCAGGTCTAAAACGGTGTTAGGCATGTTAGGCATCAAAACACTTGGTAAATTTTGAGTGAATGAGCCACACATTTGTTCTGAAATCTGACTCGTGGTGAAATTAGGACTTGGCAGGGTGATTCCATTCCCTCCTTGTAAATGGCCATATGAGTTCACAGCTTTTGGAGAATGAGGAAGTGGTCAGAGAACAGCTCCAGAATTTGGAGTATGGGCTTCTGTGAGAGGACAAATCATTAGATGAGAGGATTTCCCATAAAAGGTGTGTAGTACTCAAGGCTACAGGACATGGTTCCCATCCTTAAGTGTTTATTTAGACTTATATGAAACTGGTGAGGTGAGCTGCAGTTGTGCAGGGACACTAGTCTTAGTTATAACCTCAAAAACATCATGCTATAAAGGGAATTTTATAGACTGAAGTTCTATACAACACTTTCAACCTCTGGCTTCAGAATTAATTCCACGTGGACCACAGATTAAGGTTTCAGAATTCCCCAGTATGAACCCCAACATGTTTGGCACCTTTTTCAGTTTCATTTCAGCAAGACTTACTTACTGTACGTGATTGTCTATGCCTTTCTAATCTGGAGAAGGGCCCTCTAATCTGGAGAAGGGCCCCATGCCCATCTAAACTTTAAGCTTCTCTGAATATTCAGCCAGATGTGGTCATTTCTGCCAACTACAACATTTATTAGTTTTCTAAAGCACTTTACAGATCCCAGTGGTTCTGTATTCTGTGTCTTTGGAAAATAGATATTAGCATATCAAATTTATAGAATACAGCAGTAGCCACTTTTCAAACTATGGGTTGCAACTCATTGGTGAGTTACGAAATGAATTTAGTAGATCTTGGCCAGCAATTAAAAGAAAAATAAAATAGAATCTGTCAGAGGGCCTTGCCCATGGGAAAGCTGACTACTGTGTATAAACTTTACATTGTGTGTGTGTTGTATCTCAATATAAAATATATCACAGGGGGTGTCAGAAAGTTTGAGAGCCCATTAGATCAGAGGACAGATATGATGGAATTTTAGAGTTTTACTGAAGGACAGATTACCTGCTTTGAACCAGCGCAGTGACTGCCGGAGCTCTTCCAGAAAAGATTGTTTTCCATCCTCTTGTGTAAGAATTTAATATTTGCTTAGTCTAGAAAACGTCAAAAGAAATTCAGTCACTCTGGCCAATAAAATACCTTAGGAATGTTTAGGACCTGTGAAGTATACATTCTAAGGATTCCTGGAGATGGATCAATGTTCTACAAGAAGTGGAGTGTGGAACACTTGAAGTTTTGGGGAAAGAACAGTGCTATTACTTTTGAAGGCCTCTGTGTGACCCTTGATCTCATCTTTCTCCCGTTCCTCAGTGAGTTAACCAGGCTTGCACCTTGCTGTGCTTTTTACTGTGATCCTTGAAGAATATATTCTGTTTTGCACAATTATAAATTTTATATAAATGTAATCTTTTTATGTGTACTGTGACTTATTTTTTGCTTCAACGTTATACTCTTAGAATGACCTGTTTGTGTGTAGCTATGAATTATTTGTTTAAATGCAGGTTTTCCAAGTTGGAACTGCTTTATCTTCGTATTTTTTCCTTAAGCATAGTGTTCAGTATCCTAAGACAGCATGGATGGTCCCCTTTACCACCATTCCATTCTCTTTGCTCCCCTTACCTGCTAGTCCTTTCATCTTTTTTTTCTTTTGTTTTTTATTTTTAGCCCTTTCCTCTTTATTGCCCTTCTCACCTGCCTTTACCTGAGGCTGCACCCAGAGGCCCCTGTGAGGCGCATTGATTCTGTTAGAATCACTAAGGACTGCTGAATTTCTAATAGCTTTTATGAATTTATGTATGGGGGTTTTAAATAAATTGTTAATGAAATATCATTGCTGTGTAACAGAAGTTTCAGGTGTACAATTATGTTGGGACATCTGTAGATACTACATCAAGATCACCACAAAAGTCTAGTTTCCATCCACCACCGCTGTCTAATTGCCCCCTTTTACCCATTTCATTCACCCCCAACCCCTTACTGGTAACCGGCAATTTGTTCTCTTTCAGCTTACAGTTTTTGTTTTTATTTTTGTTTTGTTTTTATTTGTCGTATTATAGTTCTTAATGTTGTAAGCAGAATATGAAAGTAAATAACTCTTGCTGGAAAGATTAAATTATGATTAATAGTTATTTTCAGTGACTTTGACATTTGAATTTCTTGATTTATTTATTAAGGTTTGTTGGCTTTAAAATTTTTTTTCTTCAATTTTTTTTTTGGCACAGTGATGTGAATAGATTTTTGATGATCAGACCTGTCCACACGAAGTGAAAGTGATCTGGCACGTCTGCTCTTCGGTACAAACTGAGAACTGATTGGCACCATGAAGGTCTTCTGTGGGCGGGCCAATCCCACCACAGGATCTGTGGAGTGGCTAGAGGAGGATGAACACTATGATTACCACCAGGAGATTGCCAGGTAATGAGGGTTTGTTCGCAGTTTGTGGCACTTGATCACAAAGCAGATGCCTCAGAGTCCAATCTGAGTGTGAACTAGGCTGTCTCCAGTGCTTCTGATGTGGGCAGGTGTGGGTCATGAGCAGGTCTGCTGAGCCAGTTGAGTATAGGTGTCAGGCACTAAGTCACACCTGTGTGGAGAATCAGATATTGTGTAGCAACCTTACCATTGTCTGAGAGGGTGTCTGTAGTGAAGAGGACCCAAGATCCAGTGGTGTAGCAGCAACAGCAGTAGTGGTGGTAGTGGAGATTATGAAATTAAATTATTTACTATGTCACTGAAGTGGTGACACATTCATCATAGTTAAATTCTCTAAAATGGAAAAGAGGGGAATGCTTTTTTTTCCTGGGAAGGGATATCTAGAAATATGGGAGTTACTCTCATTTGGCAATCTTTATGTCTATACAACATACGGGCACTGTACTAAAGCTCTGAATACTAAAATGGAGAAGATAGGGTTTCCATCCTCAAGGAACATGCAGTTCTGTGGGAGGTACAAATGCATAAAAACTACGAGTTGAAATGAACACAAGTTCATGGAAGCAATAAGAACCATCTGGGTTAGGAGGTGACTCTGGGTTTAGGGGGTGACTCTGTGTTACTTCTTAACTTTGGGATGTCAGCCAACCTATTTAACTTCTGTGAACCTCAGTATAATAATATATGCCTCAGTGTAAAATATAATAATACTTGCTTCAATATAGTAATACACAGTTTATCATATAATACCCTCATCTTAGGGTTGTTTAATGATTGAATGAAATGCAATGTCTGGTACAGAATAAGCACTCAAAATCATACTCTCTAAAGATTTTGGACATTATTTTCTAAGTGATTAAGATGTTGAGCAAGTAAGGAAAAAACTAGGTTGTGTTTGGAGCACTCACTGAGTGCAGTGTGGGAAATAGGAGCCCATTGGCATGGATATTGCAGCTCCAGAGCTGAGGTAGTAGAGGTGGAGAGAGCGGGACTCAACTTTGAGGAAGCCTGAGTTTGAAGTTCATTGGATGCAATGATGGAGGAGAGAAAAAATTCAATAATCATCAAGATTTCTAGCTAGATGACTAGGTGGATGGAGCTCTTGTTCCCTGAGAGGGAGGACACAGGCAGAATGGGTGTGGCTGGGGAGGAGAAGGTGATGGGTATGAGGTGTCTGGATATGGGCATCCATATAGAGATGGGCAGAGAAATATAGGTCTGGAGACAATTTGCAGTTGTTAATGAGAGTTGAAACTGAAAGATTGTTCTCAGAGAAGGAATGGTATCAGAGAAGCAGAGGGCTGGGGAAGGGATTCTAGAATAGCTGAGGAGGTAGGAAGGAATGGCCAGAGTGGAAAGGAGAGCAGTTCAGGGAGAAGGCATATCTGAGGGTCAGAGAAGTCCTGGATGCTGATGGCAGTGCTTACAATGGGAGTGAGCTGGTGGTGCTTAGCAAGAATCTTGTCAGTGGAGTGGTGGGGAATCTTGTCAGTGGGCTGGTGGGGAATGAGAGGGGAATGAGGCAGGGGATATGGGGAGTGGAAAAGGGAAGGAAAGACCAGATTTCAACTAAACATTCATAGTGGGTTCAAATGTCAAAAATTTGGTGTGCCATTAAAAAAAGCCCTCTTGGGCCTCCCCAGGTGGCGCAGCAGTTGAGCCCTGGGCTGCGAAGCTGCTCGCAGCCTCTGCAGCGCCGGTTTGATCCCCGGCTGCCGGTGAGGGTCCCACATGGCGCGCAGACCTCTCCTGCCGTGCCTGCTGCTCCCCTCAGCAGTGTATTTTGTCAGTCTGCCTGTTCTGTTCCCCGCTCTGGCGAATTCTCTCACCCTCCTGCGCTTCTGACTGTACCCAGTGCTTGTATAAATAAATAAATAAATAAATAAATAAATAAATAAATAAATAAATAAATAAATTTTTAAAAGCCCTCTTCTTTGGGGCCTTCCTGGTGGTGCAGGGGGTTAAGCACCACACTGTGAAGCAATCTGCAGCCTCTGCAGCATGAGTTCGCTCCCTGGCCAGCCAGAGAGCAACCCACATGGCGCACCAGACCTCTCCTGACTCACCCGCTGCTCCCCAGCGGTGTATTTCAGTCAGTCTGCCTGTTCTCTTCCCCACTGTCTCTGGTGAATCCTCTCACCCCTGCATCTCTGGCCTATACCCCAGATCTTGTATGCATCAATAAATAAATCTTTAAAAAAAAAAAAAAAGCCCTCTTCTTTTACTGCAGCACTCCTCAAAGTTTAGAGAACGCAAGTATGGCGATTGCCTGGCGCACCATCAAGGGCTGATTTCCGGACTGTAGCTGAACCCTCTCTGACTCCCTGAAATCTGCATTTACAATAAGCTTTCCAGAGATTCTGATGTTGACTGAAGCTGGAGATCCTCTGTTTTAGTGAGAAAGCCTTAGTTCTCACAGGGAACTTTTGGCAAAGCATCTATGGGTGAGGGCTGCTGAGTTGTGGGGTTCTTCCTGACCCTACTAGAGGTTTTTCAAATTGTGGGTTCTACGGTAGACAATCTGGATAAGGCACTCTCTTCCTGTTAACACCTTGTAGTTTGGTGAGCTCTTAGTTTTCCCTGATGACATAAATGAGTTAACACCTTGTAGTTTGGTGAGCTCTTAGTTTTCCCTGATGACATAAATGAAAATGCCATCATGGTCCCCTGGCATATACAGGTCCCTAGCGGCCTGGGGATTAAATCTCAGGTGTTATCACTGCTAAGGCCTGAGTTCGATCCCCCAGCCAGGGAGCTGACCCACATATATTACAGCAGACCTTTCCTGTCTCGCCCACTGCTCCCCTCAGCAGTGTATTTCAGTCAATCTGCCTGTTCTGCTCCCCATTCTGTCTCTGGTGAATTCTCTCACCCCACCCACCACCCCGTACCTCTGGCCTACACCCCTTTTCCCCTATGGGGAAAAAAAAAGATTTAAAATAAAACGGGTGTCTGCTTTTCCTTTCCAGTTGCTCTTCCATGTGTTACATTGGTGACTATCCCAGTGTACAAATGTATGCAAGATTGTATATATGTATGAGTCTGAGGTGTTCCTGAGGAAAGAAACATAGGATGTATAACATGTTCGTGTGCTGGTAGCTGTGGAATTACTGTGAAAGGACAGACTAGCAGAGCATTTTTAGGTCCGAGGTTCCTTCCTGAAAATAACATTTATCTCTGATGTTTTTTGCAATACTGGAGAATGATAGCATATAACTATTTTTTTTAAAGATTTATTTATTTATGCATACAAGAGCTGGGGCACAGGCCAGAGATGTGGAGGGGTGAGAGGATTCACCAGAGACAGAGCGGGGAACAGAACAGGCAGACTGACTGAAATACACTACTAAGGGGAGCAGCGGGCACGACAGGAGAGGTCTGCTGCAGCATGTGGGTTGCTCCCTGGCCAGCCAGGGATCCAACTCGTCCCACAGAGGCCAGCATGTAACTCTATTAAAATAGTTTAAAATGGGCCTGAATGTGTGTCCCATCTGATTTAGGACTGCATTTTTAAAAAAAGATTATTTATGCATACAAGAACCGGGGTACAGGCCAGATGTGCAGGAGGGTGAGAGGATTCACCAGAGACAGAGTGGGGCACAGAACAGGCAGACTGACTGAAATACACTGCTGAGGGGAGCAGCGGGCGAGATAAGAGAGGTCTGCTACGCCTTGTGTGCATCTCCGCGGCCAGCCAGGATCGAACCCACGCTGCAGAGGCTGCGCACAGCTTCACAGTACTGCGCTCAACTGCCTACACCACCAGGGAGGCCCAGGACTGCGTTTATGTATGTGACTACCCCCTGGGGCGTTGTCTATCATTTTTGCAGAGGTTTCTTCTGACTTGTGTTTTTGTGTTTCTAGGTCATCCTATGCTGATATGCTGCACGACAAAGACAGAGTAAGTATTAAAGGAAGCCATTATCTTAGTGGGGTGTCTTAAAACCTTTCATTACAAGAGGGTTAAAAACTCCCTCAGAGGCATGATGTTAGAATGATGCTGAGAGGAAGTGTCGTGCGGTGGTCAGGAAATCAGTCAAGGGTGAGCTGGGTCCTACCTACTCCCAGCTTTGCTGTTGACCTGAATGCAGCCTTGCTCAGAGCATGGGACCTCTAGAGAAACTGTTTATTAAGATTTAAAGTGAATGAAATATGCTGGCTAATCTCCATGATCTCAAGATAAAAATTCTCTAATTGCATGATGATTCGCCTTGTATAAAATTACTTGCAATTCTAAAATAAAATCTCTAGAGGTCACTGCACACTGTATTTTGTAGAACACATTAGGCTTTCATTGCAGAATTCCATTTCAGCTTTTCTCTTTCATCTAAACTTTCATGTTTGAATCATGGAACAGTATAGCTCTGGTCTTATGACAGCAGCCCAGAATTTCCCAATCTATCTGAGGGCTTGACTAGTTGGCCTCATCTGGATGGTTCAGAAGCTGGGAAGCTTGAAGGAGAACGATGCAGGGACAGGCACTGAACAGTGCTAGGTAGAAGCCAGCTCAGGGCAAGTGTTAGGCTTGGTCTTGGTGGTGGTGGTGTCTCCTTCGCCCCACACCGATTAATACCTCAACCTGCCTGCTTCTTGGAAACACCATGACAGAATGATCTCCTTGAGCACCTTTAGTGTGTAGGCCACAACAAAGGGGCTGGAGCCTCCCTGAGTGCCCTTGATGAGCTGTTGGGGAATTACAGAATATGGGATAAACATTATTCTTGGCTGTTGATTAAGCCTCTCTAAGGGTCTTGGCTTCTTATTGGACTCTCTAATCACTAAAACCAGAGAGGCCGATTTTAGTGTCATCTGCAAAGAGGGTGCTTTTTGCCCCAGCTTCCAGGGGGTTTGGACAGATGGCATTGCCATCCAGTCAGCCACTCCAGAAAGATGATGCCCTTTTCCTCATCTGAGCAAGCAGTCTGTCATCAAATTTGATTGGTCTTTCAACCCCACTGCCTGCCTAACTCTCATGTGGTGTTGGCCCCTCTTTTCCTTCTCTTGCACAGTAGCCCAAGGGATCTTCTTGAATGCCAGTCTGGCCTTGTTTGTTCTCTAATTAAAACCCTTCATGGTCTCAAAAAAAATCCAAACTCTTTGCCAGAATATTCCTGAATCTGCATCATTTAATACTTTACTTCTTTCCCTTCCCCAGTTCTATACATGAGAAAATGGGACTCAGGGGCCTCCCCGGTGGCGCAGCAGTTGAGTGCTGGGTTGTGAAGCTGCCCACGGCCTCTGCAGTGCCGGTTCAATCCCTGGCTGCTCCCTAGCCACCGGAGGAGGGTCCCGCATGGCGCGCAGACCTCTCCTGCCGCCCGCTGCTCCCCTCAGCAGTGTACTTCGGTCCTTCTGCCTGCTCTGCTCCCTGCTCTGGCTCTGGTGAATTCGCTCACCCTCCCGCACTTCTGACTGTACCCAGTGCTTGTATAAATAAATAAATAAATCTTTAAAAAAAAAAAAAAGAAAGAAAATGCTGGTTAAGGACAGAGGCAGGATAGATAGACATATTTCTCTGCTTTTGCGTGGCGCCGTGCATTTGGTGGTTGTTTTAGAGCACTTCTTTTATCCCATTGCCAAACCCCAACCCCAGGCAACCATTCACTGGTCTGCTTTCTCTCTCTATAGTTCTGTCGTTTCTAGAAATTTCATGTAAATGAGACCATGTAATATATGGAATATGATTCTGAAACTACAGATAAGTTCTCATGAGTCTGTTTAACTTCATGTTTTTGAAGTTCACTCAAGTTGAGTATATATCAGTATTCATTCTTTCTTAATAACTAGTTATATTCCACTGTTGGATATACTGTATTTTATTTATCCATTTACCAGTTGATGGACATTGAATTGTTTCCAGTTTGGGGGCTATTTTGAATAGTCCTGCTGTAAACATTCATATAAAAGTCTTTGTTTTTTATTCCTTTTAGTAGATACATAAAAGTAGAGTTCCTGGGTAAGTGTACATTTATGGTAAATGTATAACTTTTGAAGAAACTACCAAACTCTTTTCCAAAATGGAAGTACTATTTACATTCTACCACTGATGTGTGAGGATTCCAACTTCTTCACAAAATCTGGTATTGTCAGTGTTTGATTTTAGCCATTTTATCTGAATGTGAGTATATAGTGATGTCTCATTGTAGTTTTATTGTCCATTTTTATAATGATTAATGATAAATGATATCCATCTGGATATCATTTTGGTATAGTCTGGATAACCTTTTTGGTATACGTGTGACTTTTGATAGATACTGCCAAATTGCCGTTTCAGAGTGCATCACTACAAATTAGCATCTGTATGTACTGTATTTTTTTCACTATTACAAATCTAATTCCATCTGTCACCTTACAGTTGACTCTGTTTATCTGATTTATCTGGCGTCTTTGCCCCAGATTGCCTTTTTGGGAGCAGGAGTGGGGGTAGGATAGAAAACAATTTTTTTTTTTAGTTATTCACAAATACACTGAAGATGCCAGTATTGGGTTTAATCCCAGGCCATAAGTCTGCACATTTCTGTGCATCTGGGTCCAGCAATGGCAGAACCTTTCACTTGCCTTTATTGGTACCCTGTGACCCCAGTTCTTCCAAGTAAAGAAATATGTCATCGTCTCCAGTATGACTTCCATTGTCAAATTACTACTGCCTGATAGTGCCATTCTCAGCGCCGGTTTGCCTTTCTTGACTGGATCGCTATGTCACCCACACCAGACGCAGAAAGTCTGTTCAGTGACCCTTGAACCCTTCATGTGGTTGATGTACAAATTTTAGGCTTCTGTCTTCTTAGCATAGTTGATTATGGCTTCTGACAGAGGAGCTAAGAAAATCTGGACTTTTTGCAACAAACAGCACACTGTCTCCTTCCTTCAGCATCTCAAAAGCCAGAAAAACCTACGTTGCCCTTTATGGGGCTCCAGTTTCCCTACAGGATCTCCAAAATTGAGTAATTAAAAGTTAATAGCTACTCTGTTGAATGTCAGCAGTTTGAAGGGTGTGTTGAGGATTCTCAGGTAGTCAGCTCATGGCTATACTCAGTCTCCCAGGCTAGCTCCCAGTCCCACACTGACCCAGAGAAAACAGCACCGCCCGCTTTGGGGGGATATAATGTATTAATGTTCAGTTTTTTAGTTCAACAAATTCTATCAATTGCAATATTGATTTTTTTTTTCAAAAAACTCTTATTTGTGATTTTAAATCACACAGCGTAAAATGTCATATTGATTTATCCACAACATAAATGTACAAACTTTAAGAGTCAAATAGTTCTTTAAGATCTGCTGTGAAAAACACTATTCCCTGGTGTATCATGTTCACTAGACAAACCATCTTATGCTCCAACTCAGTTGCAACCTCATTTCTTCTCTTCGAGCTGTCTGTTTTTACCTCCAAATCTGCAGAGCTATTATCTGTTGACTTCTCTCTCTTTCAGCTTTTCCTTCCAATTCATTCCCCTTTCTTCTGAAAGCAATATAATTTTTGCTAGATCAACAGTTACTTTTCAGGGGCAAGTCACTTTGTCCCTCTCTTTCTTTCATATGTAAAATAGGGATACCCTTCCCTTTTTTGGCACTGTGAACAGGATGATATACCCTCCTTTTACAGAATGAGGTAAGCCCTTACAGAAGTGTGTATTAGTTAAAATCTTACGTTACTTTACTAGTTAAAATCTTATGTTTACTAAAATCTTGCGTTTACTTTACTAAACACTATTCAGAGTTGAGCTATGTGATTCTCTGATTACTTTTCCTTTCTTGCATAAAAATAATTAGCTTAGGGCCTCCCCGGTGGCGCGCAGCGGTTGAGCGCTGGGTTGTGAAGCTGCCCGCAGCCTCTGCAGCGCCAGTTCGATCCCCGGCTGCTCCCCGGCCACCGGAGGAGGGTCCCACATGGCGCACAGTCCTCTCCTGCCGCCCGCTGCTCCCCTCAGCAGTGTACTTCCGTCCTTCTGCCTGCTCTGCTCCCCGCTCTGGCTCTGGTGAATTCTGTCACCCTCCCGCGCTTCTGACTGTACCCAGTGCTTGTAGAAATAAATAAAAATAAATCTTAAAAAAAAAAAATAATAATAATTAGCTTAGTTTTCCTTTTTCTTTGTAGAAATCATTGTTTTGAGCCCAAATTTCCCCCAATTGTATGTCTCTCCTTTCAGAAGGAAAGATCAACCAGTTAGTGTTCTGTCAGTTTTATCTTCTCGGAGAATGTCTCTGGGGTCATTTCAACTGTTCTAGCCTGATCTAGATGGTCTCTGGACCTGTTATATATCTGCCATCCCAGCATTCTTGTTTGTTGTCCTCAGATCTTGCTTGTGTTGGGCCCTCTGTTTCCTGAATCCTAAGTCTTCCTAAGGGCCTGTGATGAGGCGCTTTCCTCCCCAGTTTCCTGTGAGAGGGTACATGGGAGGTAAGGTGTTTGAGACTTTCTTGAAAAGTTCTTCCTTCTACCCTTACATTTCAGACTGAGGTTGACTTTGGATTCTAGTTTGAGAATCACTTCCCTTCAGAATTTTGACTGTATCACTCTATTCTCTTTTAGACTTCAGTGTTACTATTTTGAACATCGGTACCATTCGTACTCATTAAAATTCTTTTTAAGGTGGCCTCCCTGGTGGCCTAGGGGTTAAGTTTCAGCGCCCTTGGCAAAACAGCCTGAGTTCGATTCCTGGCCAGGGAGCTGACCCACATAGTGTAGCAGACCTCTTCTGTCTTGCCTGCTGCTCCCCTCAGCAGCGTATTTCAGTGGATCTGCCTGTTCTGCTCCCCACTGTGTCTCTGGTAAATCCTCTCACCACCCACACCTCTGGCCTACACCCCAGTTCTTCTACGCAAAGATAAATAAAATAAAAATCTTAAAAAAACCTTGTGACATATAATATAAAGGAGATAAAATGTATACATACCATGTGAAAAATAATAAAGTAAGTGCTATAGACTCACCACTTTGCTTAGGAAATAGAATACTGTCATTACTCAGAATTCGCCTGTGTGCTCCTTGATTGCATTGTTTTTCCATCCCCCAGAATTTCCCAGTCTTTAATTTTATGTCAACCACTCCCTTGCTTTTCCTTACAGTTTTATCATCTGTTATGTATCTGTAAAAGATAAATTCTTAGTTTCACCTAATTTTGAATTTTATATGATGCAGTCATACTGTGTTTATTCTTTGTGAATTGCTTCTTTGCTCGGCATTGTTTTTAAGATTCATCCGTTTTGCATGAGGCTATAGTTCAACTGTTTTCACTGCTGTGTAGATTCCAATGTGTAATAGGTCATTATTTGCCCATTCTTTTTTTTTTTTTTCTAAAAGATTTATTTATTTATACATACAAGAGCTGGGGTACAGTCCAGAGGCGCGGGGGGTTAGAGGATTCACCAGAGACAGAGTAGGAAACAGAACACGCAAATGTTCTGTTCTAAGTATACTGCTGAGGGGAGCAGTGGGTGAGTCAGGAGGGGTCTGCTGCTCCATGTGGGTAGCTCGCTGGCCGGGGATGGAACTCGTGCTGCAGAGGCTGCGAACAGCTTCATAGGTCGCTTCTTAATCCTTGTGCCACCAGGGAGGCCCTACTTGCCCATTCTTCTGTTGATGGACTGAAGTTATTCCTAACTACTTGCTGCTATGAGTAATGCCACTATAGCATTCCAGTGCATGCACTGTAGGGTATATGCACATTTTTCTCTTGGTTTTTTGGGCCTAGGAGTGGAATTGCTAGGATTGGAATAGGTGTGGTCAGCCCTGCTAAATGATGCCAAATTCTTTTCCAAAGTGATCATGCCAACTTGCATTTTCACCATCTGTGTGCGATAGTTCTTGTCCACATCCTCATCAGTATTTGGTATTAACCAATTTTTTCATTTTTGACAATTTGGAAGATTTGAACTATTCTCTCATTATATTTTTATTTTGCATTCCCCTGATGACTAATGAGTATGAGCTCTTTTCATTTGTTTATTAACTACTCATGTTTCATCGTCTATGACTATAGGAGATATTTGTAATATGTTCTGGGTACTAGTCATCTGTCACTTTTTTTTGTCACAGGTGTCTTTGTGTTTTTTTTTTTTATTTGATAATCCTAAATTCTTAAACCAAATGTCATATTTATCTGATAATTCCTTTTTTTTTTTTTTAAAGATTTATTTATTTATTTATTTATTTATTTATTTATCCAAGCACTGGGTACAGTCAGAAGCGCGAGAGGGTGAGAGAATTCACCAGAGCCAGAGCGGGGAACAGAACAGGCAGAGGGACGCGGCAGGAGAGGTCTGCACGCCATGTGGGACCCTCCTCTGGTGGCCGTGGAGCAGCCGGGAATCCAACCGGCGCTGCAGAGGCTGCGGGCAGCTTCACAACCCAGTGCTCAACCGCTGCGCCACTGGGGAGGCCTGATATTTCATTTTTTGATGGATGCTTTTTGTCTCTTATTTAAAAAGTCTTTGGCCAAAATTTTAAAGGCTTTTGCTAATACATAAAAATTTAATTGGGGCCTCCCCGGTGGCGCAGCGATTGAGCGCTGGGTTCCGAAGCTGCCCGCAGCCTACCCAGCGCCGGTTCCATCCCCGGCTGCTCCCCGGCAACCGGAGGAGGGTCCCGCATGGCGCGCAGACCTCTCCTGCCACCTGCTGCTTCCCTCAGCAGTGTACTTCGGTCCTTCTGCCTGCTCTGCTCCCCGCTCTGGTTCTGGTGAATTATCTCACCCTCCCACGCTTCTGACTGTACTGTGTTTGTATGAATAAATAAATAAATAAATCTTTAAAAAATTTAATTGAATTTTTTATTCATTTATTTTATGAATTAATTTATTTTTATTTTATTTATGAATTTGGAATCCTATAATTTTAAGTTTTCTTATTAATTGTAATAATTATTTGTAGGTATATTGGGCTTTCTTCAGAGACATTCATTTGTGAATAATAATTTATATCTTTCTAGACTTGAGGTTTTTTTTATTTTATTTTTTAAATTGAGGTATGGTAGCTTACACCTTTATTTGTATTTTGGGAGTATAGGGTTTCCCCAGTAGTGCACCCAGCATCATAGTCCATTTTCTCCTTTGTTCTTGCCCCCCCTTGCATTTTTTTTCTTGTTCTAGTATGTTGAATAGAATCTTTCTGTGATTTTTTCAAATTTATTTGCTAAAAGTTGTTCATAATACACTTCAATCTCTAATATCTGTAGTTTTTTTTTAAAAGATTTATTTATTTATGCACACAAGAGCTGCGGTACAGGCCAGAGATGTGGGAGGGTGAGAGGACTCACCAGAGACAGACTGGGGAGCAGAACAGGTAGACTGACTGAAATACACAGCTGAGGGGAGCAGCAGGTGAGCCAGGGAAGTTCTGCTGTGCCATGTGGGTTGCTCCCTGGCCAGAGATCGAACTCGTGCTACAGAGGCTGCGGATTGCTTCATAGCGTGGTGTTTAACCCCTTGCGCCACCAGGGAGGCCGTAATATCTATAGATTTATCTGCCTATAGTGCATCCTCCCTCTTCATTCCCAGTTTTGGGTTACTTGTGCTTTTTTCTCTCCCTTTACATTTTTTTTTTTTTTTATAGTTTTTTTTTTTTTTTTTTATAGAGTCATATTTTATTTATTTATTTATTTATTTGTTTTGTTTATACATGCACTGGGTACAGTCAGAAGCTTGGGAGGGTGATCGAATTCACCAGAGCCAGAGCGGGGAGCAGAGCAGGCAGAAGGACCGAAGTACACTGCTGAGGGGAGCAGCGGGCGGCAGGGGAGGTCTGCGCGCCATGTGGGACCCTCCTCTGGTGGCCGGGGAGCAGCTGGGGATCGAACCGGCGCCGGAGAGGCCGCGGGCAGCTTCGCAACCCAGCGCTCAACCACTGCGCCACCGGGGAGGCCCCTCCCTTTACATTTTTTACTTGACTAGTTTTACCAGGTCATTGACCTTATTAGTCTTTTGAAATAATGAGCTTTTATCTTGTCAGTCTTCTCTATTTTACATTTGTTTCCTAGATCAGTAATTTTTGTTTGCCATTTTCATTCATCTACTTATTTGGAGTTTATTTTACAGTCTTCTAATAGGAGCTTAGCTCATATTTTGGCTTTCCTAACATTTCTCTTCAAATACTGCTTTCACATCCCGTGAGCTTTGATATGTAATTTAGAAAAATGATTCAGTTCTAGATATTTTCCTAATTTTCCCCTTTGATTTAGTAATTTACCTTTGAGGTTAGAATTTCTTGATGTTCAGAAGTTTTTTTTTTTTTTTTCTTCAGTTATATTTTTGTTACTGATGTTTCTAACTTGATGACAGAGGACACTGCCCTTTTGATACCAAACCTGAATTTGTTACCTACTCTTACATAAACAATTATTACAAAACTTAATGACTTAAGATTTTTTTGATCTCACTGTTTCTATGGGTTAGAAAATTGGCGTGAGCTTGGGTGCATCCCTGAGCTCAGGTTTTTATCAGCTGTGACAAGGTGTCAAGTGTCAGCTTCTAGGGCTCCTAAGAATGCTCAGTGGGCGGTGGAGCCACCGCCACAGGTTTGGCCTTTTAATGTACTCTTAACTATTGTCACAGGTCACTGGTGCACTGAACAAGGTTTACAATTACTTTCCCCATCATTTTAAATTATTCTCAACAGAAGAGTCAGAGCACCTCTCCAGCCAGACCGTTCCTGGCGAAGATGTGGCTGTTAAAGTTACCGATGTCCTGAACTGAAGACAAAGAACTGATTTCCTGAGGGGGTAGATGTGTTTTAGACAAGGAAGCTGTATGGGTTAGTAAGTCTAGTAAGGACGCAAAAGCCATGTTACATAGTTCAGCAGAAGAAATTGGTTATACAGAGTGGGGGGACTGGGAGGCAGATGCAGCATCTGGATAACCCAGAAGTAGTTGCAGAAAGCTATTACCTTTCCTAGGGCTGGGCAATTAGAAGAAGGTTGGAGTTCCCAAACCTAGACACGTGGCGGATGGGTCCTGTGGAGCCGGTGCTCAAATCTCTGGGCCGGATCGCTGCTCCCATGCCACTTCTTCCTGGGAGGGGCCCAAGGAGGCTGGCTAGGGAGCAGTTCGAGAAGTTGGGGTCTGGAGCCACCTGCTTCTCCTGTGAGGAAACAGAGGAGAGCAGCGACCATTCAGCATCCTCTTTCCTGCCTGCCAGGAGCCCTCCAGCTCCCTGTTGTCAGAATGTGGGCAGAGCCCCACGCCCGCCATGGTCTAAGCAGGGTATGGAAATGCTGGTGGAGAGGGGAGCTGACTGCTCAGTGAACGGCAGGAGACTGGCCCCAAGCATGTGCAGTTTCACGAGCCTGCTTAGCGCAGCGGCCAGTGTTGTTCCTTGAGGAACCAGAGTGGCCAGTGTCCGGAGTGATGCTACTGCTGCCAACCATCTCTCAGAGCTTCACAGAGTGCCTTTCACTTATGTATTGTTAAGTGTTGTGAAGTGACAGCTCTTTCTTCCTTTTTCTTAGAATATAAAATATTACCAGGGCATCCAGGCAGCTGTGAGCCGGGTGAAAGACAGAGGACAGAAAGCCTTGGTTCTTGACATTGGCACCGGCACAGGACTCCTGTCAATGATGGCAGTCACAGCGGGTGCCGACTTCTGCTATGCTGTCGAGGTGAGCCACTCTTGGTTGTCATGTGTGGGAAGTCCAAGTCCCTCTGTCCCTTATACACTGCCCCTCAACTTGTGCACCAACAGCCGCAGGATGCTCACTCTGTACCCAGCACAGCTCTAGGTTCTGAGAGTATCATGTTGTATCAGACACAATTCCTTCCTTTAGAAACTTGTTTTCTCCACTGAAAATAGTGGTTCCCAGCTTTGGCTCCATGTCAGAATTGCTGAGGAGCTTTGAAAAATACTAATGCCTCCTTGATGGTGCAGGGGGTTAAGTCTCAGCGCTATGAAGTTATCGGCAGCCACTATAGCACAAGTTCAATCCCTGCCCAGGGAGCTGACCCACATGGCACAGCAGACCTCTCCTGTCTTTCCTGCTGCTCCCCTCAGCAGTGTATTTCAGTAGATCTGCCTGTTCTGCTCCCCACTCTGTCTCTGGTGAACCCTTTCACCCTCCCTGCGCCTCTGCCTTATACCCCAGTTCTTGTATGCATAAATACATAAATAAATCTTTTTAAAATAAGTAAATCTTTAAAAAAAAAAAAAACTAATGCTTAATCGACTATGTTTCTCCCCCCACCCTGCCCCCAGGATTTGGTTAAATTATTCTAGAGTGTGGCTTGGGTATTGGGATTTTTTTATGTGGGGCGTCCCCCAGCACACCCACTGCACAGCACAGCAGGGCATCTACTTTACGTTTCTCTGCAGAGCTACCCATCAGATTATGTTTACCGGTAATTTGGCAGTCTGTTATTTCTCTATTTTTTTTTTTTAAAAGATTTATTTATACAAGAACTGGGGTACAGGTCAGAGGTGCAGGAGGGTGATTGAATTCACCAGAGAGAGTGGGGAACATAACAGGCAGACGGACTGAGAACACTGCTGAGGGGAGCAGCGGGCGAGGCAGGAGAGGTCTGCCCATGCCAGGTGGGTTTCTCCCTGGCCGGCCGGGAATCAAACCAGCGCTGCAGAGGCTGCGGACACCTTCACAGTGCAGCGCTCAACCCGCTGCACCACCAGGGAAGACCCTGTTATTTCTCTAAATAAAGCATATGTTTTATTTATTTTTTTTTTATTAATTTTTTTTTTCTTTTTATAGAGGCATGTTTTATTTATTTATTTGTTTGTTTGTTTGTTCGTTCGTTTATACATGCACTGGGCACAGTCAGAAGCACGGGAGGGTGAGAGAATTCACCAGAGCCAGAGCAGGGAGCAGAACAGGCAGAAGGACCGAAGTACACTGCTGAGGGGAGCAGCGGGCCGCAGGAGGGGTCTGCGCGCCATGTGGGACCCTCCTCCGGTGGCCGGGGAGCAGCCGGGGATCGAACCGGCGCTGCAGAGGCCGCGGGCAGCTTCGCAACCCAGTGCTCAACCGCTGCGCCACCGGGGAGGCCCCAATAAAGCATATGTTTTAAACATATGTTTTTCTGATACTGTAAATAATACGTCATTATAGGAATTTGATAAATGTAAAACAGAAATAGTATGTTTACTCAAAGTTAACCATTGTTAAAATTTTGGTGTGTGCTCTCTCAAGGTTACAGGGAGCGAAGGGTATATTCTAACACATTTCTGGGAGAAATTTGGTTGTTAAGGTGACGGGGGTACAAATAACAAAGTCCCCAAATCACAGTGGCTTAAACAAGGTAGAAATTTTTTGCTCTTTCACATGAAGACTGAGAGCATTCCAGGCTATCCTACCCCGACTCATTTTACCTTCCCAACCACCACCCCTTCAGTGTGGCCCTCATGCTCATGGTCTGGAAAGTGGGCATTTTAGGCTGAGGGAATACTGTGTTGTGTTTGGGGAACATTGTCATCCACTGTTTTGGCAGAGGGTATCATAGAAGCCCAGATTGTGGAACTCCTGAGTCCACAGTAAGGAACTGTATCTTGAAAGTTACAGGTTTTCTTTTTCTTTTTAAAGATTTATTTGTTTTCATACAAGAGCTGGGGTACAGGCCAGAGGCACGGGAGGGTGAGAGGATTCACCAGAGACAGAGCGGGGAGCAGAACAGGCAGAAGGTCCGAAGACACTGCAGAGGACTGCTATGCCATGTGGGAATCTCCCTGGCTGGCTGGGAATCGAACCTGTGCTGCAGAGGCTGTGGACAGCTTCACAGCTGCGCCACCGGGGAAGCCCCAGTACAGGTTTTCTTAACCTAATGAGACTATTGGGCTTTAGGTCTCTGAAAGTTTTGAGAGGTGTTGGGGGGTAGGGGAGGAGGGGAGGGGGTGGGGGCGGGCTCTGGTGTGGGGGCGGACAGTGATGCCATTGACTAGTAAGCTAAAAACTGGTCAACAGGATGCTTACTTTGTGGGAGAGAAAATGCATTTCATGTTGACCATGTTAAGTATGAGAGAGGAGGTCCTGGGGCAGGAGCTGGTATGTGTGTACACTGCTAATTAAAAATATAGGGTGAGAACATGTTTTTTTGGCAGAATTGGCAGGACTCTGCCCTTGGATTTTTCCATATTCCTGTCTTAGCTGAATTCTAGTTTGCTTCTGCTGCGCTGGCCTTTGGCTCTCAGTACTTCTTCCATTTGGCTCTTTGCATCTTACAGTGGCCTCCCACTTTTTACTTCAGTGACCACCTCTTTGAATCACTGGCATTGTCCATGGATTGCTTGACTTTCAGTTCTCCCTGAGCTGCAAAACAACAGCAAAGACAGGTTCGGAAGAATAAGTATAGAGAGATGCCGCTGGCCCTAGAGGTGGAAGTTGGCCCTCAAGAGAGTGGCGCGTGCACGTGGATTGGGATTCACTGCGATGCGACAAGTGATATTGGCCGCGTGGGAGATTGAGGGGAATAGAGGGAGAAGAGCAAACCTTGGAACATTTAGGTGCCGAGGGATAATGAGTCAAATTCAAACACAAAGAGAACCTAGAAGGCAGAGTTGGAAACCAGCAAGGGCAAACTGCGTGGAATTTGTGAGAAAGAGGGAGTGTCAGCAGGGGTAGGTATTACAGAGCAGCACTGTGCAATAGAACTTTCCAAGATGATGAAAGTTTCCTGTAGTAGTGCTGTCCAGTGAGGTGGTCCCTAGCCACGTGGCCGCCCAGCACTTGAAATGTAACTGGTAGCATGGAGGAACTGAATTTTTAACTTTATTCCACTTTAATCAATTTGTATTTATATAGCTACATGGGGCTACTGTGTTGGAGAGTTGAGCAGGAGGAGAAAGCTGTTGGGTCATTGGTGACCTTTAGGCGATATTACAGGAGAGAGTAGAGTTGAGGAGTGGAGGAATACAACAAATTACAGACAAAGACTGTAGACTTCTAGTACCTTTGAAAGGAAAGGGGTATTTGGCCAAGGTTACTTGTGACCATGGTTTCTGTAGCACGTGCCTGAAAACCCTCCCAGATGGCTTGGAGAAGGATGTTGTCAGGAAATCCAGAGTCTTGTTGGCTTCAGGGTTAGTTCATTCAGAAGGTAAGAATGTGGATGAGACCCCAGATCTCTCTGTTCCTCACCTGTCCTCTTCCTGAGGCTGGCACCGTTACTGGTGCTGAGGGCTTGTTGCATTGGCAACACCACACTGATGCAGAAAGTGATACAGGAGGCGTGGAGAAGGCCCCACAATGCAGGATGCTGTGGAAGAGCAAGATCCTGGCCTTTTTATTTCTAAAATAATCATGCAGTGTCAGTTGTGAGGGGAAGGAGGGAAAAAGGAAAAGGGGAAGGGTGAGACAAGGAAATGAGCTGTTACCTGTAGTGTCCGGGATTGTGAGTCTGCCTTCCAGGCTCTTCTCATCTCCTTTTTTTTTTTTTTTAAAGATTTATTTATTTATGCATAGAAGAGCTGGGATGCAGGCCAGAGATTGGGGGGCAGGGGCGGGTGAGAGGATTCACCAGAGACAGAGTGGGGAGCAGAACAGACAGATGACTGAAATACACTGCTGAGGGGAGCCGTGGGGAGACAGGAGAGGTCTGCTGCGCCATGTGGGTCACCTCCCTGGCCGGGGATTGAACTTGTGCTACAGTGGCTACGGACAGCTTCATAGAGCTGAGTATTAACCCCTTATGCCACCAGGGAGGCCCAGCTTCTCATCTCTTTGATGACTTGGTATTGTAATTGAGATCAAGCCCTAGATCCCCAGCCAGGGTTTCAATTTTATCAACAAAGTATTCAGCTTCTGGGGTTCCTTGTTATACATCAGTGTCCACTCCCGTGTCCCCCCCCCCCCATCTCCCGACTGTTGCCCTGCGTGGCATTCCCCACCCTTTCCGGTCATACCTCGTGATGTATAGCCTTCCCAGAGTGATCAAGCTTTCTGCTCTTGATTGATTTGAAAGGCATCTTGCAGGGTTGGGCTCCTATAACTGATTGACCGGGCAATTCTGATCTTGCTTAGGAATACAGAACTGTAGGTAACTAAATTGTGGCCCAATAGGCCACTGAGGACTAGCAGACCCACAAGGGCCAGTTCAGGCTGTGTGTCTGATAGAAAAGCATTGTCCTGGTTTCCTTCCTTCCTCTTTTTTAACAGCAAGAACAACTTTGTCAGGAATTGCTGGCACACCTCTCTGTGGGTATTATTGGCCAAAATAAGATTAAATCCCAATTAATTGAACTTGTCCCTGGTTAGAGAGATTCAGTTACTCTGAGACCAGACAGATGTACCACTCAAGAAAAGGTGGATTCCCCAAACTGATTTCAAGGGCTGAGGAGGACACAGAATGATGCTGGCAAGTCAGCTTTAGTGTCCATTCCTGACAGAGGTTCGGGTGAGATTTTGAACTCCTGGGTGGCTGAGGAGAAGCAGCCTGTGACGCTCAGAGCCTAAAGTCAGGAGAGGAGATGAGTGACCAGCAAGAGGCAAGAGCACTGAAGGGTGGTGTAAGCACGGGATATTCTGAGGCAGAGGCCAGTATGGGTGAGAACTGAGACATGAGACCCTCCAGGTACATCTTATAATGTCAAGCCAGATCCTAGAAGTCACTTGAAACTGATTATGAAGATTTTTTTTTCCTTGCTAAGCACAGACATATTCTTTACAGAACAAAACATTTCCCCCTTGATTATAGTAGAAGAAACACGTGTTCATGGGAATTCCTAGCTGCAAGTTAAACTCAGCAGAATCTTATCCCTTTGTGTTCATTTTCATGACACATGTTTGGAGAATAAAATATTTAAGTTACTCAGATGAAGTCTTGTTTATTTTAAATCGGCCCCCCCCAAAATTTTTGCCTACATCTTGAATTGTAACAAAGGGACATTTTGTGTATTTAGGAGGGAATCCAGAAGTGAAAGCCTCTTTTACTTCACATCTTAGGAAAGGAATCAGGGACCATCTTGCTAATCTTGGGTATTAAGATGTTATTTAATTTATCACTTATTTTTTCCTTGGGTTTGGCTCTAATTTCTAGGTTTTCAAGCCTATGGCTGATGCTGCTGTGAAGATTGTGGAGAAAAATGGCTTCAGTGATAAGATTAAGGTTATCAACAAGCATTCCACTGAAGTGACTGTCGGGCCAGGTAAGATGAACACATATTTTACTCTTACAGGAGGGATCACTTATTCCAGTTGTCTGGGATAAACATGCTAGGCTGACTGCCTAGAAATAGTGCCTGTCCACGGGGTGGTCTGAAGATAAACACTTTGCATCTCTACTAGTTAACACAAAGCAGCAGTGGGCAAACAAGAGCTAATCAAGTGCATTTGGGGTGACACAAATGTAATTTCCTTTTTCTTCAAGCAATTAGAAGTACTGTGGCTCAACTCTCTCAGTTTCAAGTTTCATCAAACAGGAGTGAAACTGGTTAGAGAGCAGGAAGAGACTTGCTTAGCCCTGACGTCCTGTTTCAGCATCCCACATGAGAGAGTTGCCTGCATAGCACAGGCTCCAGGTTGCCAGAATATTTTGTAAAATCTGGGAAGTCGAATGAGACTTCTGAAATTTTACATGCCTCTGATGCTTGGCTAGCACAGTGGAAAGAAGTGCAAAAGAAGCTTCCGGGATAAGGTAATGATATATCACTGCAGTTTTTAAAAAATACAGTAATTTAGAATTGAAGTATCTGCGCTTAAAGACAGCATTTTTCTCCAATTAAAACAATTTTTATTTTTAATGGGCCTCCCTGGTGGCTTAGGGGTTAAGTCTCAGCACTACAACCCTGACAGCCTGAGTTCAACCCCCATCCAGGGAGCTAATCCACATATACCACAGCAGACCTCTCCTGTCCCTCCCACTGCTTCCCTTAGCAGTATGTTTCAGTTAATCCACCTGTTCTGCTCCTTACTCTGTCTCCGGGAAGTGCTTTCACCCTCTGCACCTCTGGACTACACCCCAGATCTTCTATGCAAAAATAAATAAATAGTCTTTTAATTAATGGAGAATCTCCAGCATTTACAAAGAAGAGACTACTATGCTTTATTTTTAAAACATAACACACATACAAAAGAACACTCAAATAATTATCCCATTTTTAATCAACATTTTGAGGTATAATTTACATAAAATCAATGCACCTATTTTAAGAGTATAGTTTGATGGGTTGGTAAATGTAAACTCACAGCCACCATGGCAAGCAAGACAGTAGATTATCTGTATCATGCCCAAAGAGATTCCTCAGGACCCTTTAGATTGCCCCCCCCACCCTCCAGCATATCCCTGGGTCTGGGCACCCACTGATCTAATTTCTTCAATATAGATTAGATTTGCCCATTCTAGAATTTTGAGTAGGTGAAATCATGCAGTGTGCTTCTCTGTGCCTACTTCCTTCTCTATAACATGGTGCTTTTGAGATTCATCCGCATTGTCTATGTATTAAAGTTCATTCTCTTCTGTTGCTGTCAGCGCTCTGTGTGCTTATACCAGAAGGTGTTTATCGCTTCACCTGTTGGTGGAAGGATGCAAGTTGTTTCTCAATAGGCCTTTAGGTTCACTGATACTTTTCTTTTTAATGAAGATTTATTTTATTTATACAAGAGTGGGGGTACAGGCTAGATGAGCGGGAGGGTGAGAGGAGTCACCAGAGACAGAGCAGGGAATAGAACAGGCAGACTGACGAAATAGAACAGGCAGGCTGCTGAGGGGAGCAGCGGGTGAGACAGGAGAGGTCTGCAGGCCATGTGGGTTGCTCCGAGGCCGGCAGGGATCGAACCAGCACTGCAGGGGCTGCGGACAGCTTCACAATGCTGTGCTCAACCGCCTGCGCCACCAGGGAGGCCCCTCTTTTTTTTTTTTTTTAAAGATTTATTTATTTATTTATACAAGCACTGGGTATAGTCAGAAGCGTGGGAGGGTGAGAGAATTCACCAGAGCCAGAGCGGGGAGCAGAGCAGGCAGAAGGACCAAAGTACACTGCTGAGGGGAGCAGCGGGCGGCAGGAGAGGTCTGGGCGCCATGTGGGACCCTCCTCCGGTGCCCAGGAGCAGCCGGGGATTGAACTGGCGCTGCAGAGGCTGCAGGCAGCTTCGGAACCAAGCGCTCAATCGCTGCGCCACCAGGGAGGTCCCCTCTTTTTTTTTTTAAAAGATTTATTTTATTTATGCATACAAGAGTTGGGGTACAGGCCAGAGGCGTGCGGGGTGAGAGGATACACCAGAGACAGAGCAGGGAACAGAACAGGCAGATCAACCGAAGTATACTGCTGAGGGGAGCAGCGGGCGAGTCAGGAGAGGTCTGCTGCACCATGTGGGTTGCTCCCTGGCCGGCCATGGGGATTGAACTTGTGATGCAGAGGCTGTGGATTGCTTCATAATAAGGTGCTTAACCCCTTGGGCCACCAGGGAGGCCCTGATACTTTTCTTTTGATCTTCTGTGTGTCTGATCTGCTGTGAAGCATATCTAGTGAACTTTTTGTTTGTAATACTATGTTTCTAAATGTTCCATTCAGTTCTTTTTTAGAACTTCCATTTTTCTCATTATATGTTCATGTGTTTCTTTGACTACTTAACATATTTGTATTAGCAGTTCCGACATTCAACATTCCTACCTCCTGCTTCCACCATCTCTGTTTTTTCTGTTTGTTCCATTGACTGATTTTTATTCTGGTACTGGGTCACATTTTCCTTCTTTGCATGTTTAGTAATTTTTTTTTAAGATATATTTTATTTTTTTAGGCATATAAGAACTGGGGTCTAGGTCAGAGGTGTGAGGAGTGGGAAGATTCATCAGAGACAGTGGGGAGCAGAACAGGCAGATCCACTGAGATACACTGCTGAGGGGAGCAGCGGGCAGGACAGGAGAGGTCTGTGCCATGTGGGTCAGCACCCTGGCTGGGATCGAACTCATGATGCAGTAGCTGGCGATAGCTTGATAGCGCTGAGACTAAACCCCTGTGTCACCAGGGAGGCCCTGCATGTCTAGTAATTTTTATTTGGATGTTGTAGATATTGGGCATTTTTTATTGGTGAGTGCTAGATTTTGTTGTCTGTCTAAGAACTTTGTTTGGCACACAGTTGAATTCCTTGCAGATGAATTTGATCCTTTCAAAGTCTTGCTTTTGAGCTTTGTTGAGCACGGTTAGAGTAGCTTTAAGTCATGGTTTCTCAACACTGGCTCTGTTGACACTTTACATCTGATAATTGCTTGTTGTTGGGAGCAGTCCTGTGTATTATAGATTTAGCAGAAACCACCCCCCCATTTCTAACCAGTAAAAGCCTGTAGCACCTCCAAATCCAACCCCCCCCAAAAGTTTATGTCAACAAAAAATGTCACCAGGGAGATAGGGAGATGGGGGTTGGGGCACATCACCCGAGAACCCCTGCTCTAAGGCTGCTTTATCCTTTCTGCTAAAGTCTGACCTTTCTGGGCCTTCTGCTAAGTGCCTGGGTACTGTCTAAGCAGCACTGGAATATTTCCCAGTCTTCCATGAGCTCTAGAAATTGTTCAGGTTACAGTTACGTGACCTTCTACAGTCTTACCCTGTGTGAAAGTATATTCAGCCAGACTTAAGGGAGCACTGTGCAGATTTCTGAAGCCCCTTTTCTGTGTAACTGACTTCCTCGTTCTTTCTCCTGCAAATCCCAGCCCCCTCACCTTCCCTCAACTCCAGTTGCTTTGTCCTGAACTCAGCTGTGCTTTGTGGGACTTCTCACTACTCCCTCGGTCTGGATTGTACCTGCTGGCTGAAGGCCAGAGCAGAGTAAGGGTCACTGTTGTGTTTCCCTTCTTGGGGAGCAAACTGCATGGCCTTTTGTTCAAAATCTGAAAAATACTATTTCATATGTTTTGTCCAGTTGTCTAGTTGATTACAGTTGATCCCAGCTATTTTGACCACAATGAAGATCAGTTCTTTTTGAAAGTTTGATCTGTCTTGACAGCACCGAGACCAACCCCCAGAGCAGCCGTTGCCATGTCGCTCTCCCTGTGACTATGCCTCCTCTCGGCTGCATGTTGCTCACACTCTCCTTGCATTAGGTAGGCCCCTTATGTGCTTAATACTTTCCTTTTGTAGCACTCATCACTGCAATAATTAAGCAATTATGTAATTCTGTATTTAATGTCTATATCCCCACACAGCTGAGGCATCCTGAGGTCATGGACTATGTGGTGGTATTAAATTTTCCATTCCATTGCACAGGGCCTGACGCAGAAAAGAACACAGCGATATTTACTCAGTGGGTAGATTGTCAGCTTTGCTTGATTCTTAACCCTTTGTAAGTGGAACTTTGTTTCCATTCCTCTGATTTGTTGAGCCATTTCCTCATTGTCAAGGCTAATGGTCTTCCCTCTGCTTTTTGTCTCAAGCACTGCAGTTTTGATACTTGTGCCATTCAGTTCTTCATTCATCATGACTGGGAGATGTCACTTCCCAGGCCTCAGTGACATCTCCCAGTCATGATTCTCCTTTGCAGCTTTCTTTTCTGAAATGTGTTTTCCAAGGTGCTGTTCTCAGCCCATTTTGAAAATGCCATCGCAGTTTGTTACCTATTCCCAGAGGTGGACTATATGAGGCCTGTGGCGCCACTGACTCAGGGAACAGTATTTGTAAAGACTTAGGATGTACTTCGGGTAACTGCCCCTCTTCAGGCTCCTACTGTACTCTGCACCTTTCACATTAGCACTCATAGGCTCCCCTGAAGTGTTTGTTGAAATTCACTGGATCATAAAGTTTAATTTATTTGAAGCAAAATTGGACAATAAATCATTCTGAATTACATAATTGGCTTAAAAAGTATTCAGGGGGTAGAATTGGCAGGGCTTGGTGATTGATTGGATGCAGAGTGACAGAGAAGGAGGCATCAAGAATTCAGCTAATGTTTGCTGACTGTTACTGGGTGCTGGCCATTGCATTAGGCACTGAGGTACATGGTGAACAGACCGGTTAGGGTCCCTGCTCTCCTGGAGCTAGGAAATAATGTCCAAGTTTTTGGACTGAGTGACTGGTGATGCCATTCACTTAGGCAGAAACATCAGAGGGAGAAGCAGATAGGGTGTGTTTGGTTCAGTTTGGGACAATGTTTTGGTGTTTTTTTTTTTTTTAAGATTTTATTTATATACATAAGAAATGAGGTATAGGCCAGCGGTGTTGGGGGTGAAAGGGTTCACCAGAGACAGAGCATAACAGACGGATCTGCTGAAATACACTGCTGAGAGGAGCAGCTGGGGAGATAGGCGAGGTCTGCTACATCATGTGGGTCACCTCCCTGGCCGGAGATCGAACTCATGCTGCAGTGGCTGGCGATAGCTTGATAGCACTGTCTTTAACTGCTGTGCCACCAGGGTGGCCCTCAGTTTGGGACTCAACTGAGATTTGACATGACATCAGAGAAGATGGGCAGTGCCACTTGGGAGGGAAGTCTCTGTGCCAGGAGACAGAAGTTTCTTCTCAGACTTCTTTTTCTTTATACCGCCATTGAGCACAACCGTACCTCATAGGAGTTGTGTACAGCCCTACCTTTCCTGTCCTAACCACCACATGAGGTAGAGCTCATTTCCTACCCCCATTTTGCAGTGGGTGGGTTAGAAAGCAGGATCCAGAACTAGGTCTCTGCCTCTAGGTTCAAGCTCCCTCTACTTCAGCCTCCTGTGAACCACTTCATTACTTCTCTTGCAAGAGACTCATGTTCTGTGTAGGAAAGATGAGTGGGCTTTGTCAAATGGTAATTCACAAGCCATTAGGAGTGTTTTCGTTTGTTCTCGGTGATGAATAGCCCCTTCCAAAATAATTTTGTCTTAGCTCATTAAAGGTTATAATTGTAGGGGTAACCATTATATTACAGAGGTTTAGAAAACAGAGTTAACAAAAGATCCTCCATAATCCTACTATCCTGAAACAATTGTTATTTAGGGAATTCTTGGGTAACAAGAAACTAGCTTAATTAAGGAAGATTTAATATAAAGAATAGGGATTCTGAATCATGGATCTCAGTGGTATTATTGGGTGTCAGGGGAATCAGCTGAACTCATGGTAACTAGAAGGTCGTCAGTCTCTCTCTCTTGCTTTTGTTTTTTCTCTCTGCAACCTAGAAATACCTGAAGTATCAGCTTTCAGTTTTTGCTTTTCAAATATTTTTTGCTAATTTAATAGTCAAGTTTGTAGATTTGTTTCTCTCCAGTTGCTAATAAGAATGAAAAACTTCCCATGTGTTTGATATCTTTTCTATTTTGAACTATTTGTATTTTTGTCTGGTTTCTTTTTTTGGGTACTTACAGTTTTCTTAAGACTTTTACACATCCCTTGTAGTACTGCACAGACAGAAAAACTGAAAGGGAAGTATAGCAGGTCTCAGTCCCTCAATAAACCAAGTTTTACCAATTGTTAGCGTCTGTAGCCACCAGTTGTTTGATATACATATGTAAACGGATCTTTGGCTCAACCATTGCAGTCATTGCAGGCATCATGACCCTTCTTAATATTGTAGCATATGTGTGTGCTTCCAATAGCCTATTATCTCTCTCCTCCCCCCATAATACTTGCTGTAAATATCTTTTCTAATCTGTGCTTGCTTCTTCATGTTTCCTTGTGTTTCTCAGATGGTGACATGCCATGCCGTGCCAATATCCTCATCACGGAGCTGTTTGACACGGAGCTAATTGGGGAGGGGGCGCTGCCCTCCTATGAGCACGCTCACAGGCATCTCGTGCAGGTAGGGGCCCGGCTGGCTACACAGCTCTAGCTAGTACACCTTGCTGAATGCTACCCAAGCGCCCAGTACTTCTCCACATACCCTGTGACACCCCGTTCCTGTAAGACTGGTTTCCTCAAGTTAGGATATTTGCCAAACCTTGGTAGAGTTGAAAGGCAAGAAACTGTCTTCAAATTCAATTGGCTGCAACAAATATTCTTCCTGGGTAAAATGTTCTGGCATCCAGGAAGAGGTATAAGACAACCTTCTTCCCTCTAACCCATAATGGACAGTGATGATGACTCCTGCATGGACTGAATGAAGAGGCTGACAGAAGCAACACTGCTATTTGGTCTGGGACTGACAGAAGAGGTCACAGGTCAGAAAGGAGATGCGAACACGTGTGGAAAGGGTAGAATTTGCAAACACCCTACACTCCGAGGAGAGGGAGAGGTAGAGGTGTCCCAGATAGAGGACTTGTTGGTACGTCAGTGAGAAAACCAGCCTGGGGGCCCTGTGAGCTAAAGGCAGAGGCTGGGGTAGAAGGTCAAAGGCCTTACATGCCAGATCATTCTAGCTATAGGAGATTAGATAGTGACCTTTTTTTTTTTTTTTTTTTTTTTTGTGGGACCCTCGCCAGCGGCTGGGGAACAAACTGGCACTGCAGAGGCTGCGGGCAGCCCTGCAGCCTAGCGCTCAACCGCTGCGCCAGCAGGGGAGGTCCTGGATAGTGACAATCTGGCAAACTTTTTGAAAATGGAGAGACATACTGAAGGCTTGTCTTTCTTTTTTTTGTCTTGGAAGCATTGGCCTTGCTTTTTTTATGGGCATAAGCTGGAGGTAGAGACCCAGAGGCTGAGGCGAACTGGGAAGGTGTGAATGCTACTTCTGCTGGCACCAGCCTGGTGGACACCATCCATCTGAGTCTGCAGTTGGCCCAGCCCAGGACCTTCTCCGGGGGCTTTCATGTCCCCAGAATGAGGAGGGGAGTTCCTTCTAGGGTATTCAGAGCCAGAGTCCACCCCACCTTACTTACATGGGCAGTGTGCAGTGGTGATAGCCCTGCAGGTCCCCCACTGGGAGGTGTCTCATTGTCTCTGGGATGTAAAATCCTTTTCTAATCAATCAGTAATAAGAATTAATGTTTCACTGTGTTGAAACCACCAACTAGACAAATCCCTGGAATAGAGAATGTTTGGAATCATGTTAAACATATATAAATACATAAATTATTTTATTAAAAAAATAAGCAGATAGATTAAAACTCTCATACAAATAAAGAAGAAACATATTTAAAAATTTTAAAAAATAGAATCATGTTCATTGTGTCCCAATTTGTCTTTCTCTAATTCTTCTTATGAAAGTGCGCAGGCAGCCATTTCCTCTTCTTGCTGGCCTGTAGCAGTCTGGGTCCATTGTCCACTCTAATCACTATCGCCACCTGCCCACTCTGTACCTGAGCTTACAGGGATTGCAGCTGTACACAAAGACTACCAGTGCCCTGTCCCTCTTCCTGCTGTGCTGGAGGTCATGGAACCAGGATGGTGGTGTGTCCGACAAATAGTCCGTATGGTATTGAAGTAACCCAGGCAGTGATCTCAGAAGACACAGTTCTTGAGCATTTTTATTGTGCCAGGCCCTTTTTGGGGGCACTAAGATTTTGAAGGTGAGTTCTTGGGGAGACAAGGTAGGTAGGCAGGTCCTTGTAGTACAGTTTGAGGTACTCTGTGAGGATGGTAAGTGGGGTAAGAGCCTACCTGCTCTGGTAGGGGGCAGAGAGGAGTCATGGGAGATGAAGCTTGAGCTGAGTCAGTCTTGAAGAGTCATCAGGTATTGCCCTGGCACTGGGGGGTATTTGCAGCACAGGGGACCACACGCACAGAGACATGAAGTATTGCTGGTGTGGGGATGCCCAGACCTTGAGGGCTGATCAGATTTTGCATAATGTTGGAGGAGCAGGAGGTGGTGTTAATGTTAAGCCTAGATTACTGGGCAGGTCTAGACCGAGAAAGACTGCGTGTTCCAGAAGGCAAGTGGGGTCACAGAAGTGTTTTAACCAGAGGATTGATGTCTTGTTTATGCAGGAAGGCATGTGCAGAGCATTTGGAACAAGAATAGAGGCGGGAAGACTGTTTAAAGGATATATAGAGTCATCTAGGCGCTGGCAGAGGTGAGCTGTCACCAAGGCCATAGGATAGGTCTGGACCCAGGGAGGAGGAGGTAATCAAGGAGTCGATGCTCACTTAGATTGAGAATGATGCCAGGGTTTGCAGCGTGGGCAGCTGGACTGGATGTGGATCCCTGGAATGGGAGTGGAGGAGGAGGACCAAACCTGAGGAGGCAAGGGAAGGGCTGAAGGTGATTTACTGGTTTAGAGGTGACCTGTCTGAGTGCGAGGGAAGTGGAGAGGACTAAGAGGCCTTTAGATGATGATATTTGCTAAGTGAAGATGGAGAGGTTGAGGACACTCAGGAGATTATGTGGAGGGAGGAAATAGGCTATCCAGACCAGATCTCTGAGGAATTCCCACTTTGAGGATGGACAGAGGAAGCATTACCTGTGAGGGAAACAGCAGGGAGAGCAGCGCTTCTCAGCCAGGGCCATGTCTGGGGACATTATTTATGTTACAACTGAGAAGGAATATGCTACTGTCATCTGTGGATGGAGGCCTGGGATGTTGCTAAACATGCTATGATGCACAGAACCTCCCCGCCTCCCATGACAAAGGCTTATCTGGCCAAAGAGGTCACTTGTACTGCCGTAGAGAGACCCTCTGCTTGTCATGCAGTACTAGCTGTCACCTGCCTCACAGCTGGGCCCCTAGTACCTGGAGTATAGAGGGTGTTAGATGAGTGAATGAGATAGGAGTAAAACTGGACAAGGGACTGCAGCCAAAGCCAAGTGGGAAGATGCTTATTGGCAGTGCCAGGTGAAGCCAGAAGGTCAGGTCAGTTGGGCTGTGTGATAAGAAGGTTCTGGTGTCTGGGCAAGACACCAGATTGCTATATTGAAAGGATCTCTGAGCCTGTGCCAGGATGATCACATTAGCAGTAAGACTTGGACTTTTTCTTCAAAGTTAGTGTGGGAGTTAATCAGCATGATGACAATTAAGGCTTATTTTTGAAGTATTTAGTGTCAGGTAGCTGGGAACTTACCTGACATAAATCATTTTAGGCAGAAGCATGCATTCTTTTTGAAATCCGGTTTCTTTTTTGCTTTTCCAAGGGTATCAGGCTGAACAGTTTGCTATCCAAAAGCTGATAAAATGTTAGCTGTTACCGAGCCAGCCTGACACTAAAGAATGCACTTCTTCTTTTCTCTTGCCCCTTTTTATTGAGGTAACATGAGGTTTCTGGTGTACATTTTCTTACCTCAGCACCTGTATTTCTATGCCATGCTCAAGCCCAGACATCCAGTGGGCACCCCACTCAGCTGTCCAGTCTCCACCACCACCAGCCAGTCAGCTCTCTCTGCCTTCTCCCTTCCCCTTCCTTCCCTTCTGGTAACCTCCTTGTTGTCAAGTCTGTGGATTTGGTTTGGTTTTGTTCGCTTAATTGCTTTTATTTTATATTCCCCAAATGAGTGGAATCACATAGTGTGTGTTTTTCTCTTTCTGATTTATTTCAACTTAGTGTAACCCCTCAAGGTCCATACATGTTGTCACAAATGGCAAGATTTTTTTTTGTGTGTGTGGCTGAGTAGTACTCTGTTGAGGAATATACCTCTTTCGGTCAGTGGGTATTATGGTGGGCCAACATACCCTGTTTTTTTTTTTTTTTTTTTACTATAACCTAGGAAAATTGTGAGGCGGTGCCTCACAGAGCAACCATCTATGCGCAGCTAGTGGAGTCAAGAAAGATGTGGTCGTGGAACAAGCTGTTTCCCATCCACGTTCAGACCAGCTGTGGAGAGCAGGTCATCGTCCCCCCGCTGGAGCTGGAGAGGTGCCCCGGCGCACCCTCTGTCTATGACATTCAGCTGAACCAGGTGTCGCCCACTGACTTCACTGCCCTCAGTGACGTGCTGCCTATGTTCAGGTACCGAGGAGCTATGCCAGGTGACGGCGCTTTGAGAAATTTGGTGGAATTCGGGTCTTTGGACGTTCTTTTTTGAGTGGGAAGGAGACCTAGGCCATGTCACCTGCCTCTGAAGGAAGGAGTCCATTGCAGCCAAATCTCATAAACTTTCACCATAAAAGCTTAAAAATGGAATATGTGAGCTTAAAAAATATTTAAGTTCCTAAATGTTCTTCCACAGCGTGGACTTCAGCAAGCAAGTCAGTAGCTCGGCAGCCTGCCACAGCAGGAAGTTTGAACCTCTGGCATCTGGCCGAGCGCAGGTGGTTCTCTCCTGGTGGGACATTGAGATGGACCCTGAGGGGAAGATCAAGTGCACGATGGCCCCCTTCTGGGCGCACTCAGACCCAGGGCAGCTCCAGGTAAGAGGCTGGAGCTGAGCACATTTTCATGCACATCCGGAAACTGGTCCATGTTCAGTTGTGGGAAAGCAGCGTGTTGAACGTTAGAGTCACAAGAGTTTGGAGACGGAAGGGGCTATGACAGAAGGGGCAGTATCGATGAAGAAGTTAAAGGGGACCAGACAAAAGCAGGGCTAGCTGTGATCAGATCGATTTCTCAGTGTGAGTTTATGGTTTGTACCAGGGGACTCAGCCTTAGGGGAGCTTTGGTGTGCTGGCTCCTTTATTCCCGCACAGCCGCTCTGAGGTCACCCCCCCCCCCAGCCCTGCGGAGCCTCGGGGACCTCAGATCAGCTTGGAGTAGACTACTATGACCTGTCTACAGCCTCATCTTCTGTGATCTCAAAATCTACCTCTTCAGCTCAATAGAAAATGGACAGAGGACATGAACTACAGAGAAGGAGATAGAACAACTCCTTAACATGGGAAAAGTTGTTCAGCCTTACTCATAAGAGAAATGCAAATTGAAACCACAAGAAGATACCAGTTTTCTCCTGTCAGTGAATATAGTTGGGAAAGTGTGGTAGCACAGTTGGGGCTGTGGCAATGAGCAGGAAAGTGAGCTGTCACGAGTGCAGCCTGCCACGCTGGGGAGTGATGCTCCTTACAGACATTCGGCTATGCAGTGATGTGTGTGCTGGGGTACTCGGGGCAGCCCAGATTTAATAAGAAAGAGTGGCACAACCCAGGGGCCCCAGCAGGGCCGTGGCTAACTGCCCACTGCCCTGTGTCCTAGCAGAGCATGAGCAACTCTCCATTCTTGATGGGGGAGCAGCCTGCAGAAGGTGAAGTGAAACAGAAATAGAGGTGCAGAACAGTACGCGGTGTGCCAACATTGGCATTATTACAAATAAGAATAGATGTGTTTATGACTATGTGTGTGGTGTGTGTGAGGATATCTTTGGAAGAACTCAGAAATTGAGGTTAGAGGTGGAAAGGAAGCTTATTTTTTACACTGTGACCCTTTTATATCTTTTGGATTTTCTTTCATGTGCATGTTTATCCACCTCTCAGCACACACACACAGAGGAAAAGGTGGGAAGACTACTTCAGGGCTGAGCAGTCAAGTCTGCCCTCTCCCTGGTGTCTTGGGCACCAGCGTCTGTGTGTTCTATCCTCTTACTGCTCACTGACTTTGTTTTGGTTGCTCACCTGCTGGATCTAGATACATGGGGGTGACTTCAGGAAGCCCTAGTAGCTCCCTGACTGGCTGCTTAGACTAAAGGGTCAGGCCTGCTGTGGGATTGCTGTCAGGGTCTGCTCCATGCTACCAGCCAGTCACTTGGCGGAGTCACACTGCCTGTGCACGCGAGCAGTGTGCCTGAGCTCGCCGCGTGCCCCTGTCCTCAGCAAGCTGAGAGAGAGAGAGAGAGTGTGTGTGTGTGTGTGTTGGGGAGGAGATCGGGCAGAAATCTCCCACAGCATTGAAACTGGTCCTGGGCTGCTTTGTTCTTCCCCAGGAGTGTGATGGTTGTAAAATTAGCATAAGAATATAATAAAAATGGTAATACTTTTCATTTGCATACCTTCAGAGTGCTCCCATGTGTATTTCTCCTTGAATCCTCATATAAGACACGCTGGGTAACCAGCTATGCAGCGCTGCGGCTCTGCTCAGCACTTGGAGCGGGGCTTGTGGCGGGCAGTGGTGGTGGGTGCTGGTGGCCAGGTCTCCTACCTGGGTCTTGTGTCCTTCCTTCCTCCCACAGTGGTGACTGTTAGGAATTTGAAGAGCTGCTAATGAATCTCCCTCATGACTTCACTAAACTGCTCTGGTTGCAAAATCTGTTCAGCGCATCCCACCTCGGACAGTGGGTCTTGTCATGTTAGCTTAAAATTGCGTGGGCAAACATGATAGGGAAGCCTGTTGGGAGCATGCCAGGTCAGGGAGGGCTTCTCACTCTCAGGACACTGCATAGGAGGGGATGAGAAGCATGTTTTAGAGGACTTATTTTTTCCTCCTTGTTACTGTTTATTTTTTCTAGAACATATTTGGATATGTTTTCTTTTTCTAGCTTTTGTGTTAAATAGACATCTTAGATACATGGGACTGTCATCCCCCTTCCTTTTAGTTAAATTCAAGACAGGGTGGGATGTGTTCCTCAGAAGTGGGACCAGGGCCTCCCCGGTGGCGCAGCGGTTGAGCGCTGGGTTGCGAAGCTGCCCGCGGCCTCGGCGGCGCCGGTTCGATCCCCGGCTGCTCCCCGGCCACCGGAGGAGGATCCCACATGGTGCGCAGATCTCTCCTGCCACCCACTGCTCCCCTCAGCAGTGTACTTCGATCCTTCTGCCTGCTCTGCTCCCCGCTCTGGCTCTGGTGAATTCTCTCACCCTCCCGCGCTTCTGACTGTACCCAGTGCATGTATAAACAAAACAAACAAACAAATATAATAAATTAATAAATAAAAAAACATGCCTCTAAAAAAAAAAAGAAGTGGGACCAGTGTCTTCTTCCTTTGCCTCCAAGCTCAGCAGTGCTCTTGGAGTCCCCCAAAGCCAGGTTCACCTTCCTGTCTAAGGAGGGCGGAGATTGAGCAGGCAGTTAGCTCACCAGAGTTGGGTCCAACATTTACTTTTTTAGAACAGTTCTTTCTTTTTTAAGAGAGGTTTAACATTATACGAGTAATAGCCCTGATATAAAATAAAACAAAATGAATCAAAAGTCTCGTGGTTCTTCCACCCAAAGTAACCTTCCTTTGGGCTCGGTACACATGCATGGGTTTTTGTTAGTGCTGCTTTTTTCTGCTTATTTGTTGTTGTTTTTTTTTTAATGCTGCACCATAGTCCTCATAGTCATCATTTTAAATGTCTTGAGTATATTCTGTATAAGGATTTATGAACCCATTTCTGAAAGTCTGGACATTTGGGTGTATTCCAGTTTTTGCTAGTGTAAATAGTTCTATGATATGAATATAATGTGAATATAACCTTTTTCCTTTTTTTCCCCCCAGGATACAATCTTGTATGTGGATTTACATTATCCAAAAGGGTCAGTGTAGCTTATTTAAGGTTGATTTGGATTATTGTAAACTGCATCACAATTTATTTTTATTCATTTAATTTAAAGATTTATTTATTTTTGCATAGAAGAACTGGGGTGTAGGCCAGAGGTGCGGTGAGTGAGAGGATTCACCAGAGACAGAGTGGGGAACAGAACAGGCAGACTGACTGAAATACACTGCTGAGGGGAGCAGCGGGGAGACAGGAGAGGTCTGCTGCACCATGTGGGTAGCTCCCTGGCCGGCCATGACAGCCCTGAGACTTAACCCCCAGGCACCAGGGAGGCCCAACTACTTCACAGTTTAGAGTATTTAGAGTATTCCAGTTCTTTCAAAATGATTGCATTTCAGAAGGAATAAACAAAAGAAAACCTTTCTAATATTTTCCCAACTTTGTATTTTGAAAACTTTTTTTTTTTTAAAGATTTATTTATTTATACAAGCACTGGGTACAGTCAGAAGCATGGGCGGGTGAGAGAATTCACCAGAGCCAGAGCAGGGAGCAGAGCAGGCAGAAGGACCGAAGTACACTGCTGAGGGGAGCAGCGGGCGGCAGGAGAGGTCTGCGCCATGTGGGACCCTCCTCCGGTGGCTGGGGAGCGGCCGGGGATCGAACTGGCGCTGCAGAGGCTGCGGGCAGCTTCGCAACCCAGCACTCAACCGCTGCGCCACCGGGGAGGCCCTGTATTTTGAAAACTTTTAATCCACAAACTGTGAAAATTAAAACTGGGATGTTCTTTATTTAAAATTGCCAATCATTAAAAAAAAATTTCCGGTCATTGGCATTGACCACATTTGCTTCCCCTCTTCCTCCTCTCTGTCCCCTTCCTTCTGTCTCGGTAGGAGACCTCACTTGTCCCCTCCTCTGAGTCCCTTTTGGAGACGCCTGCCCTTGGGCCACGCCGTGTCTTCCTAAAGCCAGTGTTCCAGCAAGCACTGGGGCCACTAGCCCCAGACTCGAATGTTTTTCCTTATTTCTTCGTCACAGTGGTCTTTGTAACCTACTCCATGGTCTCCCTGCAAACCGATTTTTGGCTTTGCTCTTGTTTAGTTTGGTGATGGTTGGTTCTCTATTTCAGTGGCGGGATCACTGGATGCAGTGTGTGTACTTCCTGCCAGAAGAGGAGTCAGTCGTCCAGGGCTCGGCCCTCTGCCTGCTGGCCCACCACGACGACTATTGCATCTGGTACAGCCTTCAGAGCACCAGGTGTGCCCCGAGCCTTTGACCTGTGACAATGAGCTGCTTATGGAGAACCCCCTTTTATGGACTCTGTAGGGGCACAGGTGGTCACATTTGTATCTGAACAGAATGAAATAAGAACAAAGGTTTGTGACTGGATGTCACTACCCGTGTATTCGGGAGAGGCTGCCCTGTTCTGGAGCTTCTGTTTGGAACAGGTGTATAGGGAGGTCTAGCAGGGGAGGGCTCGCACCCTAATGCGAATTCCAGAGCCGGTGCTTAGACTGTTACCCTGTGGAGGACAGGGAGTGCTTCTGGGACTCCTCGCAGTGTCACTGGGACAGGTGCTGGTGCCATACCCTTGTGCTCACTGGTAGCTAGCAGGTCTCGCTTATTGCCCTGTCTCCATTTTCTGGCCCAGCCCCCAAAAGAATGGGAAAGTCCCCTCAGTGCGCCCAGTGTGCGACTGCCAGGCTCACCTGCTCTGGAACCGGCCTCGGTTTGGAGAAATCAACGATCAGGACAGAACTGATCAATACGTCCAGGCCCTGAGAACCGTAAGTGTCCAGCCCCTTGGATAGTCGTGGACAAGAAGCAGTTTGTCCCATGTGCCCTAGCTCATTGCTCTCTTGGGATTTGCTAGTGTCCTGTGCTCCCTTGTCTGTGAGAGCCTGCAGTTGGCTCCTGGGTGGGCACTCAGGCAGAGAGCTGGGAGATTGCTTCTGGGCTTGGCCTCTGGGAGAGTCTTTGGCTGGGAAGCACCCCCTAGTCTCTGCCTTTGTCCTGCTAGATACTTTGCCGCTGTGGTCATCAGCAGTTCCTGTGAGTGATTCTAGTGCATTCAGCCACCTGTTCTTCCTTTTATCTGCTTCTGCCTTTCTAAAATTTTCTGAAATGTAAATCTGATTAAGTAACTCTCCTGCTAGAAATCTGCTCCCTGCTGCCTATAGTTGGGGTCTCTTGGCCTGGGGTCTTAGAGGGAGGGGGATCCCTTGGAGTCTTGTGCAGAAGTACATGTGCTACGTGCACGTGCTTGCCTTTGCGTGGAGGGAGGGACAGAGTGGAGGGAGATCCTGAGTTTCCCTTAGAGGGATCTATGAACCTTGCCTCTGGTAAGTCACTTGACAGGCCCACAGGTCTCCCTGCTGTGACAAGCCAGGGAAGAATCCTGGCCTTGTGAACTGGGAGGTGACCTCTGGCAAGTGGGGCAGGCCTTCAGCTGGGGCCTTCTAGGATGGCATGAGGAGGGTCTTTCCTGACAGTGGGCACTGAGGGGGGTGGTGAGTGAGATAGCTGTGTTGGAGTGTGGGCTTGGGAGGCAAGCATGACTAGTGTAGGGGCACTAGAGATGTAGTGAACAAGGGGTGGTAGGGGGTGGGTGAGGAGATCAGATTGATTGATCACAGAACCCAAGTTAGTGGGGTCAGGAGAAAAAGGACATTTTTCTCAGTTTGCCAACAAGGATTTCTTGACATACTGTTGGTAAACCTAAGCTAAGGTTGCTCTTTTCCTGCAGGTGCTGAAGCCAGACGGTGCCTGCCTGTGTGTCAGTGATGGCAGTCTGCTCGCCATGCTGGCCCATCACCTTGGGGCTGAACAGGTACTGGACATGATCGTCTGCCTGTTTCCTGGGAGCAGCTCTGGGGTCGGGGTGGTATCTTCTGGGTCACAGTTCTGGGAGTAAAGCTCCACAGCTGCTGTGCCTTTATGCTGTGCTCTTGGTCCGGCATAAAGCTTGCTGTGCGCTTTGGGGCTTATTGACTCCTTGTACAGCTGGACTCAGATAGTAGCTGTTGCCATTGGCTGCAGCTCTGCCTGTGACCCTGATGAGGGCCAGTGCAGAATGTGGCTGTTGTCCCAGTGGGTAATGAGCACAGGCCCAGGGGGAAATGAGATGACCTTTCTGCCATGAGATGATCTTTCCCCATTTTAATCTTTAATTTCTTTCTCTGTTAAGTGACTCTCCAGCTAATAGTATGTTATTCTCCTTAGGTGTTTATGGTAGAGAGTTCTGCAGCTTCTCATAGACTGATGAAAAAGGTAAGTGATAATTGTCAGTGGAATAATGAGGGGACCTATGGGCCTGCCTTCCTGAGCCTGGGATACTTTGAAGCAGCGTTGACAGCAGGGCAGCTGCTGCCAGTGGAAGCTCACATTGCTCCCGCACTGAGAACGGGCCCGGAGGTCCAGGGTTGTCGCTGAGTAGAAGCCAGTGTGTTCCCTCTGCCTTTTTTCACTGTGGCAGCAGAAGTTTAGGGTTTTCTCCTCATTTCACATAGAGCTGAAAAGTGAGTCTTTGCAGTGTTAGATTGAACTTATGGTTTGTTTCTGGGACACCAGTGCTCAGGGAGTCCCTGCTCATAGGCCACCCTCCCTGAAGGATAACCCACTCCACCAGAGCTACAAGCCTGTTACCAAGTCCTGCTCATGTGCTTGCAAGAGAAAATTTTGTTGCCAGTACATCACTTTGCTAGTGAGCTCTTCTAGATCACTATAGGATGTTCCTAGGCGGGAGAGTATCCACCAGACAGATAAAGGTGGTGGTGTAGAGCTATTTGGCCAGAAAACTGCAAGTGGATAAAGCAACTCTGAGATTTTGCTTGTTTGTTTTCTCTTTTAAGATCTTCAAGGCTAACCACTTGGAAGATAAAATTAATATAATAGAGAAGCGTCCTGAATTGCTAACATCCGCAGACTTGGAGGGTAAAAAAGTACGTATCAAGAGGCTCTGCATTGGCGCCAGACAGCTCAGCCCTGAAACCACCCGGGGTGGCCCCTTATGTAATTCACCAGCCACGGCCTTGCTGCTATGGAGGGTGCCGTGAGGCGCTGGCAGAGCTACCCGGGGAACAGCCGAATGCCTCATAACTCTGGCTGATCTCTGCTCCTTCACGTTCAGGCAGATACCTCTGTTGGGGTTCACAGCAGCAGGTCGTGTCCTCTCCCCTCCCCCACACCTTGCTCCCTCTGCAGGCGCTCTTCAGTCCCTAGCCTGTGCCTCAGAACTGTCCCTCTGGTGCTCCTTAGCAGCCACTTTGTAACTGAACATCATCTCCCAAGATCATCCCAGGGCTCTAACCACTCAGGGACCTCCTGCTCCTCAGCACACTTCTTGCAGTGTTTAAGAGACTGTTTTTCCCAGTCTTCCTCTTGTCTTTCTGGCTGCTGCTCCTCAGCACTTTGTGAGGCCTTTCTTTCCTTCCCCGGGCTAGGCATGTCACTCGGTGTGCTCTCTGGTCTTCCTCTGTGTCTCCTCTGTGGGTGATAATGTCCCATCCCGGGTAGCAATCTGTGACCATCAAGGCTGGGTCTGCAAATCTCTGCCCAGCTTCTATCTGGATGTCTTTCCTTGTGTGTCCAATAGGCCCTTCAAGCTGGAATCTATCATTTTCTTGCCAGTCTTTTTTTTTTTAAACAACTTTATTGTGATAGAATTGAAATACCATGACATTAGCCTGTTTCAAGTGTTCAATTTAATGATTTTTAGTAAGTCTATGGAGTTGGACAACTATCACACAATCTAGTTTTAGAGCGTTTCCATGACCAGCCTGCAGCCCCAGACAACCACTATTGTGGTTTCTCTCTCTCCATCAGTTTTTCTTTTCTGGACTCTTCTTAGTATTGAAATAACACAGTGTTTGGTCTTGTGTGTCGGCCTTCTTCACTGTGTGTGTCTTTCTTTGAGGGTGTTTGAGGGTCATCCGTGTTGTAGAATGTGCCAGTGTTTTGTTCCTTTTAGTGCTAAATCGTATTCCTTTGCCACAATTTTTGTCCTGTCACCTGGGTATGGACATTTGGATTGTTTCCAAGTTTTGACTATTTTTGAAAAATGCTATGTGAACGTTGGTGTCTGAACCTTTGTGAGGCAGTGGGTTTTTGGTTATCTCAGGTAGATGGCTGGGTTTAGAATTGCTGGGCTGTATGATAGTTTTGTTTAACTTAAGAAACTGCTCAACTCTTGTCTAAAGTGACACTGCCATTTATTTATTTATATTTTTAAAGATTTATTTATTTATTTATACAAGAACGGGGGTACAGGCCAGATGTGTGGGAGGGTGAGAAGATTCGCCAGAGCAGGGAACAGAACAGGCAGACTAAAGAATAAATACACTGCTGAGGGGAGCAGTGGGTGAGACAGGAGGGGTCTGCTCGTCATATGGGACCCTCGCCGGCTGGCTGGGATCAAACCTGCGCTGCAGAGGCTGCGGGCAGCTTCACAGCACTGCGCTTGATCAGCCAGGGGAGGCCCACCAGGGGAGGCCCAACTCTGACATTTGGATCCCCTTCAGTAATGCATGCAGACAGCCCTTGCAGTTAGTTATGACACATTTTAAAAATCCTTGTGTCATTGATGGACATTGGGTTGTTTCTGCTTTTTGACTACTATGATCCACTTTTGAACATTCATGTATAAATTGCTCATTTTCCCGCTCACTTTTGAGGATTGAAAAGATGCTTACATTCTGTAAGCCATTAATGGGATGCATCTGACTAGATTCCAGGCATGTTGGATAGAAGTGGCGAGAGCAGCATCCTTGCTTTGTGCTCTCCCCAGGGTGGGGAGGTGTGCTCAGAGCCCTGATGGAAGCTTTTAGTGGCCCCCTTGCCTTTTTGTGGCTCCCCTTGCCTCTTGAGTGCACCCCTCTAATGTCATCAGCTGCCTTTGGGTGGCATGGCTCCTCTCCAGCCACTGCCTCGCTCTCACTGTCCTCCCCTGTTTGCTGGTCTGAGGAGCTCCTGAAAATGCCTTGCTCTCACTTGCACCCTTACTCTTTCCTCTGCTCTTCTGTCTGGACCCCCCCACTCTTTTACTTTTGTACGCTTACTCAGCAGATGTTTCCTGCTCTGGGCCAGGCACTTTGCTGAGTTCTGGGGAGACTGTGTTGTCACATCTCCACTTCCATGGCGCTCAAGAGGCCAGTGAAGGGGACAGACAAACATCAATGAGACATGTTGTGGTAGTTAAGTGGGGTTTAGAGGATGCCATCCTGGAAGCTCTTCCTGTGTTCTTATCTCTGGGCTCCTTCACATGCCCCTTCCTTGCTTCTGTCAAAGCTTGCCTGACTGTACAACCCTAGGCCCCGGCCTTGTCTGCTCCCCATTCCACCCTGCACTCCTCAGGGCAGGACTCGTGTCTGTGTCTCATATTTGTTGACTGACTGAGTGAATGGCCTGTTACTTCCACATTTCTGTGAAACTTAAGACTTGTCCTTCACTGTTCAGTCAAATCCTCTGACACCTTGATTTCATCTTGCTCTGATCACCAGGTCTCTCTCCTCCTGGGTGAGCCATTCTTCACCACCAGCCTGCTGCCATGGCACAACCTGTACTTCTGGTACGTGAGGACTGCCGTGGACCAGCACCTGGAGCCTGGTGCCGTGGTGATGCCCCATGCTGCCTCACTGCACGCAGTGGTGGTAGAGTTCAGGGTAGGCTGCCTTTCTGCAAAAGGGCTAGGGGGGCATGTTCTTGCAGATGCCTTAGGTGCAGATGATGCAGCTTGGGACTTCGTGTTGGGCCTTTGCTTTTCTGTGTCAGTACTCTGCAGAGTTGAATAGAAGAGACGTACCTTTTCAAAAAGGCAGACATTTGAAATGAAATGGCTGTGTGTTGTCATTTTACAATTATGGCTTATCAGAATAATTAAAAAATATAAATTAAGTGTTTCAGAAGGCATGCTGCACAGCCTCCTCTGCTCTCATTAGCGCTGAGGCTCCGGTTGGTAAAAGCATTTTGAGACAGGAGAGTCAGCTTCTTTGTGCAAGAAAAAAATTGAAAAGCTTCATTTTAATTTTCTCATCAAAGTAGAACCGTGGTCACAAAGTCATTTTGGAAAATGCATTTTTTTATTAAAAGGATTGTGAAATGCTTTTAACCTGAAATGTAGCGTGAACCTCATTTGATAGTTCTTTTATGAGAATGGCTTTATCTGTTGGTAGCTTAGTTGTGCCATCATTTATTTTCTGGGCATTTCTTTTGTATCAGGTATTTATCTGATCAGATTTCCACATGAATTTGGTTTTCAGAGCCAAAGAGGATATGTGGAGAGTGGGCTCTTATTCTTAGATGCAGGCCACAAGGCTGACTGTCCCCCTTCCCATTGGCCCCATGCTCCAATTTATCGGTGCAGGACCTCAAGAACTGGCTCACAGATTTCTCCTCAAAAAAACAGTGATCAGGATGGTGTGGACGGGGACTGTAGATAACCTAGCCTGGGTGCTCTGGGGACCATCTCCTTGTGGGAGAGATCTTGGGGTCGTGCGAGATGTTGCAGATTCAGAGAAATTCCTGCAACCTTAGGTGGGGGGAGGAAGGGTGTCCCTGTCAGGCATGTGGAACAGCAAGATGTGTCTCAGGTTTGGGTCTGAGGTTGCTCCCAGCCCAACCTCACTGACCTCTCCCTCTTGCTCTTGTCACCACATTTCTCTGTGGTGCTGGTTCATGTGCTGTCCCATAGGGCCTGAGACATGGTCGTGCTCCACCTTGGGTGTGGACATCGGTGTGCTGGCTGTGGCGGGGGAGATAATGACAAGGGCTATGTGCTCCTCATAGGACCTGTGGCGGATCCGGAGCCCCTGTGGAGACTGTGAAGGCTTCGATGTGCACATCATGGATGACATGATTAAGGTAGGCAGGGCCACAGCTCCCACCCTATGCCTGACTGACCCACTTCACATGCCACAGATCTCTGACAGGGAGCACTGGCTTCCATGAAAGGACCAGGGTGGGCAGTGCCAGCAGCATACAGAGAATGCTTCTGTTTGGCACAGTGAGGGCAGGTACTGCCATTTTAATTGGCCCACCATGAACACAAACCTGAGCTCCATTGTGTCTTAGAATCTGGTATCAGGCCACTCTTAACCCTGTGTGGTAACCCCTGAATCAGGAACTGGGGTGTCCTTGGGTTGGGGAAGGTAATGTGTCTTCCAGGTATGTGGGAACAGCAAGATGTGTCTCAGTTTTGGGCCTCGGGCTACTCCCAGCCCGACCTCACTGACCCTTCCCTCCAGCTCTTGTCACCACATTTCTCCGTGACCCCAGTCCATGTGCCGCTGGGACTGTCCTGCCAGTATCAGTGGTTAGTTCTTTGATGGGACAGTCTTCCAGACGGTGCTTTGGTGGTAACCCTTTGAGCCAGCCATTTTCATTTTAGGGACTCCATTTTGGAGCATGGTGGTAGGTATGGGGAGGGATGTAGAAGGAGGGTCCTTTAGGCTTACTGATACAGTAGATATTAGCAATGCCCTAATGCTAAGAGGCAGGGGATTGGGTCAGCACCAGGACAGCAGCTGCCAGAGCCCCGGCAGTCATGCTAGTGTCAGAAAGGAGGGCGGAACAGTGGACAACAAAACATTAGTTATGTGATTAAGAAGCAGTTTGCCCTCCTCCTGCTCATTTTTCTGTCCACATATTTCCACTGAGAACGTGAATTGCTTGTGTAAACATTTTTTTTAAGAAAATAAATCTAATGGATATTTTCAGCCTTCCTGCTCCTCTGTGGCAGACCACTGACCATTCCATGCTTCTAGAAATATCCTTTGTGTCAAGTCGTTGCACATTTCGGTGCTCTCTCTCCACTCCTCAGTCTCGTTCCTGGACTCTCCCACCATTCTCATCCCCTAAAGTGTCATGTGTTCTGGGTCTCCCTCAGGACATTGTCCTGGCCCTGTCCTCCCTCCCTGACTGCCCCCTGCCACTCCTCTCTTGTTGCCCAATGTCTGCATCTCCACTGAGCTCAGACCAAGAAGCTTTTCCACTGGGGTGACTTAGGCACTCTGACTGCAATGCTTCCAAAACCTACCTGCTCTTCCCTCCATCCCACCTGGCCCCTTCCTTGTCCCATCCTAGGCCAGCTGCCATTTTATAGTCACCTAGACTCAGGTCCCAGGCATCCTCACTGCAAGTCCTCACCTTTTCTTGTACTTGGTCATTGGTTCCATAACCACCCGGTGTTCAGTGAGTGGCTGGTGGTCCAGTTTTTTCCCCTTGCTGCTACTGTCCTGTTTTTTGTTTTTGTTTTTGAAAGATTTATTTATTTATTTATTTATTTATTTATTTATTTATTTATTTATTTATTTATTTATTCGTTCATTCATTTATTTATTTGTTTTAAAAGATTTATTTATTTATTTATACAAGAACCGGGGTACAGGCCAGATGTGCGGGAGGGTGAGAAGATTTACCAGAGACAGAGCGGGGAACAGAACAGGCAGACTGACGAAATACACTGCTGAGGGGAGCAGCGGGCAAGACAGGAGAGGTCTGCCTCACCATGTGGTATTCTTGCCGGCCGGCTGGGACCGAACCAGTGCTGCAGAGGCTGTGGACAGCTTCACAGCGCTGCGCTCAACCACCTGCGCCACCAGGGGAGGCCCAGATTTATTTATTTATACAAGCACTGGGGTACAGGCCAGAGGCACGGAAGGGTGAGAGAATTCACCAGAGACAGAGCAGGGAGCAGAACAGGCAGAAGAACTGAAGTACACTGCTGAGGGGAGCAGCAGGCAAGACAGGAGAGGTCTGCCTTGCTATGTGGGAATCTCCCTGGCCAGCCGGGAATCGAACCGGCGCTGCAGAGGCTGCGGACAGCTTCACAGTACTGCATTCAACTTGCCGCACCACTGGGGATTCCCCGCTACTGTCCTGTTTTGGGCAACTTTTATCTCTCCTAAGCAGCCTCTTCTCTCTCCCACTTAGCCCATCTGCCTTTTTCTACTCAGAGCCCAAGTATATCTGTCATTGCTAAGTGTGGCCCCTCTATCTCCAGCAGGAAAACCCCATGACTTCCTGGCCTTCCCCACAGTCTCCCCTGCTGTCACCCTGACAGTGACCCCTGCCTCCACTCCTCTGGCCACCCTGCATTCACCCCTGCCTGCCCCTCAGCTCACCCTAGCCCGTTCTGTGTGCTTCACCCCTGCTTGATTTTGTTTGGTCTCCTTCCTGCTGCCAGTTCCCGTGTGACTTTCATCCCTCTAGGCACTTTCCCACCCAGCCCTGATTTGGCTGGAAGGCAGTGCTCACCAGGTTCTGGGGTTGCTTGTCTCGCCTTGCCTGGGACCTGTGTAGGGTGACCCAGCAGCTGTAGCGCTCACTGGGGTACTGGATGGCGAGTATCCAGGCAGCAGGAGTTTTCCCTGCTGTAGCTACTTGGTCCTCAAAGTAGCCGTGAGATGGGCAGTATTATCCCACTTTACAAAGAAGGAATTGAGACTTAGAGGGATGAGGTGACTTGCTGAAGAGATGGCTTGTGACTGGTGAAGGGGAGAATGAGCCAGCTGGTCTGATCCAGCCTCTAGTCTTTCTATGAGGACTTCCTGCCAGGTGACTTGGCTGTCTCCCTGAGGGACCTGGGCATGGCGGTGAGGGGAGTCATAGGCTTAAACCCTGGAGATGGGGATGTGAGCCCCTTGTCCCTGGGCCACTGGCTCTGGCTCAGACTCTGCAGACTCCACCTCCCCTTCCCTCCTCAGCATGCCCTGGACTTCAGGGAGAGCAAGGAGGCCGAGCCCCATCCTCTGTGGGAGTACCCCTGCCGCAGCCTCTCTGACCCCCAGCAGATCCTCACCTTTGATTTTCGGCAGCCAGTCCCCGTGCAGCCTGTCCGTGCTGAGGGCTCTATTAAACTAAGGAGGTAAGTTTGGCTCTGGTCCTAGGGAGTCTACTTGGAGGGGCCTGCAAGTGGCAGGGCCTGTGTTTGTCTAATAGTTCCTGCCTAGGGACTAAGTACTCTGGAAACTGTAGTGCAGGGCGACTGTTCTGGCCTCAGCCTTGCCCTTCTGGGTCTGAAGTGGCCCTGAGTATATAGCAGGTCCCCACACCTTTGGGTGTGCCAGGTGGGGAGGGAGAACCGGAGTGGGCTTTGGTCAACCCCCCACAACAGAGGCTCCCTTTGAGCTAAGCAGTGCGTTGGCTCATAGCTGCAGAGAAACGTGAATTTGGTTGCCATGGTTACCCATTGGACCATTTTTCTGTACTCTCCTAGGAATTAAAGCAGGTTAGACATTGGTGAGGCTGCTTGTTGTGAGCTTCGTTCAGCCCCTTCCAGCTCCACCCCCCTTCCTAGAGGAAGAAACCACTTCTGATGGCTGGATGCCGGGAGCTCAGAGCCTCAGGGCTCCTTTGACAAGGGGGCGGCAGGGTAGTCACTGTCTGGGCTTTTATCCAGGGTGTCTGGGAGGGCTCTTTCAACCTGTGGTGCCAGGGTGCACTTTCATGACCTCAGGCTGTGCTGGGCCGTACTGCGAGGAGTGAGTGGGAGCGTTACGTGTGGCTCTTCTTGCTCAGCCCGCTTTTTTACCATAAGGCCTTTAGTCAGGTGCAGGGTTACTAGTTCCTTAATGGGGAGGATGGAAGTAGGGAAGACCGGCGGTTTCCTGGAAGCAGAGGAGCCATGGCCAGACCCACCTCTCTCGAGTGTGACTGTTTCAGTTTGTCCACTGTCCCCTCCCCTAAACCCGCAGGCCTGGGAGGAGCCATGGGGCTGTCCTGTGGATGGAATACCACCTGACCCCAGACAGCACTGTCAGCACCGGTCTCCTGGAGCCTGCAGAGGACAAGGTAGTGCTGTGTGAACATCCCTAAGGGGTCCACCTGAGGGCAGGTGCTGCTGGGGGAGGACGAGACACCCATATGCACTCTGGGTATTCCCGGCACTTTCAGCCAGATGAGAAACCCTTAGTCACCCCAGGTCACTTGGCCCTCAGCAGCAACTTCCACTACAAGCTGACAGGGCTGGAGACTGGCCAGGAGTAGTATAAGAACCCTCACTGGCTTCTTGTTCCTCTGTAGGGAGACTGTTGCTGGAACCCCCACTGCAAGCAGGCTGTGTATTTCTTCAGCACCACGCTGGACCCCAGAGTGCCACTGGATGGCCCTCAGACTGTCAGCTACACTGTGGAGTTTCACCCCCACACTGGAGATGTCACCATGGATTTCTTGCTCTCAGATGCCCTGGACGGTGGGCACTGACCCTCACTTGTTGAGAAATAAAGTGGCCCAAGGGCTCTGGGCTCGGAATGCTGTGGCTTTCTGCCAAGGACTGTGAAGGCTTTTCTTCCAGGGCCTGCCTGGCCTCCCTTTCTGCATCTTTGCACCTCCAGCTCCTTGCTCCAGATGTGCCAGCCAGAATGAGCCGCTAGTCAAATTTGGGGCTGAGGAGGGTCCAGGAGCCCACCCTGCTGTGGTTCTGTGCTGCTCAGAAAGCTCCAAGGCACGCAGTGTTTCTTTTGCCCTCCCGAAAGGGAGTGGCGCCCAAGTCTGCTGGCTGAAGAGCAGTGCGAGGCAGCGTGTGGCTCACAGCTGGGAGTTACCCTGGCCTGCTCTGTGGACCTCTAGGTCCTACCTGCTTGACTTGGGCTAGGAGGGACTTCTAGGGGCGGAGATGCTGATTTGTGCCTGAGCTCTAGGCCTTGCAGACCTTGGCAGGGGCAAGCTGAAGACTGACCCTTTCACCCACTGGGTAAATCACTGAGCCACATTCATGAGTGTCTGGACCTGAGACCCAGACAGCAGGTTGCTTGGGGATAGGGGGAGGGGGGCGGAGGCTATCCCAAAGCTGTCCAGAGCTTCAGGCCCAGGGACTCAGCCATCAGTGGCAGGAGCCAAAAGTACAGCCTTTTGCATGCGCTGCATTCCAGCAGAAGGCCCTCCCACCCCTCAGAAGTCTCTGGGCCAATGGGCACATGTGGTGCAAGATCACCCCGGCCTCGGCCTTCCTGTTCCCCACATAGCATGTTCTTGTGCTGTTTACTCCCGGTTCTCAGAGGGGACAAAGCACACCCTGAGTAAGAGAACCCAACAGTCTAACTTCTTGGTCGTTCAGGGCAGACTTAGGCTGTACCCATCCTGTGGGGAGGCAGGGAAGGCAGTCCCCGGCAGCTGTCCCCTACTACCCATCAGGCGGCGCAGCCCCAGCTTGTCCGCAAATAAGTGGAGAACACAAACTTGAGCCTCACAGTTTTATTTTCTCCTCATTATCCATCCTTCCTTTCAGCACCAATAAAGGAAAAAAACACCTCTCTTTTCAAAATATTTTATCAGGTGTAAAGGTTGTTTTTCTTCAAGGGAAGAATCGTCTGGATATATATTTGATAATGTTTTTACCAAAACCTTAGGTGTGCTTACCATATAAAACCCCTAATGTCCCATGAGGATACAATACAGAAAAAAATACAGAAATTAAAAAAGTGTTTTTCTTTTTTAAAACAGTATTTCTAAATCTCAGCAAGTTAATACAATAGTTAAAAAGCATCAAGAGTAATATTCATACTTAAAACTCAAGGTGGTTTGGACAAATGAAATGGCCGTTTCCTCTGAAGCTGACCCCCACCTCCTGGCTTCTTCAGAGGAGGCCAGGCGTGGGGTCTTGGTCTGGGATTTGGGTGACACCTGTGTCTGCCCTTCCAGGACTAGATGCCACAGAATCTCACATCCTGGTAATGTTTCTTTTCTCTCTTTAAAAAAAAAAAGTGAAAATGCAAAAGTCTGGCTGTTCATGGCCTGGGAGTCCACAGGCTTCGAGAAACGTGGTTGTGTGATGGTGACCCAGGCGCCGAGGCCACTGGAGAGGAGGTGCGAGGGGCTCTGGAGGGCCGGCCCTGCTCTGGATGCCAGGCCAAGCTGGACAGAGGCGACCTTTTAGGACAGGAGATGACCGAGGCACAGGGAGGTATGACTTGCCTAAGGCCGCCCTGTGAGTTGGGGAGATAAGCAGGCACCCCTGTGCTCTGGCTCCCACTGCGAGCGGCCTGGGTTGGGCAGTGGCCCCTCTGAGGGAGGGACGTGGTGCTGGCTGCTCGGCCTCAGGAGCCCTGGCATCTACCTCCTCTGCTTTGGCCATTTGGCTGGCTCAAAGCCTGGGGCCCCTGGCCTGTGTGAGCAGATTCCTGGCTGCCCCAGGTTAGGCTGCCCCTAACCAAGGCCCAGGAAGACCAGCCTCAGAGGAGGGGTACAGCAGGGCCCCAAAAGGAAAATGCCCTCAGTGATGAGCAGCCACTCATAGCTCTGGATGTTGCTGGGGGCCTAGCCAGGGAAGTGCTCCTGGCAGCAAAGCCCTCAGCCCAGCACTGCCCAACCAGTGCCCCCTCAGTGTGGCTGTCAGGGCCAGTCTCCCCCAGCACAGAACCTGGTGTCTGGCTGGCTGCGTGACCCCCTTTAGGTCCCTTATGCAGCTCAGTGGGTCACAAGGCACAGCATCAGTGCTCCCCCAGCAGGTGGGATCCTGGGAGGTCAGCGTCCTGGGAGGAGGGGACCTGTGGTGGTTGTCAAGAACAGTGTCCCTAGTGGGAGGAGCCTCGCACCAGGAAACAGACAAAACCCTCCCTGTCTGACTGTGGGGTATCCGTGGGGGTATTTAAAAAGGCAGGGAGCAGAGGCAGTGCTGCTGTGCGGTGGGGAACTGCAGGCCTCACCTGCAGCCTCCAGCAGCTGTGCCTAGTGCCCAGGGCTGCCCTGCTGGCATGGTGACAGGGTAGGTGCCTGTGCTCCTGGATACCAGCAGTGCCTCTCCCTGACCTGGGTACGATGGCTGCTGCATCCTGCATATTGTTGAGGGGACAGGTCACTCTCCCCGCCTTGACTTCCACCCTTGCGTCCGGGGCCCTGGGTCGCTGTTGAGGGCTTGTGAGGACGAAGCCGCAGCCCCACCCAGAGGCAGTTGGCCAGTTCCTGAGCTCAGCCAGCATGTGGATGGGGACAGTCCCTAGGAGAGGGTTAGTCCCGAACCAGAGAGGTGTCTGGAGGGGAGAGGGATCAGTCAGAAAGAAGAGGATGTGTAGGTTTTGAGAGAAGCTACAAATCAGTCATTTTCAAAACCAGAAACCCTGCCTAACCCCCTTGCTTTTGAGTTCCCCTTCCTGTAAGAAAGGGTGCATTTCTGCATTCTTGCCTCTGGTTCTATTGCCCACATCAGAGAGAACCTGCGGTGGGGGCCCTGGTGTGCCAGGAAGGGAGCCCCACTCAGGAAGAGCAAACGTTCTCACTCAGGGCTTACAGACCCTTAAACGTGAAGGGTGGTTTTTGCTCTGAACTTTTCTTTTTAAAATGTAATCGCCCTTGAATGCAAGACCCTGGGGGGAGTGTGGGCTTGCTGGTAACTGGACACAGCCCTCCGGTCCCTGCTCATGAGCTGTCGGGCTGGAGGCGGCCAGCTGGCGGCCCTGTGCCCAGAAGTGCTTCTTTGGCTGGTTCTGATTGTGTTTGGAGTTTGGCCTTGGGTGAGGCCCGAGCAAGGGGTCTGTGTGGCTACGGCGTGGCACGTGGCATGCGGGCAGCGGGCATGCGAGGGTGTGGGCATGCGAGACAACATGGCAGCAGACAGAAAGAGTGAACCCTGGACAAAGCTTGAGAAGAGATACAAAGAGTACAGAAACCCGGTTCTCATACTAACCCACCGGTTACAAACTAGGTTGTGCTGTAGAGTTGTAGAAAATCACGTTGTGAAAGAATGGCACTGGTCGGGCAGCTGGGGCTCCCCGGGTGGGCCTGACTCCTGTCCACGGCGTGTGCCCCAGAGGTGCAGGGCGATGCTGCTTCAGCTCACCGGGACTGGCTGCGGCTCCTCCCAGGCCTCTGCCCTCCCCCAGCACCAGGCGGTGCTTGCCGGAGGGGACGTGGCCCGGGAGGGGCTGCGGCTTTAAAGGCTGGCAGAGGCCCGCTGCTCCTGATTACTTGGCTGGCTTATGCCTCGTCCTCTCCTGAAGACACCATTAGCCGCATGGCCACCGGGAGGTGGTCTGTCAGGCCCGACAGCTGAGTGACAAAAATGAATTCTTCCACTTCCTATAGGGGCAGAAGCATCGGATTAGACTCAGGGCATTTTTCTCGAGGAGGGGCCTGGTGGGTGGGGCGGGGCTGGGCCAGCCCAGATCTTCCTGCAGGCAGTAGGATGGGACCTGGAGGCGCCTCTGGGGCCCCTAGGCTCTGGGGCCAGCCATCTCACTTTCAGAGGGGAGCTCAGTACCGATGAAGGGTGCATGGGTCCCCTAATGACACGCACAGCCTGGCTGCCCTGCCCCACTCAAGACTCACGGCCTTCCAGTCGGGGCACAGCCCCTCCTCGGCGTGCAGCAGGTAGTCGATGCGCCGGCCATTGCCCTTCAGCAGGTCCTTGCGCCCCTTCTGGCCTCCTCCGGGGCTCTTGCTGGTGGGGAAGGCGAGGTACTCCCGGCGTCCTTCCTCGCTCTCCAAGACCCTGCTCACACACACAGAAGGCGAGTGAGCCCCAGGTGCTGAGGGTGGAGCCACATTCTCAACCCCAAGTGAGTGAAAAGCCGGTAAGCCCAGATTCCTGCATTTAACTGTCTTCCCTTGGTCCCCCCCACCCCCCAAACGGAATTGAGATGGAAGGAAACAGTTCGAGCCTACAAGCTCTGGCTGCACTGGGCCACCCCAGCCTGTCCAGATTTGCCCCGTGTCCACTGGTTCGCCAAGCGCTGGCTTTCCCCTCTGTACTCGGAAGTGGGCCTTGGCCACAACTTGCACCCGGCACCAGCCAGAATCTGTGGTGAGTTGGGGCCAGAACTGCACTCCCCTGTGGAGCTCTGCCCCGAGCCAGCAGGGGTCTGTTTGAGAGAACCAGGTCTTTCTTTGCTTTGAACCCCAGGAACCCTTCTCTCCTACATGCCTCCAGGCTGCCCGTGGCTATTGTTTCAGGTGGGCTGGTGGGCAGGGGAGGCAGACATCATCCCAGGGGGTGGGATGTGGCTGCCATCCTACTTCTCAGAGGATGGAAACTGCCCTGTGTGCTTAGGTAGGGCTTGTCAGGGTTTTACAGGGAGCGCTGGGCTCCTGGGTGGGGCCTTATATCCCGAATCTGAGTCTGCCATCTCATCTGCCATGAGGCAGGCTGGGGCCTGAGTCCTTCCTGGGGGTTTCCACCAGTGGGTGTGTTTCCTTCACAGGACACAGAGGGCAGGCTGAGGCCCGTGTTGGGGGTGGGAGGTTGCACAGGCTGGCCAGGGCCGCTGATGTCTGGACCAATGGAAGGGTTGCCAGCAGCAAACCTGGGTCCCTGCAAGGTCTCCATGAGCCTTGAGATAAATATACTAATAACACACAGGGCATCATCACATATCAGAAATGTAATCCGTTACTGTCCTTTGCCTTTGAGAAATAATTCCAGCATCAATGTTCTAGGAGTTTCTGATAGTCATTTTTTAATCATCTCATAAAAAGATAATTTTCTCAGTATAGGATGATGTTTCAAATTTAGTCTATAATCTAATTAATTGGCCCAAATTAGCTGCAAAGAACCATCGCCGTGACTGTGCAGTCTCGGACTGAGAATTATAAATTGGTTCTGCTGTTGGTCTCTCAACTGTGTCCTTTATGGAAGTTTCATCAGGTTCAAGAATGAGGTTTGGTTGGGATAGAACTATCTCGACTTTAAAAATGACCACCAATGTTCTCTTTGATTTGCCTAATTGATGGTTACCAGCTGCTGGGCACCCCGAGCAGACAGCATCCCCAGGGCCCTTCTCCAGGGGTCTGGGCAACCCTCAGCTCTGCCCCTGGGGATTCTGGCCCCTTTTCTTGTACTGAGCAAGCCCCCAAAGTAGGCTGAGGCCTGGGCAGGCCAAGCTCTTAAAAAGGAAGCCCAGACACAGGGTGCTGGTGTGGAAAATGCCACCGGGAGACCCCAGGCCAACTTGGTTTCTTCTTGACAAGGCCAGCCCTGGGGTGTGAGGGCCTCTGCCTGTTCCCAGCGTCAGTGCCTGAGGCTCCCAAAGGCTTCTTTCTCCCAAGGCAGTGCTGTCTAGTCTGCCCTGTGCACCTGTCTCTCCAACCTGGGTCAAGTGCTCATCACCTGGGAGCCTCCCTGGGTCACTGGCCCACCAACCTGCCTGCAGCCGCACGGGTGCTGGGTGCTTACTTTTGCAGATTGTCAGGGGTGCTCACATCCTCATCATAGAGGCCATCCGTGTCGAGCAGGGTACCTGGGGATGAGGGGGTGAGAGCAGTCAAGGTGTGTAGTTCCCAGCAGCTCAAGGAGAGCTGCCTCCCTGGGGCAGGAGGGGCAGGTGAGAACTTGGCCTGCCTGGGTAGCTGTGTACCCCCACTGCCCTCCCACTCTGAGTTCTTGGGGGCAGGCCCTGGAGTCTCTGGGAAACCTGTGGGGGGCCAAGCCTTGTATGGTATTGGGTCTTATGGTGGGCTCAGGCCTAAGCCGTGTCCTTCCCTTGCCTCCCCCGAGCCCCAGCTCACCGATGGCCCACGACTTCTCGTCCCCTGGCCCCAGGCGGCACGGGTCCTTGTAGCGTGTAAACAGGGAGTGCTGCTGCTCCAGCTTGTCGTCTGTGCAGGAAGGAAGAGGGGATGCAGTGACTCAGGGTATCTAGCGGTTCCTGTCAGCTGCTCTGGTCCCTGCCCCTCAGTAACCGCCTCTAGGTAGGGTCCGTGGTTCATTTGTCATTGGTTTTCTGGGTCCTTGAGAATGCCCCCTGTTCCACCCACACATGGGTGTTCAGCTTCCTGTCTGAGGACGGCGGTCATTGTCCCTCTTGGGCTCTAGGGCTCAGTGATTTTAAGGCCTTTCCAGATCCTGTGGCAAACTCTGTGGGGTCTGGCTGATGCTACCCTAGTGGAACCCCCTCCTGACAACCTCTTATATATGCTGGGTCCCCATCCTGACTCAGGAAGATTGCCAGGGGTGCCCAGCATTTGGAGCTGGCATGTGACTTTGAGGGGGTTACAGGGCTGCTGTGGGGAGGCTGTGTTCCATGGTGGGTCCTGTTCTCCCCACTCACCCTGGAATTGCCACCATTGTCAAGTGATCCTCCTTGGGTCGTGAACAGGGTGAGCCCCACCCTTGGGATCTTTAGGCTTCCTGCCTTCACTGATGCATGGGCATGAACTCTCAGACCCCCCATCACCTACCCATCCTCAGTCTCCCCTGGGGCCTATGGCCAGTGGGGAGGGGCCCAAGAGCCAGTGGGCTAGAGGTGGGTGGGTAGGGGTGGTTCCTGGCACTTAGCTTCTAGGGCCAAAGGCAGTTCAGAGCTGCCTCAGCTCTCAGGAAGCCCTTAGAGTCAGCATGATCATCTGAGTCACAGGTCAGTTTTAAAAATCAATTATTTATCATTTTACCCATGATGCACTTTTCTTCTTTTTGCCTAATGGTTTAAGGCATGATTTCTAAGGTTCAAATACACTTTCAGTCACTTCTTGGCTGTGTGACTTTGGACTAGTTACTTAACAACTCTAGGTCTCAGCTGCTTCTTCCACACCAGTGCCCACTCTTACAGTTGTTATGAGACGGAAATGAAACAGTTGGCCTGTGAACAGTCCTTAGAATTGTGTCCAGTGCAGAGAGAACTGAGTGAAGACTTAGTGAAGACTAACTCGCCCTTAGTCTGAGTTTCCCGGGCCCCATGGCCTTCCTAGTCAGTTTCCTTTTTTTGGATGTCACTTTGTCTCCAGCAAGGCAGCCCCTGAGCTTTCTAGGCAGAGCGTGGGCTCTTTCTGTTCTCGACTTTCTAGGGGGCAGGGCAGAGAAATCATAGACTTGCTAATATCCCACCCACATGCTCGCAAGGAGCAGGAAGTTCTTCAAGCTGTCTAACCCCAGTCTTTCCAGCCCTGTTGGGAGCCCACGCCTTCCCCAGGAGCTCATGGAACGGGGATGAGCCAGGCCTCACCAGAGGAGCAGTTGTCAAAGTTCAGATCTCCACAAATGACGTCAAATGCCACCAGCTCATCGGGGTTGGCTGTGCTGGACGAGGAGGTAGATTTTCGGAAATCAGCCAGCCAGTCCTGAAGCATGTCCAGCTGCTCACACCTGATGGCACTGTCCTCTGCAGGGCAGAACCATGAAGAGCTGGTGATGAAGCTGCAGCAGACCCCGGTTAGGCCCCAGCACCAAGCCCATCCTGTGAAAAGCACGGGCCCCAGACCTTACCTGGCAGAGCATGCAGGTGTGTGCAGGAGATGTACCCGACAATTCTTTGGTCCTGAGGTGTGCTTCCCACCTGCACCTGTGGGGGAGGAAGTGTGGTGTTGGCGATGAAGCAGTGACTCCCTGGCGATGCCCACCCCCACCAGGTCAAACCCCACAAGCCTGGCTTTGTCGGTTCCTGGCCCAGGTAGGAACAGCACATCTTCCTTCTAGCAACTTCTGGTCCAGTGCGGAAGGCAGAAGCATAAAGAAATACTGGCCCCTGGCATGGTGAGTACTATTGGCAATTCATGCAAGGCTTTAAAAGAGGAAAAATGCAGAAACCACTTCATATTCCCTCCCCAAACCTCTGCTGTCTCCTGCTGGCTAAGCGCAATGCCCGTGTGGATGACACTTTCATGCCAGCCCCTCAGGTCCTGTCTGCTCCAGCCTGGTGTCTCTTTCCTCCCTCCCTCAGTCATACCCTAGAGTCTGTGTCTGAAATCTAAGTGGGGCTCCCTCTGTGATGTAATCCAGCTGCAAAGCTAACCACTGTCCCTCTGCTGTGAAGGCTTCACCCCGGACTCTTTACTCCTTCTCCCCAGCATCTGCCCGCCCCCCGCCCCCCGCTTCATGAGAAATCACTTTATCTTTTTGACTGTTAGTCTTTCATTGTTGGATGACAGCTGTGATCTGTGTCCCCCACGGCCTGTGTCAGAGGCTGGCCCCAGGTAGCCTGTCCTGAACCCCAGCAAGAGTCCTTGGGGTGGAGAGGGGTCAGATCTTCCCCTGACTTCCTGCCAACCCGCAGATGACCCTGACAGGCTGTCTCCAGAGGTCGTAATGAAAACAAGCTTCTTAATGATACATCCCAGACAACTGAAAATGCACACCTCCCACCCCATGCCCGTGGTGACCCCAAAGCAAGTCTGAGTCATTGTGGGGGCTGTGGCCGGGGAGGCGAGGGATGGCTGCCTAGCCTGCCAGCTCTCCCGAGCCCCAGGCTATGGCACAGCTGCTGGAGGCCATAACAGGAAGGCCCCTCCTGGACACACTCCCAGGACCGCCTGTGGGCACCTTTCCCCTGGGTGGCCCCTTAGCCTCCTCTTGTCCAAGCCCCGGCTGTCTTCTGGAAATTTGACAGTGCACTCCGGACTAGAAGTAGTGAACCCCTGAGCTGGGAACCCTGCAGGGAGCATTACTGTAGAGGCCAGTTCTTGGCTGAGGAGTCCTGCAGCAGCAGCAGGGACATGATCATGACCCTGCCTGTCCTCCCGGTAGAATGGCCTAGACTCGCTGCCGCCCCCTGCTGAGAGCCCCAGGAGGCTTCCGTCTTTCTTTTGCTGCTGCAGTTGGCACTGTTCTCTTCCATACGGGCTTTCACAGCTTCACTCTATAGCTCTTCACCCCCTTCCCCAGTGAGGATGGATGTCTGTCTTTCCCTGGGCGGGGGGTTGTGTGTGTGTCTAGTTACCTGGTAGCAGGCTAGGTGGCCGAGATTTGGGGATGCTTATAAACTCACATGTTGACCATTCACTTCTTGCCCGTGTCCCAGAACCACACCTGAGCCTAATTGTACCCCTGTGCCTGGAATTGCTTGGGACAATCGCACACCCCGGCTCCCCCCACCCCCACTCCGCGTTGCAAAAACACAACAGTTTTTAAACCACAGTGCCCCCAAGGACCACGTGATGGCGCTATTGTCCCTGGTATTTCTCTGGCCATGGGTCTGTTGGAGTAATATCAAGCTATGAGCATTCATGCTTAGTGCTTAGTCCCGAAGACTGCCTTGCTAGAGGTTTGCAACCACTATGAGGATCATGCTAGAATTATTCCACAATTGGCCGGGCTCACAAGGCCCCCATGGCAGAGGTCTGTTCAAGTCAGATCCGTTTGCTGCCCACACCTAGCTCCTCACCCTGCTCCGTGCTGCTTTCTGAGCTCCTGGACATGGCCAGGCTTATCATTGGCCTCCCATTTGATGGTCTCAGTGGGTCAGCCCTTCACTCCCTCGTCACAGTGTTACCTGCCTGTGCTGCCTTCTGGGTGGGCCCAGGGGTCAGGTGCAGAGAGGCACCACTGTACCTTGAGCTGAGACCCCACCTCGGGAGAGGACACAGGGTGAGGCCACTCCTGCCCCCTACCCCTGCCCCACCTCTCAACCCCTCACTCCACGCCCCATCAGTCTGCGAGCTAGCCCCTGCACCGCTGCTGCCGCTGCCGCTGTGGAGAGCCACTTTATTATGCGCTGGAACTTATTGATTTCAGGCTCGAGTCCTTGGGAGCCGCAAAGGCTTATGTTTCTCTTGCAAAAACAAACAATCACACTGAGGAGGTTGTGCCTTTTAGTCCTGTGGGCAAAGATTGTTAATAGACAAGACCAAGAACGAGGTTCTCTGCTAGGTGAGGCAGAAGTGGTTCCCGTCTTTTCTCAGGGCCCCTTGGAAGTTGTCAAGGATCAGAAGTGCCATGAGAGTGCCACAGAGCAACCTGGGCGGGTGGGGCTGGAGGGGAGAACCCTGCAGGTGAAGGGAGTGCTGGCCGGGGCAGCTTCTTTCTCACCGCCCTGGACCCCTTCCTGAGCTGGTATGGTTCTTGAAACTTCATGGTCTTGTTCCTGCATGCAGGAGAAACAGGCACGCGCCAGCAGCTGAGCTGGGCCTGCTGTGTGTGGGGCACACCCAGCTCCGCTCTCAAATCTGGTAGGAGAGACGGGAGACAAGATCCTGGGGACAAGGGCTGAGGAAGGTCCCCTACCAAAGGACAGCTGGCTTGTGCAAGGCAGCCAACCCAGGGTGAGTGCAGACAAGTGGGAGGCTGGCACCCTCTGGGTGTAGGGTGCAGGTGGCTGAGGGTAGAGGGGCTCAGGTGAAGGCAGTGGGAAGTGTGGGAAGAGGAGCCCAACCCAGGATGGGAGGCTTAGAGAGGGAGCCAGGATGCAGTTGGGCTGATGCAGAGGGTTGGCAGCCTGGACACATGGAGTGGACCCGGATGAGTTTGGAAAGTGCAGCTAGCCATCATGAATGGGTTAGATGGGCTCTGGGCACAAAGAGGAATCAAGAAGGCCCGAGAGATGGTGCACCTGGCACCTGGGAGGGTGGGACAAGCAGCTGATGAGTTGGATCCAAGAGTCCACAGACTGTGTCTAGGAGGCAGTCAGACAAGAGCTGATGGCTCTGGAGAGACCTGGGCCGAGGCAAACCTGAGGGCGCTGGACGAGGATGGAAGGGAGGCTGTGGAGTCCCACCCAGCCAGGTTGGTAGGACGGGGTATGACCATCTGGAAACGAGGAGGTCTACTGGGTGGGGCTCACTGTACGGTTGAGAGCTGGGTGAAATGCAACAGACCCGGGGCTGCCAGATCTGCTGAGGTAGGGAGAGAGGTGGCAAACTGGGTTTTCTGTGAAATACCAGATTTTTATGTGTTAACTGACATAATTTTTTAGTGGTATAGAACAAATCAAACATATCTGCAGACCATTTTTAGCTCCATGAGGTAGAGGAAGCAGCATTTAAGGGACAGGCAGGTGACAAGGAGCCTGGAAAGAACAGCTTGAGCGGGGAGGAGAGCCTTAGCTGCGGGACTGGCCCAAGGACACTGCTGCTGGCCTGGGGCCACCATGGCTGGAACACCAGACCCAGGAGGGCGGTGAGGAGAGGGAGGGTGAGGTCTCAGCCCCTGAACCATCTGCCACGGGGGGGGGGCAGGTGCAGTGAGGGGGCTGTGCTCTCCCACCCTGAGCCAGGTCTCCTTCTTCCCCAGAAAGTCACTCTGGCTGCGGAGACCAAAATACATCTGTGGAACAGAACACTGCTGAACCATATGCCGAACTGGGAACGCGGGCTTTACGGTAAGAGTTCATTCACTTTCAGCATTTCAGGCTGCGAATAGAGAACCAGGGACTCCAATTCTGGACCTGCAGAGCCACACGGAGCTATTAGGCACCTCAGAGTGGGGGCCAGGCCCCTGGTGATGGCCCTTTCCTTGACAGACTGGGGGATGAGAGCTTCACCATAATGGGGCTCCTGCATGAGCCACACCAGTGCTCCCCACACCAACACACAGATCCCCCTCTAAGGGGGGCTGAGAAGTCCTGAGGGAAATGCCTTCCCTCCTGGGCCTCTACTTGTTCACCTCTCAGCTTCAAGAGAGAACCCACACCCACAGCAGCTGCTGCCTCTAGGGACAGAAGGCGCTGCTCTGTATCAGCCGGCCAAATGCTGCTTCCGAAAATTCTGGAGGCACCAGAGCGGCTTTTGGACAAGGAACAAAAAGTCGGCACTCCAAGCGTGTCAGGCTTAGTAGAAGATAATTCGTAATGACCAAATTACCATGGTCTAAAAACTCCTCCAATTGCATTCAAATTAGCAGAAATAATTATGATTCACTTTAATTAGTGACTATGGAAGTGCAGCCATGGGCTGGTGGGCAGAGTGCCTGGCACGGCAGCTGCATGACAGTGAGGAGGGAGGGGCATCCGGGCCAGTGAGGCTGGTGGCCTAGGCTAGGAGCTGGAAGCCCCAACTTCCCTCTAGCAACTTCTGGCTTCCCTTTTCTATAACAGAGAGGGTCCCCCTGCCTCCTCCTGCCCCCTCTTCACCGCCATGATCGCCACAGCCACCTACACCACCAGGCCTTGTTTCTCATACTAGCCTCCTCACCCTGAGTAGGCACTAGGTGGCCCCCAATTTTCAGCATCTCAGAGATCTGAGGAATTTGCCCAAGGGCATCCAGCCAGGTCTGTCCAATCCCTGAGTCTCAGCTGCTTTCCCCCACCTTCTCATTTCCTTTATCCCTGAGCTGTTCCCCTCCCCTCTTCTGCTCCATGATAGAGCAGTCCTTGTCTGCTCTCAGTCCCTCAAGAGATGAGGGTCCCCTGAATATACCTCTTAGGTACCCCCATGTAGGACCATGTCCAGCGTGGGGCCAGCGTGTGCCCTGGGCGGCCGAAGCCTCCTACCTTGAGAAACAGCGCTCCCTTGGAGGCCAGGGAATCCGAGCCTCGCCCGTTGGGGTAACAGTGATAGGCCACGTCCATGATGGGGTAGCGGCTGGCAAAGAAGAGGCCGCTGTTGAAAAATTTGAAGCTGCAGCAGCCGCGGCAGCCATAGACCCCCACGTCGTACAGGATGTACTCGAAGTAGCCGTGCAGCCGCTCTTTCAACTTGGCGGCCGCACGCTTGTCAAACACCTCCTGCAGGCACAGGAAGTCCAGATTGGCAGGGAAGAAGGCCGAGACCTCGTGGTCAAAGGCCTCGTCGGGGTGCCGCCTCTTGCGCGCAGTGGCCTTCTTAACCACTGAGGTCTTGTACGGGAGCTTGCTGTTGTTGGTGGCGCCCGGTTCCACGCTGCCACTGTCCCCCCCGGCCCGTGTCTTCACCAGGGACTCCCTGGAGGCCGAGGGGCTGCCCAGACTTCCCGAGTCCCCATCCCGCTGATTGTGGTTGGGTGTCTGGCCCCGTGAGCCCCCACTGGCTCCATTCCTGGCCTGGACCCCAGTAGGCGGGTCATCGACTTCAGGGAGCCGGCCACCCTCCTCTCCCCCGATGCGCACGATGCAGGCGTCCTCAAGGTTGCCACCATCCCCTGGATCCCCAGAGGCTGGGCCGTTGGCAGCCTCATCACTGGGGTGCCGCCCGCCGTCGCCCTTGTATTCCACCGAGGCCGTCCTCTTAATGCTCCCAGGGACGCCCCTGGACACACCATCACCGCCCTGCGGGGACACCAGGCTGCTGAAGCTGGCTGCGCTGATGGAGGTGTTGGTGGGAGAATCGATGTAGATTTTGATCTGGGGCCGACTGGCCCCGTTTCGGATTCTCTGCCCGATCTCTTTGGCCCGAGCCTGGGTGTTAAAGAGGTTGTTGTATCTGGCCAGTGAGTCGGGGAGGAGGCAGAGGTTGGCAGAGGCGAAGCAGAAGCTTTTGCCTGGACCCGTACCCTTCCATTCACTGAGCAGGGCTGCCCCACCCCCTGGGCCTTTGTCCTCTAGCCGGGAGTAGATGTAGGGCCTGCGGGCAGACTGCAGTGGGGACCAGAGGAGGAAGCCAAGGAACGCGAAAGGGAGTGAGGCGACCAGGAGGGCCAGGTAGACGGGCGTGAAGAGCACGGTGCAGAGCAGCTGGAGGTAGCACGGGTCGTCGGCCTGCTGGCGCTTCTCATACGTGGTGGGTTTGAAGGAGGCCACGAGCCGGTCCACCAGCCAGTAGCATGGGAAGATGAGGGCCCAGGACACGGAGTGCAGGGCAGACAGACAGCTGTTGGGAAAGGGAGTCGTGTACAAAACCATCGCAGCTCACTGGGCGCCTCAGCGGCCCTACTACATGGTGTCCGTGGCGGCGCGGGCACGTTCCTGGGTGGGGGTGGGTGAGAGGGGGCAGCAGGAGGTCACCTCCCGGTGAGATGCAACTCTCGATGGTCAGTGGCGAGTGCTGGCCAGCGGGTCATGGTTCACCTCAGGGCCATGCTGGGCCACCAAGGCCTGCTGGAGAACCTGCAAGACAAAAAGTGAGAGGCCATTATTTATCGTTAGGGGAACAGGAGGGAACTGGGGCCGTTGTCCCCATTCACCCCATTCCTGCTTCCTCCCCATGAGCAAGACTATTCCAGGACTGGACCGGAGCTGTCCTGTATACTCCGTCTTCCTGTTTGTAAAAGTTTGGTGACCTGACTGCTTCCAGCTCGGCAGCTTGACCTTGAAGCCTGGCTGCATAGCTTTGTGGGTGCTCAGGAGGCAGGCCGGGGAGTCTAGAGGACATCTAGTTCTGACACTGAGCTGGAGCAGCCGGAAGCCTGTTAGGAGCAGCCAGGGGCATGATTGGCAGGGAAAGGGACTGCAGGCATAGCTGCCTGTCACTGGGCACCCACAGGTCAGGAAGGAGAGGGAACAAACTGCAGGGGAAAGCGGCTGGAGAGTCCTGGGGTGGAGGGCTGTCTGACTGGGCTGCAGCAGAACACTCGGCACACACATGGTGCACACCCTGTGGACCCCTGGCAGAAATCCTCATCCCAGGGAGATCCAGGCACAGCCTGGACCTTAACAACTTCCAGAATGACCTGTTACCCAACCACAGGATGACTTTTATAGGCACTTCCTGGGGTCTCAAGGCCTGGCCTGAGCTTTAATCCGCTTCCTATGTGGAGATGCAGCCCAGGGTGAGAACAAGGCTACCTTTGACTAATCCCAGCCTGTGTGGCAGCCACAGGGGGGTCCCAAAGCACCCCAGGCCAGGGCCTCACCCGGGAAAGGCCAGCAGGTGCATTTATTGCACTGAATATAAAATCAATAAAGACGATAGTGTGGAGTGTTTACCCAGCCTCCAGAGGCCTGTAGTACTCGCTCTGTGGTGAGGTTTGTGTGAGCGCAAACCAGAGTTTTCATTACCAGTCAGCTGGGGGTTCATGCTCTGCACTGGCAAGATGGGGGCCGTCATCCTGGCCTGACGCTCTTCCTTCTGTGTCCCTGGTCACCCATGCCAGAATTTGGGTGTCAGCTAAACTCCATCCTCCCTCAGTCCACATGTCCCTTCAGTGCCATCTCCCCACCCAAGCCCCCGGGAGCTCCTGTGCTGGTTGGCACTGCATGAGACATCACCCACCTTCTCAGGCCATCCTCAGGCCTGCTTCAACCCCTCGGAGGCCTTGCTCGGCCTTTACAGGAGACACCTCTCAGCCTGTGTCTGCAGCCCCACCTGCTCTGTGTTCACCTGCCACCCATGGAGATGTGGTTTGTTGTCCATATGCCCTGCCATTGCCCAGCTGCTGCCCCTGACCTTTAATACTCAGCTTAGAGATCACCTTCTCAGACAGAACCTTGAGCCTGTTCCTTGCCCAGGTGCCAAGGCCCCTCCACTGGGGGACCTGTCCCCCCGTGCATGGCCTGCATTCTGTGGTTCAGACCATAAATGCTTATGGGATGCCAGTCCCCCCCACCTTTGCCCAGTGGGAACTTCTTGAAAGAAGCAGCTGCACTGAGGGCATCGAGACTCCCAGGGTTGCACCAGTGGCAGCTCGAGAAATGGCAGGTAAGCGTGAGGAGAGGAGCCTCTGCGCTGCCCGCGGGCCCCTGTGTGAGGAGGGGAGTCTGTGTGACTGCACATCCTCAGCCACCATCCCTAGGGCTGAGCGACAGTGGCAGGGCACTCACCCCAGACTCAAGGGAGAGCTTCAGCGGGGGGTTAAGTAAGTTCTGGCAACATTTTGCAAGGATTTTACTTTCGTCAAGGGAAATGGCTTGAAAGCCAACACTGGAAATTTACAGTTCGGAGAAGCAGGTAGATCACGGGAGATGGGTTCTCTGCAGCCACCTCCTTTCTGTTATGAGTCAAAGGTGGACCTAGTGACTCATCCCCAACAGTGTTGGAACCTGCTGTCAGCTGGGGCAGGGTCCCCCTCTTTACCTGTCTGGTGTCCCCCTTACTCCCGCTGCAACCCCAGAAATCCTTCTGAGCAAGTTTCTTCCCCAGCTCCACATGCACTGGCAGTGGCCGGGCCTGATCTTTCTGCCTCCGCTGGGCCAGTCTTAGGAATGTCACTGGTCCCCAGTCAAGCATCCATGGGTGTGAGGGGTCCTGTTAGACCTGGCAGGGCTGAGCACTTCCTGCTTGCCATCCTGTCCCTTCACAGCTGCGTTGGCCCCACCTGTCCAGAGTCCCTCACCTGCCTGCCCTCCCACAGTGTCCTGGGCAGAAGGAGCCTCCAGGTGCTGCCTACCTGCCCTGCTCCCCATGCAGTCTTGGCACCTACGCACAGAAGCTGCTGACGCAGTTGACACAAAAGGGATTGCCACCAATGGCGCGGGCTTCCAAAGCTCTGTGGTTAATTATTTTGTCTCAGTGAAATGAAGGGAGGGTAAACAAACAACAACACATTAATTAGTCTGATCTACACTTTCTTCATAAAAGAGAGCGAGAGTTAAACATTAGAGGCTGGCAACTTCTCAGAGAATCCTGGAGTCCTGGGAGGTGGGCAGGCGGGGGGTGGGCACACAGGTGCCCAGCCTGCAGCCCTTGTGTAACCTTTCCCCTAGCTGTGCTCCAACTGTGCAGCTGACATGGGGTGGTTGCACAGCGAAAGTACCTTCCCCCCTCCTCGCCCTAGTTCCCTGCTTCCAAGTCCTTTGCCAAGCAAAGCCCATCATGGGCATCTCTGATGGGACTGACAAGTCCCTCAGCACAGATGATGTGTGCTGCGCTGTTGCCAGTCAACCTCCCAGGCTGCTTTTCCCTTTCAGGTTCTGTTAGTCACCCCTGGGTTTAGCCCCTTTGCCAATCCCAGTGTGTATTAGGGTTGCTGGGGATGCCCCAACGCCACAGATCCAGAGCTGGGCTGGGGTTCCAGATGCGCTCAAATCTTCATGGTCACTCCTAAACTCTGGGGTCAGTGTAGGGGCTACACAGTGTCCCAAGAAAGTGCTCCTAGGAATCAACCTCTCTGTCCTAGACATGAGACCCCAGACTCCCCTCTTCCTCCAGGGGCATCAGTCAATGCTCAGCTTGGGCTCGGGGTTTGATTGACCTAAATAAGATCCTGGCACTGTCTCCTCATGTATGACATGGGGTAGTGCTTGCTTCTGTGGGTTATTGATCATCTGTAGCAACTGTAACAGTGAGACACCTGGTTGCTAACCTGCAGCCTGTGATGCCACAGCACATGGCGGGGACTCAGACTGCTGACAGGCTGAGCTACACCCAAGTCTCTCCCTACACGGGGCTCTAAAGGCTTGGGGGCTGGCCAAGCTCCTGCTCCCTGGGAAGGGCATCTTCGGCTACAGGGCCTAGCCAGGCCTGGTCCTGTTTGAGGAGGGGGAGACCCCAGTAACCTCTTTGGGCAAGCTGCAGGTGGCAGAACCTCTACTAGGATGCCAAACAACACTGACACCAAGACAGCCATTCCACTGCCCACCTCCCTGGGAAATGGACCTGGCAGGCATGTTGGTACCCAAGACCTGCTGCAGACTCCCGGGGCACTGGCTGGACACTGGCTGTGAATTTGAATTTCTCCTACAGTGGGGAAGTAAGTGAGCCAGACTAGCTCTGTTCCCCAGCAGCTGCTCTGAGGAAACCCATCTTTAGGAATCTGAACCTTGAGGAACTTCCAGGAAGCTGATGAGGGGCGGGAGTCGCCCCCTGGTGGGGCAAGGACAGGACATGGCCCGGCTTCATTGCTCTTTGCTGTCTTCAGTGTGCCCAGCCCTCTTTCCAGCAGCAGAGCTGGGAGGCCTGGACAGACAACTACTCCCCTCCTCTTTGTGTCTACAGGCTGCCGTCTGAACAGGAGCCGGGCCAAGCCCCAGGTTTCCGCAGGAAAGGCCCAGAGGGTTGCTCCGATCCAATTACCCGAATGTGCTCACATCCACCAGCAGGGCCTGGATGGGCCAGCCCATTTCTGCCTGGATGCCTGCTGCAGGGGTTGTCATGGCAACGTAAGCTCGGAGCTGCTGAAACTTGAAGTCAACTCATCGCTGAGATGACAGGAAGAAAGACTAAGGAGGGCACCTTTCTGAGTGATGTGGGTCAGACGGATCCCAGCTAATCCTGCAAGCCATATCCCAAAAGCAGAAGTGGGGTCTGGCGTGAGCACATGTACAGTAGTAGCAACACCCACTGACATAGGTGTGCCAGGTAAATGCCTAACTGTTTCATGATCCACATTATCTGCCTCCTCCCAGAAGCCCTCACCAACCTCCCCAGTGCTCCCACACTCTTCCTGCCCTGCTCACCCCTGACTGCCCCTCTAATCAGGCACCTTCCTGTTTGTACATTGCGGCGCTGCCACTAGCCTGTGAGTTCCCGGTCCCAAGTCCCAGCCTGCCCCACCTCTCTTCAGGCAGATACACTTTTGTCTGTCCTGCTTCAATCCAAGGGGAATGCAATGAGCCACATCAGGCACTTGGCACCGCGGGCCCCTCTCCCCCCAAGATGAATGTTCACATAGCCCAAGCTAACATTCTTTTAGAGATGGAAAGACTAAGAGCCTGAAGCTTCTGGAGCCTTCCTTGAAAGTAAATCCTGTTGGGGAAAAAAACCCACTTCAGGGCAGCAGGAGAGAGGCCAAGTCCTAGTGATTTTCCTGTGTCTGAAGGCAAAGCAGTCCTCAGACTCTAACTAATGAATCAGTGCAAAACCCTACAAATCAGCCTGTTACCCATTTCTTTGCTTGTGTCACTTTGAGTTGAGTTTCGGTCACTTGCCACCAAAGGAATCCTGTTTAATCTATCCCAGGGATGTGCTCTATCTATAACTCAGTTCTCAGTTCCTCTCCTGTGCAACCTCAAGTAGCACCGCTGGCCTGCTGTTCACTGAGCAAAATGGGGCATCCCTCCTGAGTTCCTAAAGGTGCTGTGAGGTGTCTAATGAGGTTGGTGTCTAATGAGCATCCCTGGGGAGATGGCAGGACAGACGTGACAGGCACAAACTGGTGTCAGACATGCCAGGTTCCGGTCCTCCTGCTGGATATTAGACAAGATGGTTAAGTGACTGTGTGCGCTAGTTTCCTTAGCTGTTAAGGGTGGATGATAACAACCTGTCAGGGTAGTTGGAGATGAGGCACCGTGATACTGAGTGCAGTGCCTGCCTCATCTGTAGTATTATTTTTATTACTAGTAGTAATTTTCTTGCTGCAAAGGCCCTCAGAATACAGCTGGAGCTTTCATAGCTTCCTCTTTGTATGGTCAGTTGCTTGGCAAAGTGAGTGCCCTGCAATCCCATAAGCAGAGGAAGGATGGCAGGGGATGACAGGGCCTCTGTCTCCTGCAGGACCTGTGCAAGCCCAAGTCACAGGTCGCTGCAGAAGCCATGTGCAGGCAAAGGGGCCATAAAATTTTCAAAAGCAACATTCTATGGGAGCTATTAATGCATCTTGTGGTTTCTAAGAATAGGAACAGGCTGCAAACAGCTTGGTGGCACTCCTTCAATCAGCCAGCTTCGGCATTTCCATGTCAGAACTCAGAAAACCCAGAATTTTTGCATGAGAGGAAAGCAAATCTCAAGTCAGCTTGGAAACATATGTGCCAAGGGTGTGCAAACCAAGCTGCTATTCAAACAAGCAGTATCCCTGGTCTAGGCCCTTGTGCAGCCTCAGCCTGCACCTGCCAGAGAGTGTGGCCTCCACCACAGGAGGGGATCCACTCTCCCCTCTCCCCTCCATTGCCTGCCATTCTAGGATCATCTATTGGTGACCACAGTGGAGCCATTAAAGAGAAGTCTAAGTGCTCAAGAACCTGTCTGCAGCTAGATCCATCTGCTTGCAGTCTGCTGGAGGCTGAACCTGGGCTGAAGGGAGTAGGGTGGGAGTGGAGTGGTGGGGACCTGCTCAATGGGAAAACCAGCTCTGAGAGCACTGTGTTCACACAGTCCTCCATACAGGGCATTGGCAGGGCATCTTCAGGGCAGGGCAGTGACCAGAGGTGAGGAGGCTTCAACATCCCCAGGCAGACCCAATTCAGGAGATACACAAGCAAGGGCCTCCTACCCCAAGTGCACTCAGTCTTCCCAGATGCTGGGGTGTGTGCCTCAGTGGGGCCTCAAAAATAGCCACAAGCAGCCAGTCAAGTCACCTGCCTCAGGCGAGCTCTGTATCAGCAGCATGACTGGCTGAGTGCCAGCCCCCCCCACATAGCCCCAGCTGGCTGGCACCACCTCCACCCTCAGGAGAGACCCTCCTATGGATGGAGGCCAGGAGGAATCTCAGAATCCCGCTTTCTCAGGCTCTACTGTTGACGCTGTATCCCAGCAAAGTCCCTGCTCCCTTGACAGGAGGGTTGATGTTAATGGTTCCTGAGGAGAACAAGGCTCAGAACATACTTTGCTTGTGAAGAAGTGACAACATACTTTCTGTGGGAGTAGAACTTTAAATACAAGACCACACAAATGGTAGGCTCTCTGCAGACCCAGCGTTCAGCTGCATTTCAATCACAACGTTTCCTCCTAGGATGGATTGGCCGACAGAGCTGTGTGTAGGCATTTCAAGGCACCAGAGAACACAGATGAAGACAACAAACTTTCCTAAAACGGAACAGACTTGCTAAAATTCTTCTGGAGGGAATCATTTCACATTCAGCCGAAAGTTTTCTATGCAAAGAACATTCAACAAATTGAGTCCTAGAGGGGAATTTATGCAGAGATTAAAATGCAAATGAGCACAAATGAGTAAATAAAATTAGGCATCGGTATTTCACCAACTGTCCTCCGCTTTGGGCCACTTGAGGGCCTGGCTTTCTGGATGAAGGCTGGGTCTCACTCTGAGGGTTGAGGCCCTGGTTCAGGGTCTTTCAGAGACCTCACCGCCCCACCCCCCAGCTCACTGCTAGACTCAGGTCCTCCCCTGCACATGGTACTACAGGAACCCCTGGCTCTGAGAGAACCAGCCAGAACCCCCACACACCCTGAGAAAAGATGCCCCAGCTCAGCGTGACCAAAGGCCACTTGCTTGGGGAGGCCTCCTACCTGCCTCCAGAATGAGTATGGTGGGGACTGGGGGCTGCTGGAGTTGACAGCTCACAGGGAGCTTCATTTGCATAATACTGTGACTTGGTCTTTGCTGTGGACAAAGTTTATTTGCTCTTGTTTGTTGAAGCCTGACCTCTGGAAAAGGAGACATGAACTCTTGATTCTGGTCATAGAGGCTATGTGTCCCCAGATGGCTGATACAGACAGTGACACATCCCCATTCAGGAGTGACAACAAAAACAAAAGATAAGCATGCTTTGCCTTTGTGAAGGTCTGGGTAGACTTTCCCCTGTGTCCACATCTGCCTCCACAACCTAGGGCTGGACTCTTGCCTCACTTCCTCTGGCCCCTGAACAGTCTGGGGAGTTGAGCTTTAGTCTTTAATTTTTAGTGGAAATAGTTTCTGTTCAGAGAAGGGGCAGTTGCTAGTGATACAGGTAGCCAGGTTGATCCATAGACATAGGGAAATAAATCCACTAGAAGCTTCTGTCAGGGACTGGTAGATGGGGCTGGTCCCAGGGTCCAAGTAGAGCCTGCAGGTGTTGGGCGGGAGGACGAGATGAGGATCCACTACGGTGGCCTGCAGGTTGAGATGGAGCCAGCAGGCCCAATGCTGGGCGAGGTCAGACACTGCCAGATTGGGCTGCCAGATGCATGCCAGGACCGTCCAGGGGCAGGACAGCAGCTGGGAGGCTGAGGGCCTGGCCATCTAGTGCCAGTGAGTCAGAGGCAGCACTGTAACTGGTCCAGGTATATCACAGTAAGGGGTCAGAAATTTCTGGGGGTCGAACCTTTGCTTTTGAGGCGTGTATATTTGAGCATGGGGGTGTTCTCCTAGAGCATATGGACAGTGGAAATGGTGGGCTGTGGGTGGAGCAAGCAGTGAGCAAGGGAGGGACGTAAGGTGGAGGATCAGAGAGAGAGCCAAGGGTTAGCACATGGGAGGCAGAGCCACTAGGAAATCCTGCTGTCAGGTCATGCCCCTGGTGACCAGGTTAACAGCTGCATCCCAGACTGTAGGCCTGAAGGAGAAACTGAGGAGGAGCTTCTATGGAAAATGGGCCCGAGAGGAGTCAAATAATTCACTTATAGTGTATCCCTTCTTGGGTTTGATTAACTTAAATGCTTGCAATGTCTGGTTAACATCCTTCCTACAATGAGCAAACCAAGTTGGCCAGGAGCAAGGCAGCAGCCAGAGTGTAGCTCTGCGGGGCCCGCCTGTATCCTCATTCTGGAAGTGCTGAGTGACCCTCTGGCTGGCTTGGAGTTCTGAGAGCTGACCCAGCTGAGGCTACTGCACCCACACCCCCCATTGTGAGACAGTGGACAGGGTATCTTTCTGATACAGTTTTGGAAAGAAAATTTCCAGAACAGACATCAAGTAGCAAGGAGAAAAGAGTCTGTGCAGTTCAACCAGACTGGCTTTAAGAAACAGACCCAACAAGAGGCTCATCTGTCCCTGAGTTCTCTGCCCCTTTGTCCTGGGCCACCATCCCAGTTGCAGTCCTGCCCCTGGGACTGCTTCTTCCCAAAGCCCTTTGTTGTCCCCTCCTCCCTGGCTCGCCCTGAGGGGCAGGACCTTCCCTTGCCTGTCTCTCCTCTCTTGGTTGATCCTTCTCGAGTCACCTCTTTCCAAGTGACTTCTCCTCTCGCCTCATCTCTGATCCCATGATTTGACCCGTAGCTCTAAAAGCTCGTCATTCCTCTTCCCCCACTTCCCCAATGTCAGCTCAGTCTCCCAAATAGTCCTTAGGCCCTGGGCCTCCTCCATACGCAGCCTCCTTTCACAGCCTTCCTTCTGGTTCTTCCTTCCCCTTGTATCCACTCCCTGGCCATGCCCAGTTCGTGCCATACCTTCTGGCACTTGACACTGCAACCACCATCCCCTGCTCTCTCCACGGCAATCCCCGCTCCTCTGACCCACATGGTGGCTGGTGGGATCTTTCCAAACTACACATCGGACCACGTTGCTTCCCTGTTAAACTCTATAGTGGCTCCTGCTGACCCCAGGGAGATGCCCAAGCACCTGGATGGGGACAGCAGCATGGACCCAGTAGCCTAATTGTGCTGCATCCCCTTTTGCTTCTGGAGTCCCAGGAACTCCCGAACTGTGCCCTTCTAGGCCTCCATGCATTTGCTGGGGCTATTCCCACATCACTCATTTGTATTAAGGGGTGAGGCCTTGGCAGAGAAAATCTGGATTCAGAAGTCATAGTGATGGTATCTTCCCCAAACCCCAGCCATTCCCCTACTCTGTGACCCCCGGGGATAATTAGGGGACCTTTGACCTGGCTTTCTTGACAGCTCGTGGTTCTGTGCGTTTATAGTCTGTACACCACAAAGGTGACTGGGCCTTCGCCCTCAGAGCTCCCAAGCTAGGACCAGAACTGAGAAAGCAGTGTCAGTAAATTCCGTCCCCTCAAAGCAAAAGGAGGGAGGACCTTAAATATGTGGCCCTGTGAGAAGACTCTGCAGGACTGGGGTCCTCCCCACGTCCACTCCACCTCCAGTGCTGGGGATGCATTTTCCAAGTCTGAGGCCTGAGTCCCCAGCCAGCACTCAGTGTTTTATTCATCACCTGCCCCTAGCTGTGTGTTGAGTGCATAGTCGGCAAGATAATAGGAATCCCTGATGACTGACAAGAGTCAGCCTTGCACACCTGCAGACCTGGAGTCCAGCCGGGGAGGCTTTAGTGATCCCGCTCATCTGGGGCCACATGCAGCTGCTCGCGACCTCAACCTCCCTCCAAGCCAGCGTTCCTGGTTTCACTTTAGGTAACTTGAAAGCTCTGGTACGTATTGCCAAAGTGCTTCCCACCAATTCACCTATTGTTTGAGAGTGCCTGTTTCATAGCATCCCTATTAGCTCTGGGTTTTAATATTAAAATTTACATTAGTTAATTAATTAGTGGGTGATGATATCTGGTTGCATTTCCCAGGATATTAACATTAAAATTATATTCCTTCACTTTTGTAAAGTGCTGCTTCAATCCTTTTCCTGTGTATTAAAGGAATTTGTGTTTTCTCCACAGATATGGGTATATCAGACATGCCACCTCCTCTGGCATTTACTCCCCTGAGCTCCCCTGCAGGATAGGACCAGCCAGGACCAGCTGGTCTGCCCCAGATGACCTAACTCAAAGCTATGGTTTCGAACTTTAAAACCAAGTAGCAGCACCTTGAATGGCCTTACACAGTACAATATTTATAAAACATTAAGAAGCAGCCTATGAAGGGTGGCCTGGAGTGGCACCCCCAACCCCCTTCTAGAAACCCGCGTCTTACCTGAGGAGGGGCCGCTGGGACCTTCTTAATTTTCGTCTGAAGAGGGGCCGTCACTACGGAGTCAGTCAGGGTCTGAAAGGAGATGAATAGTTCACGGAGGTGCCAGGAGCTCAGCCAACGGTGGCCACGGTGCAGCCAGGTACAAAGACCAAGGGGCCCCACCTGCTGCAGGTACTGCCACACCCTCCACATTGTTGCCAGGAGAGGGTGTGGGCCCTGCAGTCCCTGTGGATGAAGTGCAGCGGGGAGGGGTGGGGGAGAGGCTTGTGTGACCAGCCAGACTGGGTGGGGAGGGTAGGAGGGTTGGCTGGTAGGGAGCGCGCTCCAAGTGGGAGGGATGAGGACTCCACGTGGACAGCTGAACTCAGGCCAGGCCCTGGATAGGAGGCTTGGGGGGCCGGGAGAGGCGAATCCAGAGCTCCCGCGGGCGGGCCTGGATTTGATCTGATAGGTGAAGCCAGGGCAATCAGAGCTCTCCCCGGGAGCTTTGTGTAATCTCAGCCTTGCAGAGATACCTGGCTTGGAGAACTGAACCCAGAGCCCGGCAGAGGGACTGCGGTTGCTGGCATGGGGGTGGGTGGAGGGAGGAGAAAGTCGCGCTGGGAGGAAAAACTAGAGAAATTGAGCAACAGATCCATCAGGGAGACGGTAAACAGACCTGTGGAGGGGGTATTCCACGGGAACACATCGTGAACCCAAAGGGGCCTTCAGAGGGGGCTTTGGGGACGGCACCTGTGTGGACGGAGGACACAGCGCCTCCGTTTGGACACTGGCTCCCCCACATCCCACGCAGACCCAGCGGGAGAAGCCGCTGTCAGGCCACCAGCCGGGGATGGCGGAGGGCGGGGCGGGCGCGCGCCGCTCTCTGGCCCCGCCCCGGGCCTCAGGCGCTGTCCGGCTCCTTCGACCCGCCTCCCAGCCCCAGGATCCGCCCCTGACTTTCTAGTTGAATCCTTGACTGTTGGCCCCGCCTCCAGCCTCAGGCCCTGGAAGTTCTGCCCCTGCCAACTAGGCCCTTGGCCTGCCACCTCCTCTTGCCAAATCCGCTGCCCGACCCAAAGCCCTCCTGCCACCCCACATCCTGAGCAGGGCAGGCTTACTCCCCAGGCTCCCCGGACCGTTCCTGAGCTTTATCTACACTCATAGAGCCGGGCCTTCTGTCCCCAAGCCAAAGGTGTCGGCAGAGTGCCGGCAGGAGGGTCACCTTCCTCAGCCACCTGTCGGCTCCCTCCTGCTAGGTGTTTTCATAAGAAAGCTGCAGTGACACCTGGAGTCTGGTCCTGGGTCTGTGGTCCATGAGCTGAATGGTCTTAGGCAAGACATTTAACCTCTGAGGCCCCTTCCCTGTGACACTAGGGGTTCACTCCAGTGTCTTGGATGAATCCAAATTAGTTCTTCCAAAAGAGCATGGGTACTTGGTGTTGCAAGATCAGGGTAGGAAGAAGGAAGCCTCAGCCCCTAGGTCCTCACTCTCCACAAGGTCACCTCTGTTCCCCCAGGGCCCACAGGGTCCATGCACATCCCCTCGCTTGTTTCCTCTGACTCAAGCACCTGTCTACCTGTAGTCTGGGGAGGCCAGCCTGTTGGGAAGTCAGGGGATGATCTGCTTTCCTGGTTCTCAGGGGAGACCCAGCTGCTGTACCTGGGATTCCTGCTTCCTCGCCCTTGGTAAACTGACAACCAGCACGCACCTTCCTGGGCTGCCCTGACCCTGGAAGTCCATGTCTGGAAGTGGACATGAAGGAAGCAGGCCTCCCCTGAGCCATCCCAGCCTCTCTCTCAGCCCCCACTGCCCTGCCTTGGAGTGGGGAAGAGTCTCACTTCATTTTTCCAAAGAGAAATTGGGGGGAGAGGTTGTTCTTAGTGGCCAATCGGTCCCCTGCCAGCTGCACAGCCTCTTTCTCCCACCAAACTTCTGAAAAATCCCCAGAAGCTTTGTTTAGAATGAAATGACAGGAACTGGCTGTCTAGGGAGGGGCTCCCCAGGGGAAGTGCGATCTCTACCACCGTGAATTGACAGGACCTTTTCTTTTCTCAAAAGGAAAGAAAAAGATTGTCAGGTCATTGATATTCTGAACCAGGCCTTGTTTTGAAATATGCTCTCCTCTGTCCCTTCACAAAGTACAGCCTTTCTCCCTCTTTGAAAATAAGATCACATCAAGCCAGGGGTTAGAAATGGGAAAAATTCAATCAGCGCCTCCCTCAGCCAGCTACACATCTCAGTGCACTCCCAGCGTAGAATCAGCTCCCGCCACAACCCAGCTCAGCATCCTTGCTCACAACGCACCGATAGGAAATGGGGAAACAGAAGGACCTTTCATCTCTGAGTGAGCGATCCTGCAGCGTTGCTCGTTGCTCTCCTAGCTCCGGAAGCTGAGTGTCTGGGCTGCTGCTCTTCTAGTTCCGGAAGCTAGGGTGTCTGGGTTGAATGAAGTTGAGTCCCAGGCTCTTGCTTAAATAGGCAGTGGCAGTGGGGCAGGGCGGTCCTGCGGGGCGGGCATGGAAAGTGGGCCGTTTACCCAGCACAGTGGGGCAGTGTCCTCGGAGCCAGCAGAGCCAGCAGTGGTCCTAAGCATGCGCCTGCCTGCTTGTCCACCAGGAGCCTCAAGTCCAAAAGCCCAAGACCGCAGACCAGCACCTGGGATGACCCCGATGGACATGTGGCGCCAAGTGAGACCACATTCCGGGATGCATGGAGCTTGAGCTGGATTCCTGGATGCCAGCACCTCTCCTGAGACACAGCCTGGGCAGCAGAACCCACTGTGGAGTTGGCTAGAAGCGCTCCCTAAACCAGTGAGCAGTGGCCTCAGGCAGGGCCCCTCCCCAAGCCTCAGTTTCTACTTTCTTGCAACTAGGATAATAAGGCTGAATTCAGAGGTCCAGAAATAATGTTTGCAAAGGGCCTGGCACTGGGAAGTTGATTTATTTATCCATGTGGTGATGCTGGGGCTAGATGCCTTCAGTGAGGCTCAGGCTGGGAGAGGTTTGGTAATGTATGCAGAGTCACAGAGGCCTCCGACTGAGTGTCAGAGCAGACTTCCTGCAGAGCTGAGGCTGGTTTGGGTTGGCAGAAGACCCTTGGGGGGAGGGTGCAGGGCCACTGCTGGCCTTGGGGAAAGGTCTGGACTTTGGTGACAGAGTTGCCCTTAGACCCAAGCACCAAGGCAAGGGAAGAGGTGGGACTGGACAGGCATGCTCAGATGGTTTGTCTGAGACTAAAGCATGTGCAGAAGTACCCCAGAGAAAATGCCAGGGATAGCTGGTGAGAGTAGCTGCCCCTGAGACTTCAGAGGTCTCTGTGGAGGTCAGGACCAGAGGCGGACAAGGGTCTCACCCGACGAGTTCCAGTGAGGAACCTGCCAGTGAGGGGGCAGTGTCCCCCAGCCCAATGAATAGAGGCTAGGACATCAGGTAATGGGAACTGAGCCAAAGCAGTGGTTCTTTTGTCACTTTATACTTGTAACATTTCTACTCTGAAAAGTGCTAGAAAATCTGCAAATAAATAATTGAGGTTACATGCCAGTCCGTAATGGGGAAAGCATGCATATGCAGTCCGACTAACAAAATGTTATCTCCTTGGCCTCCCCGGTGGTGCAGAGGGTTGAGCGCAGCCCTGTGAAGCTGTCCGCAGCCTCTGCAGCGCCAGTTCGATCCCCGGCCGGCCAGGGAGAAACCCACATGGTGCAACAGACCTCTCCTGTCTCGCCTGCTGCTCCCCTCAGCAGTGTTTTTGGTCAATCTGCCTGTTCTGCTCCCTACTCTGTCTCTGGTGAATCCTCTCACCCTCCCACGCCTCTGCCCTGTACCCCAGTGCTTGTATAAATAAATAAATCTTTTTTAAAAAAAGTTATCTCCTTATTTCCCCCAAAGAATCCCCAGACCAGAAAACCTGGATCTCTGTAGTGAGAACAAAAGAAAAATCAACTTGCCATACATCCTGAGGAAGGCAAAGCTGAAGTTACGGTAACATATAAAACCTATTTGTCTGTCCATCATTCATTTTGTGTGTGTGTGTTTGTGTGTGTGTATGTGTGTGTATTGTAGGCCTGACACTCTTCTAGGTCTTCTTTCTCTTTTTCAGCTGGTCCATTCTGATCCCCGTGTCTTCAGCTACAATGGGGCATGCATGCAGAGAGCTGCAGATGGGGGTCAAATTCAGTTCTGGGTAGTGTTGGGCCTTCTCTTAGCCTTTGAACTTTGGGTTTTTATCAATTTGCAGAGTTGTTTGGAGAATTAGATGGAATGATATTGGTAAAGACCCCTAATAGGTGTTCAGTGATTCGTTGTCCATTTGGGGAGACAAGTGGGGAGCTGGAACAGTAGCTGAAGTAGTTGGCAGAGCAAGGCAGTGGGAAGAGAGAGGGGTCACATATCTGGGGAATATCTAACAGGGTAGAAAGGTGTCATGGACTGGATATTTGTACCCCTACCCTCAAATTCAGCTGTTGCTGAACCTATAGGGTGGCTGTATTTAGAGATGAGACTGATAAGGAATAATAAAGATTAAATGAGATCATATGGGTAGGCCCCATCCAATAGAATTAGTGTCCTTATTAGAAGAAACCACAGAACCCTTTTCCACTGCCCCCTTCCACACACTGAGGCAAAGCTAAGAGATGACTGCAAGCCAGGAGGACAGAGCTCACCAGAAACTGAATCAACCTGAACCTTGATCTTGGACTTCTAGCCTTCAGAACCGTGAGAAAATATATTTCTGTTATTTAAGTCAACCTGTCTGTGATTACTTTAATGGCAGCCCTAGCAAACTGAATCAGATGGATGGGATGGAGTGGCTGGGAACGTGGAAAAGGACTAGAAATGAATTCAGAGATTTCTAGCTCAGGCAACTGGGCACTGAAGTCACGCACTGGTCTGAAGTGGAGCGGGTGAAGGTGGGGCTTGTGGTGTGGCATGACATTTACATGGATGTGACCATCTGGCAGTAGAATATTCAGAACCAGAACTCAGAGGTAAAGTCTGGGCTGGAGCAGGATTTGGGAATGATTTAAGTGTGGAAGTCCTGGCAATGGTGTCATTTTAATAGATTGCGTATTCTTTCTCTTTTCCAACTGGTCCACTCTAATCCCCGTGTCTTGTTATGTCAGCCTTTGTCTTTTATATGTTTCTAACAAGTCTCCTTTGCTTTTAAAAAAATCTTGTTGCACCCAAGTTCTCCCCAATTTCAATTACTTTTTTTCTTCTACTTGAATAAGGTAAGTCTTGCTAAGGAGCCTGGTGTGTGGTTAGAATACACATGTGCAATTAGAATTGTACCTTTCTCACAAGGCTCAGCTTGTCTTCACTATTTTTTTTTTTTTTTTTTTTGCAGAGAAGAACTGGGTGTAGGCCAGAGGTGCGGGGGATGAGAGGATTCACCAGAGACAGAGTGGGGAGCAGAACAGGCAGATCTATTAAATACACTGCTGAGGGGAGCAGCGGGTGAGACAGGAGAGGTCTGTTGCACCATGTGGGTAGCTCCCTGGCCGGGGAGCAAATTCAGGCCATAGCAGCGATAGCGCGGAGACTTAACCTCTAGGCCACCATTTGTGATGTGAGTTCTCTTGTCACCCTTACCCAGTTTCATGGGAATCATCTCCCTTCACTTCAGCCTGCGAGATAACTTATTCAAAAATCTTAACCAGCAAATGCTTTATTTCTTTCCATCAGAGTTGAATTTGAAAGGCACAGTATGTGTTATTTATTTCTAGCTGAGCTGTTTTTTGTGTCTGAAAACTTATTATTTCTTTCCTGATGTCTCCCTTGCCTAGTTCCTG